TGAATCCTGATAAGGAATTATCTCTCAACTTGCTTCCTCGGATTATCTGTATTAAGAACTCATTTGTATTCAGAGTTCAACTCCGAGCTCATAATCAGTTAACTCAGTTACGCTACTTAATCCCTTAGCCCATTAAATGTGTGAACCTTTCAATCGACACTTATTAAAGCTAACCTAGTCATTTGACCTTAACATTTTGTATCATTTAAATTGTGTCCGTAACTTTCGTTACATTATGATCAAAACCGTCAAACTTTTCCACAGGAAAGAGCCTGTTAAAAACCTGGTTAAACTTGTAAATGAACACTGAAAGTATTGTGGTTTATCAACATTTACACAAGAAACTTTCGCCAAAAATCGAAAATCTATTGTATTATACTTTCATGTGACAAATTTTTATGACCGTCACAATTTTTTTATCATTTCAAGCATATGCAAGAGATCGAGTATGGGTGATCAATAATAACCGTACATGTAGGATCTCGTAAAACTTTTGAATAAAAAGTCGGATTCCAAAATGGATGGTATTTTGGAATTAGCATCGAAAAGGAATTTTTTGAGACCATGTTGAAAATTTCGAAAATTTTTGAGTTTTCATTGAAAATTCGATTTCTTTATTTCAGTCGATTGCTTAATGGAAATTGAGAATTTTTAAGTTTTTATGTTTAACATTGTATAACAACTATGTACCTGTGCTCATTGGTATAACGTTCCTGTGCTCAAATTCCCGATATTACAAGTTTATCGACTAAATAAAGAAATGGAATTTCTGCGAACCTGGTGATTATCTTCCCATCACGATTAAAAGACCTATATCCTTAAACCTGGGTAATAAACCTGGAACCAAGCTACAACGAAGGATCACATTGGGTTGCAATAAATTTTACACGATATGGAAGAGCAATTTATTTTGATTCGTTTGGTCGTGAGCCAGAAGGGAATATTCTGACTTTTATTGAAGTACATCAAGAGGTTTTGACCATTCTGACAATAAATACCAAGGAAACACTACCACTGTAAAGTAACACTTCTGTGTTCTTTTTGTAATGTTAGCTAATAAACCTAAACAATTTTTAAATTTATTCAAAAAATGTAGACATAATGTAAATGAAAAACGATTGAAAACAATTATAAATCGAAAATTTTTGGCATACTTAAATAGCGATGCAAAAACGCGAAAAAAGTTATAAAACTTATACAAATAAAAGAACTAGAAATAAACTCGCTAAAGCTCTGATTTCTGATCGTCTGACCTAGTAAACTTCCAATATCGATTTTCTCAAAATTTTAGATTTTCTGATCAACAAAACTGGATATTGAATGCCTGTACTTTGAAATTTTCGTTACTTTAGGATAATCGAAGCAATACTTTTCTTTTTTGAAAGCAACACATCGAAGTAATCCAAAGCAAAAGCTGTAAATGTAGGTTAATCTGCGCAGTTTTAGAAGACGCTTCATTTTTTAAGTTTCGGGCCTTGTTACGACTTTACTAAACTTTGCTTTATGATCTTGTTGGATTTCACAACTCTATCGATTACAGCCTATCATTTCAGCGCACTTGAGAAGCGATTAAAATGATTCAATTGTTTCCATCAGCCAAGCATGTTATTCATGAAAAATTTACTTTTAAATTGCTTTGAAAACTTTTACTTTTAATCAGATCAACTCGGAAAATTTCAACATTTTTTTCAATCAGACAAGTTTATTGCTTCGTTAATATTATTATCAAACAAAACGATTTCGAGTAAATTAACTCAAGTGTGCAGCAACCAAGTAATCAACATGAAATTCAGTTTTAAATTGATTTCTGTTCACTTGACTCTTTCAATGCGAATGGCGAAAAAAATCTAATTGTTTGAATGAAAACTGTAAAGTGATGAAGATAATCAGATGATAATGATGATGAAAATGGTGATGATAATAGTTTAAGAGGAGAAATAAAAAAGCTTATAGGTTTAAGTGACAGCAAAAAGCATGTTGATTAGGTGAAATTGATTTATCCAAATGAACAAACAATTTACAATTTAGGTTAATTGTTTTTCCTCCAACTTTTGCCATTATTGTAATTCAAGCTCTTTTTGTATTCAACATTCAATTACAATCTTGTTCAAATGTTTAAATTCAAACTTGAAATTAAATTTCAACTTTACTGAAACAACATTTTTTTCCCTGCGCTCTTTCAATCATTCAATGTTTTCCAGCAAAGGCAAGGCAAGCAAAAAGAAATGATAAAATTGAATAAAAGTAAAGAAAAAAAGGTTAAAAAAATGTTGATTTACACTCGCATCAACATTAAAGTTTGGTCAGTCAATAGTTAAACAATCGCTAACCATGATGTAATGCTGGATCCAAGTTTATTCAAAATGATTATTCAATTGTTTTCCGTTGTAACCTTGTTGTTAACTGTTGATGGAAGACTTCAAGTTTATTTAAAAAACCCCTTCGCTCTCAATTATCGCTAACATGTATTGATATTAAAACAATGTGAAGATACAAAGATGATGTTATTGTTACAATACAATTAACCTTGTCCATGCCAAGAGCACAGCCTTGTAACGGTGTTGTTTCACGGAATCTTTTGTTTTCATCTCAACTTGAGATTCTGCTGTAACTAATGTTCATGATGAAATGGCGGAAGTTTGATCTAAAATATCTTCGAATAGAAATTCCGTAACTCACTCAAATTTCAGAACTCTATTAGCAAATGCCACAAAACTAATTATGAAAAGTTTCTGACTAAAATTGACAAGAAACAAAAAGTTATTAGAAAAATGAAAAGATTAAAAATCGAAAAATCTTCCTTCATTTATCGAGTCTTTAGACTAAATCTGAACTGATAGAAGCAAGAAATTATTGCCTTGTCCTCTATCATGAATGGTCCATTTTGTCAATAAAATCAAACAATTTTATTCAATAGAACCTTCGATTTTTTTGAATTTTCTTCAAAATGAAAAACTTTCAGATCAGAATCAGATTTCGAGTTTGAAAATTTCTGATTTTTTCATTTTTAAGTGATGTTCCATATTTGATCAACTTGAATCTGTTTAATCACAAGTTGACCTGCAATCAACTTTTACTGCAACTAAAACGAAATTTGTTGATAACTTAAATATCAACAGGCAATAATCAATAATTATCTCATCATACATCATGAATAGAAATGATCTGAAAAAGGTAAATCTTGAAATGTTGATTTACAAAATCTTTTTTCCACTTTAGGTGATTCCATTTAAGCTGATAATTGTATTCATGAGTTTTCACAGAAAACTATTCGTTTATCATTTACTTGAAATGAGTTGCCCACTTTGAGTTATGATGCAAAAAACATTGAAACTGAACATTATTTGAATACCACTCATATTATTTGATAACACAATTGATTTGACATTTGATTACAAGTAAATAAAGGGCAACATTTGGCTTTTGTTTGAAGTTAACCTGTTAAGTTGAAGACAATCTTTTCTTCTCTCACTTCATGATTACAGTTCTTAATGGATTAATAAATAAATTACAGTTTGATTGTTGGTAAATTGATGAAAAAGCATTAAATTGTTCAGAAGAAGAGAGAAGAAAAAAAATGTTGAACAAATTGTTGAGAAAAGTTTGTTCAATTGATTTGTAAAGATTTTACCATTGTATAGATAAGATGGGAACTGATGATGAAGATGAAAATGAATACACACAAAAAGAAAGACTTGAAAGCCTGAAGCATTTTTATATCAATATTGTTTCATTTAAAGATGCTGAATAAAAGACAATGGAATGACATGCACTAAAAGCCTCAAGGTAAATCATCATTTCGCTCTTCTTTTTTTTCTTCTTCTTACCTTTTCCACCATTAGCTTCATCATGTTTTTTGAACAGTAAGTGGAACTCATTTTTTCTTCTTCTTCTCATCATTCAATTATAATCCATTAGAGTTAACAAAATGTTGCTTCCCATTTCATCTTCAACTGCCCGCCTCCAATTGTAAATGGCACACTAAAGGTATCATCATTTTGCCTGCCTATAAAGGTAACCATTAGGCAACAATCATTATGTTGATCCATCTCATCATCACCATCATCATCATTATCATGTTACTCTTTACTCGTTTCCCTCTTAATCAACCTTAAGCTCCAATGGAGATGCTAAGAGCTCTCAATTGATTCCATGTTGATTCATTACCTTTTTTTTCTGGGCTCACCTTTTTTCGCTACTCAATAGTTACTTTTATTTCTCAGTTTCTTTTTTGGGCTTCTTCTTATTTCTGTTTACAGTAGACTCATTGGCATCGTCAGCACATACCTTTCACCTCTCTTAACCTCTTTAAATGTTCACTGCTCACCTTGCCATCGTTAACCTCTCATCAACCAATCAAAGGTTATCCAAGTTATGTTGAGAGTCTAACAAAATGGGTAACCTTAAGTACCTTTAGCCTTTTGTTGTTAACATGAAGAGGGTAAGGAGAGCAAAATGTTACTGTAACACAAGATGAAGCACAAGATGAAGATGCCATTTCGCATGTATCTTTCACTATCATCATTCTTGCCATCAATATAGTCTTAATACTGTCAAGAGTCGCCATTTTAGCACTTAACAGTTGAAATTACGAAGTAGCTTCATTTCAACTTAAAACTTAAAGAGTGCAAAAAGGAGGAAGGTTTACATTTCTGATGACTTGAGTTTCCACCCCGATTGAGTTTTATGTGAAAATGTTTTAGATTGACCGAATGTTTGCGTGAAAATTTGAATAAAATTTTTGTTATCAGTCGCTTTTTTGAAGCTATTCAATAGTTTAATGGCAAATTTCATCAAGAAATTAGGTAATCAATCGAGTCTTTGGTCTGTTTGATGTCAAATATCCGTTTGGATTTTGATCTATTGGCGATTCAATGTTGAGTTAATTTTCAGTTTTCAACTTTTCTTTTGCATTTGATTTTATTTATAATTTGACTGCATTTACTACATTTGAAATGAGGAAATTGAAGGGAAAATTAAATGATTTAAATCAACAAAAGTTATGGATTTGATCAATTTTTATTAGCATTCAATATTATCAACAAATTAATTGTTTGTTCAATTGGAAATAATGTAATCAATTGTATACTTAATGGGAGATGTTTTAATAGTTGTTGATGAAGAGGGTGAGGATGATGTTGATGTTGGTGTTGGTATTGGTGTTGGTGTGGACGAGATGGTTGATGTTGATGTTGGTGTGGACGAGCAGGTTACGGTTGATGTTGGTGTTGACGAGTTGGTTGATGTGGATGAAGGTTGAGATGTTGAGACTTGTGGTTTACCGGTTGATGCTTGAGCTGAAGCTGATGGTGAAGAGGAAGAGGGTGCTGGTAGTGGTGGTGGTGAATTTGACGTCTTTATCGGTGTCTCCAAAGATGAATCGTCTTCATCAATTGTATATCTGTTGTGTTTCTCGGCCTTCCGTTGAGCTTTTCTCCGTCTAAAGTCACCCTTTTTAAAATCCTCCAAGTTGGCCGGATGAATGATCCAAAAGTGTCCCTTACCATTGGCACTGCGCGATGATTTAATGAAACACGGATTGAGCGATAAATTGTGGCGAATCGAGTTTCTCCATCCATGACCACGGTTACGAAAGTAGGGATAATTGTCCAAAATGTATTGATAAATGTCACTTAGAACCATCCGTTGTTCGGGTGAACTAAGTATGGCCATTGCAATCAGCCCAATGTATGAATGTTGCGGCTTGGGTTCTTCATTGATGAACCTAAAGCGACCACCAAAGTGAGGTGGAATCGAGCTTTCGGTAAACACTGGATGGTGATAACCAAAGTTGTAAGTCAAACCAGGATGGGTCAGGCGAAGTCGAGCCGCTTGAGCGTAAAGTTGAAGTTGCAGTTGATATTCAAAAATAGAAACTGGATTCTCCTTTTCACACATAACTTGAACAAAACGTGAATTGAAATTGAATTGAACAATAAAACAAGCAACAACAAAATGAAGTTCACATAAGTTGCTAAGTTAACAATAATAAATATAAGGTAAAATGGGCGGGTAACTTGGCTTTACCGAGTTGCTTGTTTAGTTTGTGCAAACATTTGCGTGAACAAAGATAAACCAATGAGAAACGTTTCAAACTCATGATTGGTTGTTTATTTCATAGTTATATGTTATGTTCAAGTTTATACATTATCATAAATATTAACATCACAAGTTATCCAAACTACCAGTTCAAGACAATACAAAAGATGATTTTGGGTAAAATTTAAGGCTGTTCATCCAAATACAGCCAAACACACCTGAAACCTTTGCTAACCTTAATCATCTTTTAACATCAATCATCAATCATTCAATTTTCACCATTGATTGTTGGGCTCAACACACAAGTTATTCAATTGATAACATGTCATAAAGTTTCATGTTGAGGCAATATTTTTTAATAGCTAGTCAATTACAGCAATCCAATATCTATGTGGCTTTTTCAATGTACATTTAAACTTGACTTCGACTCATAAAAATTGTCTAAAATGAAATGATTATCGAATAGACTAAAATATTGATTTGATTTTAAACATTATTAACAGTCAAGTTCTGGTTCTCTCAGTCTATAAATATTTTGAAATTGATATTAATTTGTGATAAACTCGTAAGATACTATGTTTGATTAAAAATTGACTTTAATGTCGAATCTAATCAAGCTTCAATTTTCACAAATATTAACACTAACGCTTTTAATACAATACTCATTAGCCCCTGGTTTCTGCTAAATCTTGAATTACACTTTAACACAACAACTCAACCAACATTTAAATGGTAAATAATATTTTCGGTTTGATTAAGTAGACAACAATGCTCATGTTATTTGAGACATTTTAATGTCATAAAAAATATCGTTTTTTTCGTGTTTTTTATTCTTTTTTCATTATCCAAGTCACTAATGAAAGGATGGTCATTGAAAGGTATTGAGATGGCTTCTATTTTGTCAAATTTCATGATAATTTCATTTAATTGTTTTGAATTGGTACACTGCAAGAGGGCTGAAATTTACTGGTTTATCTGATACATCTACAAAAGAAGAATCTTCATCTTTTGTATTTCATGTGATTATCGAATAGAGATGAATATCGGTGGTAAGAGTCTCGAACCTTCATGCATTTTTGCAATTAACAAAAATTGATTATCCCAAAGGAACCCTTTGAGAATCGATTCCATTTTTCGATATGATGTACAGTTTTTGAGTTATCAGGTAAAAAATTTTGAAAGGTGGAAAATGGCCTGAACCTAGTTTTAAGTGACAAAGTATTTTGACTTTTTTAAATATTCTTGACTATTACTTTACCCGAAAAATATATCAGTATATTTGTATCATCGGGGCGTCTGTGACTTTTTTGATAACGCTTGATATTTTTTGCGGTTTTTAGCCTTTTGGCCACTTATATGATTTGAGTGACAAAGCATTTTGAATATTTATCATACACTCAACTATCCTCTATCCAAAAAATGTATCAGAATATTTTCATCATCTGGAAGTGTATACTATTTTTCAAAAAACTAATATTCTTAAATCTTAATGATTAGTTTAAATAGTTATCCAAGTCTATTTGTGATTGAAATCTTTCGATATTTGTTCCTCAGTTCTATTCCTAAGAAGTTAATCGACTTCTGGGGAAGAAACATTTGAAATAAAGATCTTTGTTGTAACCCCAACAATGTTAAGCTCTAAAAAATGAATAATATTAGTCAAAAAGTTAAACTTTTGACTCAAAAGTCGCCCCCTCATCATCTGATCAACAGCTAAAATTGTCAAAAATTAATGAATAAACTTTGGTAAACTTTGCCAAGATGTCCTGACCTGACGGGCTAATGGGACGGAAAAAGTGTGTATTTAGTGGACAATAGTGAGCAAAGGTAGTTACTGTTCATCTTGATCTTCCTCTGCCTCAACCCATCACCTTTCAGTTTTGATGTTATTATTTTTTCCCTTTCACTTATCAATACTCTCATCATGAACATTATCAACAAAACATCAACAATGTCTCGAAATATAATAGCTCATGAAACATAAAACAGGGCCAAAAAAGGCGAAAAAGATGCTTAGATCAAGATTCGGAATCAATTTAGATTCGGAAAAAAGCTTTCGAAATGGTAACTGATTCCATCTATTAGATCGATTAATAGATGGCGCTGATTTTTTCAAAATAAGTGGGAATCCATTTTAATTCAAAATTTTGATATAAAGCTAGGGAATTGTTTCACTAAAATAAGAATCAAATTTTTATGCTGATTATTAAAAGCCATAACTTAAGAATTTCTTGAAAAATTGAATTTTTGGACAAAATTTCCAAAGTGTACCTTTATTTATCGGCTGAATTGTGAATGTGAGTTTAGTCTAATGTCTAATCTTGAATAATTAGTCAGTAACATTAGGAGTCATACTTTGAACCTTCAAAAAAGGCCAAAATATCGTGAACACAGACATCGATTAACCATTTGACTACAAATATTGTTGAAGCTTTTCAGTGGCCTTTGAAAACGGTAAAAAGCAAAATTTTGAACCAAATTTTGATAACAAAATATCAAAACAAAATCTTTTCTACTCTCTTTTCATGAGTTGGAGTTTTTCAACCATTGATTGTCTTTTGCAAGCCATTAAAGAATCTAGTAAAAGGTTTTAAAGTTAGAATTGACCAGAAGAAAGATCACCCTGAAGACCAAATACACTTGAAATACTCTCACTCCCACTTAGCTGAAGTACCGTATCGGCGCACATAATGTCACGGTGCCTCGGATCGAGCTCGCTCGTTATAAGTGAGAATTTTAGTCACTGAGCATGCGTTAACTCAGAAAAGGAAAAATTTGTAAAAATCGAAATTGATCGGTTAATAGAGAAATTTTGATTATTATTTTAAATTTTTCAATTCACTAATAGAAATGCATTCACAAGATCAAATTTTTTCCCTGCTAATCGGTCGAGAAAAAGCTCAAAGTGATCATTAATAATAGCCCATGAGCGTCTAAATGGGCAGCAAAAGTGCTGTTATTTGAGCGAGCCCGTTTTGAAGCACCGTGACATTATGTGCGCCGATACGGTAATAGGAGCAAGCAAAAGGAGCAAAAATACAGTGAACACACAATGGTCAATTGGGAAAGAAACACACAAAACAAAAACACATTTTGATTGGCAATAGAAACGGAACAATAATAGAAACATCCCTTTGACCTCTAATAAATGTAAATACAGTTAAAGTTGTATTCAATTTTCACAATGAAACTTTGAAAATGATAATGACGGTGATGACCACAGTCCCACACACATACACACTCACAGAGAAAACTTACAATTCATTGAAGAAAAGAGCACAAAAAGACTAAACGTTTTGAAAGAAGAGAAAAAAAAACTACTCAACCTTTTTATTCTTTTCATTTGACATGTAAAAATCAAGTTGATTCTGTCAAAAAAGTGATCCGATGAACAAGGGAAGAAGCCAAGGTGGTACAACATGATAATTTGGGCAAATCTTTCCTCTTATTTTACCTGAAAACTCGAATAACCATTTACCAGTTTATTAACTACTTCATGCCCCAAACTGCTCGAAACTCAAAGGCCACTTAGTGAGACAACAAAAGTTGTTTCATTTTTAAAAACCAAATCAAAGTTTTCCTTTTTCAGCCCATTTTCACATTTGCATATCGTGAACCTTTTTTCATCGCTGTCAAAAGATCAAAAACTCGCCCAAACTATTAAGATGTCAAGTATATCTTCGCCTTTTTTGGTTAAACATTAATTATTAGGTTGTCCGGGCTGAAATGACGGACATTTGATCTAAGATATTTTAAAATAGGAATTTCATAGTTCACTCAAATGCTCGATTCAATATGAAAAATATCTGACAGAAACTAACCTTAATAAGTTATAAGTGATTAATGAAAAAAAATTTCACCCCATTGATGATCTGTAGATTAAACGGAACTGATGGATGCAAGAAATTAACACATTGCCTTGTCCTTTATAATCTAAAGGTAAATTCATTTTTTCAATAAAATTCAGCAACTGTACATCTACATGGTTTGCTTAAGAAGCTTTTAATTATTGAACTAAACTAGTGTTAAAAGGTTATCGTTAAATAGTGGTCGCGTGATCGATCGGTTTAGATATGTAAATTTCTCTGCACTGAATACAATAAATTCCAAGTTTATAGACTTAAATTCTTGATGAAAAAATCATCATTGATGTGAAAAACAAAAAAATCAAATCTGATGAAGTTTTCTGAAGTCTGAAGTTGGCCAATTTGATTATTAAAGTCGCAAAACATTTTGTGCATTAAGTTTCTTAAAACCAAAGATTATCTGAAGCTCACTTGGTTGTACTGTTGAGTATAATGTTGATTCAGCAGATATGAATGCAAAAAAACTACATGGCTGAAAAGCTAAGGCTGTTTAGAATGCAAAAATGTAAATGAAACCAAAAAAAATAATTGAAACTGTTTGATTTGTATCCTTGCGTAAGTCAGATAAGTGTAATTGTTTTCCGATAGACGGCGTTAGGTCTCTATCCTTGAATTTTTCTGCTTGAAAAATAGTCTTTTGTAAGGCGCTAAAATATCTGGTAGGGTCAAGTAATTTAAATCTGGTTTGTTAAATTATGCATTGTTAACATTTTTTTATTTTTATTCAACCGTGAATTTTAAAATTTGTCTATTTTGAAGCTTATTGAGCCAACGAACTAACATATTAACCGTATCTATTTCATTTTTACCATGGCATAATATTTTCATGATGTTGCCAATCGGCTTCGTATTAACTCAATCAAAGCAACACAAGCCTCTAAATCTGGGTAAGTAAATTGAACTTCATTGTCTATTTTTAGTTGTTATTTAATTTGTGTAAAACAATATTTATTAGGATATGTATATGCATGTGAATATCTGTCTGTAAAATTTGCAGGAAATTACAGTAACCTTGTTCTTTATTGACAAAATTTTGTATTTCATTTTATCATTTTATTTAGACATCCTACGTCATGTGCTTCTATGGCGGAAATTATGTCTGTTTTATTCTTCGATACTATGAGATACTCATTGAAAGAACCAAGGCATCCTGCATCTGATCGGCTTGTATTAAGTAAGTAGTTATTTGAATTTGAGTCTAAATGGTGATTTCGAATCAGCTGAAGGATCCGTTTGGGAAGCAATGGCTTTTGCTTCAAATTATGTATAAGATAGTCTTTTTGCTATTTTCCATACCGTTTTAATCGTCTTGGTCAGAGTGAAACTGTTTCATTGCAGCATAATCTTGATATCTATGATGCTCTTGCTAAAGCATTTAGTTTTGAAACTATTGTTGTTGATGATCTTGCTGTTGCTTCATTAGTTGAAGCATTTAAGCATTTGCTTCAATCAAAGGTCGTGCAACAGGAACCCTTGCTAAAACTTACAAAGGAGAAGGTAATTATACATTGTTATTGTTTATAATAATCCTTGTCTGCATTTAATATAATAATAAACTTTGTCATTTTATTATTGTTAGGTTTTCCTGATATTGAGGATAAAGATAACTGGCATGGTAAACCTCTTGGAGATAAAGCTGATTATGTCATTAAACACTTGGAAGGTCAATTAAAAAATTTATCAGCAGCAATTCAACCATTTAACCCAGTAGCTCCAGAAATCAGTTTGAAAGTTTCACTCAATGAACCTCCTAGCTAAAGGATGTATGTCTAAAACCAGGCAGAGAGCACAACAGTGAATGAATATTATTGGTCATCGATAATAACAAAATAGATTAACAATAGCCGTCATCAACACCATCTCTTGATTGAATTAAACTTGATTCAAATCATATGCTCAATGTGCATAAAATCAAATGTTTTAGTGGCTCAACTAATAAGGTAACAATTTTTCAATCAAGAGATGTTTAGACTGTTTAGCTCTCTGCCTGGTTTTAGACATACACCCTTTATAAGCTTGGTGATAAAGTAAGTTTAAGAACTAGTAACATGTCATATTTTGCATCTCGGGGTATTTCTTTATTGTTTTTTTTTGATTCTCGTCTACTCTGGTTGTATTTAATTGAGAGACTTGTTATAAATCTCAGGTTTTTTTCTCACTTGAATCTTCAAGTAGGTAATTTACATGTTTTGACATCACGCCAGAAGTGATTATTTCTTCACAACTGAAACCATCAAGCTGTATTGCAATGCTTATCATTCACTACGAAAGCTTCTTAAATTGTAAATCCTGACTTTTATTCAATAAATCGCATCTTAATAGAAATATAGTTCATCCTGCAAATAGTGCTTAGCCCTTTAATCATAATTAATTTCATTTTTCTTGAAAATTTTTAGGTGCAATGTCACAAGTAAACATTAAGTGTGTTGGTCCTAATGTCAGTATTGGAGACGACGGAACCATCTCAAATGGCTCTTGAAGATTTGCTGATAAAGGAGTTAATTGTCGAGTTTTATATCTATTAAACCAATTGATGCTGCCGGCATTTTAGAGAATGCAAGAGCATGTAATGGAAAAATTGTTGTTGTTGAAGATCATTACCCAGAAGGTGGTTTAGGTGAAGCTGTTGCTGGTGCAATCTCAAACTCAACTGGTATTACAATGAAACATTTGGCTGTACGAGAGATTCCTCGAAGTGGTCCACCAGCAGATCTTATTGAAAAATATGGATTTGGATCAAACTCAATTATCAATGCTGTTAAAAGCTTTGCTGAATTTCTGTTATTTCACAAGGTTTAATATAATTTCCATAAAATTTGTTTTACGGATTTTCTAATTTAACTGTTTTGTCGCGTTACTTTCAACGTTTCACTGTTTACGGTACAATTGAACTTGATTATCAATCATTGTATAGTCATCAATTTTCTTGGAACTATCCAAGTGTAATCAAATTCATTCTCATTTCGTCTTTTGAGAAGTCTATTATTAATACAATTCAATCCTAAAATTGAGACTATTTAAGACAGTAATCAAACCAGTGAGGTAATTAAAGTTAGTAGGTTTAGTAATAGTATCAACTCAATGCAATTGAACAAATCAAGCGGCAGGAATCGAAATAAATAACAATTGGTTCAATTAACCAACCTTGATAGAATTAACTTAAACAGTTTATTATCTTAATTTGTATTATAATCAAGTTTATTGCCTATTAAGGGCGACATTAACTATTCAAATGATCACTATTGAAACAATTTTCAAATGTCATTTGGTTTTCAATATTTAAACTCTTTAAGCTTAAGCAATCGGATCAAGGTTTGATAAAAAAATGAGAAATCTAAGTTTTAATTGGCAACCGTTGAATAGTTTCTTTGTTTTCCAGCTTTCAATTGCACCGTTCAGTACTTGTACTTTTGTGCCTTTTATTAAATTTAAATTATCAAAGGCACAGTTGATTTTTGTCACAGATTGAGTTGTACCAGTGTTAAACAATATGTCATAATATTCTAATGTATTAGTTCAATAGTAATCGTATAATTCATGAAATTGCTTTGGTGTTATGTTCATAGTTAAATAATATCTCGAGATAGACAGCAGCAATATTGATAAGAATAATCATATTTTGTTAGGTTTATCGGGTTCACGTGAAATAAGCATGAATCTTTGTGAACAAACGAGACAATATTTTACCTCACTATAATATCGATTGCATTACTAATAAGATAATCAATTTGACAGCATATTCATTGAAGGCTTTGGGGATAAAAGCATTGAGACCACTTGGAAAGTTTTATCTAATTAACTCTTTGAATTATACAATGCTTGACAAAATTATAAAATCACTCGATTTTTGATCACATATTTGCACCTATTCATTAAGCACCAGACACTGAAAAAAGATTAATGAAAATTTAGCTCAATGATGGAGCGATAATAAGATCACAATTTCAGTGAGTAATGGAAGTCTTGGTTTGAGCAAGCACATCTTGAAGCCCCGTGACATTATGGGCACCGAACCGGTAACTGGACGAAACATTTATGAGAGAAGTTTTTGATTTGAATTTCATTATTAGAGCCGGAAAACATTGATGATTTTGTGCTTGAAGATTCTTAAAAATCACTGATTATCTCAAGCTCGCTTGGTTGTATAATTTATGTTGATTCAGCAGATATGAATGCAAAAAAAACTACATGGCTGAAAAGCTAAGGCTGTTTAGAATGCAAGAATGTCAGTTGAACCAAAAAAACAATAATAAAAGCTGAATTTTATTACAATGTAACAATTGAAACTGTTTGACTTGGATCCTTGCGTAAGTCAGATAAGAAGTATAGTTGTTTTACGACAGACGGCGTTAGTCTCATCCTTGAATGTTGGTCGGCAACTTGTTGCTTCACTTCACTGCTGGTACCTTTAATTATACCTTTGTTGGATTTTGTTGGGTAAGAATTTGAATTACAATTAAAACTCACCTCCTTTCACTTTATACATTTATATAAATAGTTTAACGTTTTAATTTTAATTTCTAATACTTACTGATTTTTCTACTGTCATTTAGATTAATTTGAGTTAAACATTTAACACGTATCAACTTCATTTTTACCATGGCAAAGTTACAAGCTCTTCAAGATGTTGCCAATCGGCTTCGTATTAACTCAATCAAAGCAACACAAGCCTCTAAATCTGGGTAAGTAAATCAATTTGAACTTCATTGTCAATCTTTAGTTGTCATTTAATTTGTGTAAAACAGTATTTATTAGGATATGTATATGCATGTGAATATCTGTCTGTAAAATTTACAGGAAATTACAGTAACCTTGTTCTTTATTGACAAAATTTTGTATTTCATTTTATCATTTTATTTAGACATCCTACGTCATGTGCTTCTATGGCGGAAATTATGTCTGTTTTATTCTTCGATACTATGAGATACTCATTGAAAGAACCAAGACATCCTGCATCTGATCGGCTTGTATTAAGTAAGTAGTAACTTGAATTTGACACTAGATTTGCTAGACAGAAAGGTTTGATTTATTGATTGAAATTCATTTTCAACTTAAATAACTTGCTAATGAGAAAATGATTTCAAATTAATACAAAAACGACTTTATCACAATTGTCCGAAATCTTTGGTTAAAGAAATATGATGTTGTGGGTTATTCAATTTTTAACGTGAATACTTTCTTATTGCTAGGTAAAGGACATTCTGCACCAATTCTTTATGCTGCATGGGCTGAAGCTGGTTTATTTCCTGTCAGTGATTTACTTAATTTAAGAAAAATTGATTCTGATCTAGAAGGTCATCCAACTCCTAGATTGAATTTTGTTGATGTCGCTACAGGATCCTTGGGTCAAGGATTAAGTGTTGCAGCTGGTATGGCTGTCATTGGTAAATACTTTGACAAAACTGATTTCAGGACATATTGTCTGATTGGTGATGGTGAATCAGCTGAAGGATCAATTTGGGAAGCAATGGCTTTTGCTTCACATTATAAATTAGATAATCTTTGTGCAATTTTTGATATTAATCGTCTTGGTCAAAGTGAACCTACTTCATTACAGCACAATCTTGATATCTATGAAGCTCGTGCTAAAGCATTTGGTTTTGAAACTATTGTCGTTGATGGTCATGATGTTGCTGCATTAGTTGAAGCGTTTGCTAAAGCTTCTTCAACCAAAGGTCGTCCAACAGCAATCCTCGCTAAAACTTACAAAGGAAAAGGTATAATTATTATATTTATTTCTCTTCCTTGTCTGCATTTAATATAATACTAAACTTTGTCATTTTATTATTGTTAGGTTTTCCTGATATTGAGGATAAAGATAACTGGCATGGTAAACCTCTTGGAGATAAAGCTGATTATGTCATTAAACACTTGGAAGGTCAATTGAAGAATTTATCAGCAGCAATTCAACCATTTAACCCAGTAGCTCCAGAAATCAGTTTGAAAGTTTCACTCAATGAACCTCCTAGCTATAAGCTTGGTGATAAAGTAAGTTTAAGAACTAGTATAACTAACACGTCACAGTTTTTATCTCAAAATTTCTTGAATATTCCAATGAATGAAATTTCATTGCAATCAATAGATAAACTTTCATTTGTCAAATATCACTATCATGTATTTCTCATCAGTCATCTACAAATGTCATATTTAGAACCAGGCATCCTAATCTGTTTTTTACTTTGTGCAAGCTTTTCATATTCCAAACTAATCTGGCTTGATAGCTTTGTAATTGCAAACAAAGAGAGTTATTCACTGCTCAATCTTTCGTTAGACAAATTAGATTTATCAAATCACTCATGAAATAGCACAATTTTGTGTTATTCATTCAACTTTGAGTAATTTTTTCTCCCATTTGATTATTACTCCTGACTTATCATAGATTGCAACTCGTCAAGCATATGGTACTTCACTTGTTAAACTCGGCAATACTAATCCAAGAGTTTTGGCTTTTGATGGTGACACTAAAAATAGTACATTTTCTGAGACCTACAAAAAAGCATTCCCAGATCGCTACATCGAATGTTTCATTGCTGAGCAAAATTTAGTTGGTGTTGGTATTGGTGCTGGATGTAGAGGTCGGGCAATACCATTTGTATCAACTTTTGCTGCATTCTTTTCTCGTGCATTTGATCAACTCAGAATGGGTAAATTTATTATCACTCATCTTATGAATGGTGCTTAGTCCTTACTCACAATTAATTCATCTTTTTTTGATAATTTTAGGTGCAATTTCTCAAGCAAACATTAAATGTGTTGGCTCTCATTGTGGTGTTAGTATCGGAGAAGATGGACCATCCCAAATGGCTCTTGAAGATTTAGCTATGTTTAGAACTATTCCAGGTTGTAATGTATTCTATCCAAGTGATGCTGTTAGTATGGAACGAGCTACCGAATTAGCCGCACAACGTAAAGGAATTGATTTCATTCGTACATCTAGACCAGCAACACCAGTCATTTATGCTAATGACACTGTTTTTGAAATTGGAAAATCTAAAGTTGTTCGTAAAAGCGGTAAGTTGACATTCAATTTTTAATCTTCTAGTCTTTACAACATATCCAAGAATAAAAACAATAATTTTTTTATTATAACCATTTTTTAAAATCCTTTTAGATAATGATAAAGTGTTGCTCATTGGTGCTGGTATAACTCTCCATGAAGCTTTAAAAGCTGCAGACCAACTTGCTGATCAAGGAGTCAATTGTCGAGTTTTAGATCCATTCACCATTAAACCAATTGATGCTGCCGGCATTTTAGAGAATGCAAAAGCATGTAATGGAAAGATTGTTGTTGTTGAAGATCATTACCCAGAAGGTGGTTTAGGTGAAGCAGTTGCTGGTGCAATCTCAAACTCAACTGGTATTACAATGAAACATTTGGCTGTACGAGAGATTCCTCGAAGTGGTCCACCAGCAGATCTTATTGAAAAATATGGAATTGGTTCAAACTCAATTATCAGTGCAGTTAAAAGCTTTGCTTAATTTCAGTTATAACTGTCCTCAAGCTGGTTCATTCCGTACATCCAGTATACAGAATTCCAAATCGTAACTTTGCCTTTTCCAGCCACAACATTCCCGATTTTTCAAGTACATCCCGGTAAAAACACTTCTTGAGTTTAATCTTTGTTTAGTGGGCTTTTAAGTTTTAAATCCTTCGTTATCAAAATGCAATCACGTTGTACGTCCAGAATTTTTATCAGCTGTGGAAGCTGAACTGTTAGGATGCCTCAATGCAATAATGTTAATCTAAATTAAATCGTTTTTTTAAATATCTAATCAACCTCCTTATTTCAATGAGTTCAAATAAGTCATTTTATAACTACACAAGCTTCATCCCGTAAAGAAATATAAAAATCCTGAAAACAGTAATGTTAAATAGTTCGGGTTCATCTTTCATCAATATCCACCAAGATTACCACATGCTGGATCGGTAATAAAATCAGTTCCTGAAATATTATATGATCCAAATCAAACGGGTAGTTTGAATTACTCAAAGTTAACCCACTGCAGTGAAAATATCGTTGAATATATTTATCAAAGTCAATCTTGAACAAAAGCATAAGAAACAAAGATAAGTGTAAAAAATAACAATTGGTTTAGATTAACCTTGATGAACATTATAGTAAACTGTATTTTACCTGAATGTGTAATTGAGTTCATTACCATTAATAACTATTCAAACAATCAGTTCCGTTCACTCGACTTGAAAATAAGGCCAAAATGAAGTTTTTTTCATCATTTTCAACTCTTTTTTGTTATTTACTTGTAATTTAGATTGTTGTAATTATATTCAAGGTTTACCAAGCCAAAAATGTTGTAATGAAAATACATTTCGGAACTGGAATCACATAGCGGATGACATTGAATAGTTGATGAAAAATCATTAGCTAAATCATTAGTTACCTGAAACAGATGAAAAGTAGATAAAGAGAGAATTAGATTTCAGAATTAACTAAATTAAACCAATAGCGAAAAGTCAATCAACTTGAAAAAATTGTTTCATTTTAAATAAAAGAAAAATTAATTAATGTTGACCAGTTTTCTAACATTTTCTGTTCACTTATGATCATAATTATGATTATAACTATCATCACTGTTAATCGATGATTGAAGTTTACGCTCATTTGCTGTCATTAATATAATATTAAATTAGTATTTACCTTTTTGAAGCTTTCCTTCAAATCTTTTAATCATGTAAAACGATGCCAACAAGTTGATCGATTAAAATTTACGTTATTAATAATAATGAAGCCAATCAAAACAGTTGATCAGTTGTAACAACTCAAAATGGTCAACCGGTTAGAAGAGAGATGAAAGTAGGAAGAATCAGTATTATTAAGAATTATCAACAACAATCAATAATTAATTGATGAGGAGTGATTAGCTTCTAAATGATGATGGTTGGTAAATATTAAAAGCAGTAGATACGGAAAAGACCAACAACAAAAAAAAGCTAAGGGCAAAGCGCGTGGCCTCAACATCAACGCACCAAATAACATATCAACAATTAACAATGCACCAAAGAATGATAATGATGATGATTTCAACTGTATTTAATTATAATATCGATTAATATTAAATATTAGCTTAAAAATAAACCAAATAAGAGATAAAACATTTATAGATATTAATACAATCACAAAAAACAACGACAATGAAAGTCTTACATAGAGCCAACCATTTGAACCGGGAAAATTAAACCCAAACTGGTTGATTTAAAAAAACGATTTATTACATTTTCTTCAAAAATCATTTCAATTTCCAATCAATTTGAAGAATAAATTTCATAAAAAATTGATTTCTGGTATCATTTTTACCATGAAAATCCAATGAGCTACAAGTTGAAATTGAGAAACAACAAGCGGTCAAAGTGAATATCATTTCAGCTTTTACCATTTTCATTTTCAAACCTAAGTTGGTGGAAATTAAAATTGAAATGAGATTGAAATGAACTTCTTTATCCTCTGAAACATTTCAACATCTTAACTTATAATGCTGACAAGTCGCTCCAGGATGATGGTAAAGATGATGAGGATAACAACATTTGAATAAAAATTTAACCATCACAGGGTTAGTATTTGTTGTGTTGCTCATTTAAATTATAATAGGAATCAAACTCTTTCTTTCTTCTCCTCGGGCAAGTAATTGAAAACCGAGAAGATGAAATGAAATTTAATTTATATTAAACATTAAATGAACAGATAAGAAGAGTCGAGCATTAACATGTTATATTTTTTGATACGAATTAAAATTTATACATTAATACCTACTAAATAATGCATAAATACATTTATAAATAAATACATTAATACATGCAATTGTTGTAAATATTATGCTCATTTATAAATAAATGCGTGTAAAAAGATGTATTCAGTTGAATGGTAGAGACTGTAATTCAGTAGGTTTAATATTAATTGGTTTAGGTTGGCGTTTAATTTCAATTGTTTTCATTAAGTCAAATATTTTGCTTTCAAATCAAAATATGCCGTTAACTTGAGAAACTAATACTAATTGTTGAACCTTAAAACATGTTTAACCATCAAATCTGGTAAGAAAAGGCTTCTAACAAGCAATAAGCAATCAGCAACAATAGACAACAATTGCTAAGGCTTTAAGCAGTTAACGTCCATTGTTGCATTATTTGTTTATTGCATTAAATTATGATTAACTCACGTTTAGACCAACTATTTGTATTGCTTTAGAGTTTTAATTATTCGAGAATTCATTGGTACAACTGCCCGCAAGTATTAGGTTAATGCCATTCGCTTTGATGGTGACTGGCTAACTTTATAAACATACCTATTCTGTTTACAGGCTTAACACTAATCAGTTGAATATTATTAATGAATATATTTCAAAGTGAACATGAAATTGTTTGACAGAAAACATTCCAACTGATTGACTTTCTTGTTTAATCAGGCTCTTCATCATGATCATGACAAGAGTTGAGGTTAAAACGACTTTAAAAAGTTGAAAAAGTTGAACAGTTTTTTGAAGAAAAAAAAAGACTGAATAATAATGAAGTTTGCCTGGTTTGCAGGTTTTATCCTCTTTTTACAACGATTCTGGTGACATCAGTTTTTTTATCATCATGTACTTTTACAAGCTTTAATGCTACTCCTGAAGGGACGTTGAGCCCGATTTTTGCATCTCCATCGCCATCATTATCATCTTTATTATTCTTTGGTTTCATCCTTTTCTTCCTTGATTTTGCTTCAATTTTGGCTCATTTTAGTTATTCATCTTCTTTTTTTCAGTTTTAATTTTCCGTCTCTCCTTCATCCTTTTGGTGGTGACTGAATCAATAGAAAGAAAAAGGATGAAAAATTGATGAGGCAGTAAAAAGATTGATTTTTAAACATACATTAAAGTGGCCATAAAATTGGTTGAAAAAAAGAGTTGAAAAAGATCTTGAATCGCTGAAAAGTAAATGGTTACATTTTTTGCACATTCACATCAAAGTGGCTCGAAAAGGTTTTTGAAAAGGTCAACCAGTTGTTTTTAAAGATAACCTGATTCGGGTAAGACAACCGAAAAATGGTTATGGTGGTGATGGTAAAGATGATGATAGATGATAGATGACAGATCTAGCAATATTTACCTTTTCAACGAGAGAAGACATTTTGTTATAGATTGATACCCAAATCAGCTGGCTGTCCATTCTTGATGATCAACAATTGCCTTGAAATACTTTAACGGGTAGAATCCAAAAATTAATCCAGAGAAAGTCTTTTGTTTAGGTTGATCACGAGCAAAATTTGGGTTAATCAATGGTAAATGATCTGTAATCTGTTTGATCTAGAGTATCAGATATTGTCTCCACACTGAAAATAGCTTATCAAGCGCTATTCGTTGAGCAAAAAATGTAAAATTAATGCAAAATCAAAGGGGTCGAGGGACTATTGAATAATTTACTGACAATATCTGATAACTGTAACACTTAAAATGCTGGCTTTTCCAATGAAATAACAATCTGTAAGAAACAAAACAAGAAATAAATTAGGCAATTTCAATTCAAAATGCATTCCAAATAATCTCATTTGACTCACATTTGGTTTATTATACAAACTGTGAGGAGCTTGAAGATTAGTTCAACTCTATTCACTTCTATTCACTTCAATGTAACATTATCATGAGAGAGATGGTTAATAAGGATAATGATGGCTTACAATTTAAATATAAATTGATTTTGTTTTAATTGCAATTATTGCATTATTATGTATCTTGTAAATGAAGTTGTAATAGCCAAGGTTCATTTAGATTAGCTAAGGCAAGAAGTAAACAAGAAATGATTTTATACCAACATTGTAAGTTGCATTATTTAGATTTAACCAACAGTTGATTAAGTTAATAATTATCATTATCATTTACCTGTAGTTGTGTACTTTTAATTGTTAACTTGCCTTAAGTCTATTTTTTAATAGCCTTTAGACGATGATGATTTTGTTTAAACGTGATGACGTGTTTAAGCGAGTGTGTGTGTGTTGCCTGGGTTTTATGTTATTTGTTTGGAGACTTGATTTTTCATTGAATAAGCATGGCAACAGGGTTATTTAAAAGATAATATTTCATGGTTAGTGTTAAGAGGCCTTCAGTCGTATGTGTTATCTGTATCAGCATTGGATCACATATTGAGAGCTGCTAATGATGGACACACATTTTTGCTGTTTCCTCACCATTACCACTAATTATAAGGCATATTATTAAAAATCAGGATGAGAAGCTAAAAAAGAGGAGAGAAAATAAAAGATGAGATGAGATGATGATAGAAAGAAAAATGAGGTAAAAGTAGGGAAAAGGATGAAGATAGCCGAGTATTGAAGGTGATGAGGATGATGGCGTTTAAAGTTAATGGGGAGAAAGCAACATTTTTTGTTGTTGTTTCACCGATGATGGCGGATGAAGAAGGGTCAAAACAACTGCTATTCATACCGGCTTTTTTGGTCAATTTTGCTCTTTGGTTGAGTTGAAGTTGATGACCAGTTGATGTCTGATGAAATGGTTTAATCTGCTTGTCAATATCATTTTGTTTTGTTGACCGATAATGTAATAAGCTTAGAGTTTATTGAAAGTCTTGAAGCGCACCAAGAAAAGGATTTAACCGTCTGGATCTGGAAAGAGAAGTGAGAAAAAAAAGATTGAAATTAGTAAAGATCAGATGATTGTTGTTATGATGATGGATGAGAAAGATGAGTAAGAAAGAGAAAAAGGAAAGGATGAGATTGAAGAAGATGAATTATTAAGGTTGAGTAAATTTCCTGTAAAAAAAAGCTGACTGACTGACTGACGATGCATGATAATCACTTTATCATAATGAACTCATCTTAAACTGACCTTACAACTGAGACATTGATGTTCACTTGTTGCGTGTTTTAACCATTTTCAATCATGATGAAGATTATTATGATTTAATTTTTGTCAGACTGAGTAAAAATAAAATCACAATCATTAAACATGATCATCAGGATGGGCACAGAAAAAAAAGAAAACAGTAAAAATGAAAATGAAAATAATGGTCAGGCCTTGTTGTTGTGCGCAATGGTAAACTTGCAGCTTACTTTAACCTGGTTTTGAACAGTATCAAGTTTAGATGTTTGATTAAAGAGATTCACTGATGATTTAGTCTGATTATTTTGACACCTTGATGAATAAAGGGATTAATTGAATGAAATGATAAACAAATGAAATGTAAGCTCAATGAGAGGAAGCAAAAAAGCAAATGGCTAACCCAAAATTACTAACATTTGGGAAACATTTGGGAAAGATTGAAAGGTAGCAAATTTAAAGGCTGCCTTCGTGTTTTTAACACACATTTACTAATTGTTGATCTTTAATCAACTGTAATGGCTTGTTGATCCGATTGTCATTAACTCACAGTTTGATTGACACTTATAAAACATTGTATTCATTTTGGATGGCAGTAAACGTCTTTAATGGGCTCTTAAAGGCTGTTTAATTAAATTAATTTCAATTTGCTTTCTTCTTCTTCTTCTTCTTCAACTGACAATTTAATTAATTAACGATCTGTTGGTTGACCAAATGATTAATGATTTAAACAGTTTACCAATCAGGTTAAGAATGATAAGCAATTGATTTGTATTGTATAAAATAATCAAAGCATCCCAATGGATACAATCTGGTTAAGACTGTAAGGTTGGTTTCTGGTAATGGGAATGATTGTAATGGTAAAAATAATTTCAAACTCAACTGGACATTGACATTTATCAATATAAATTAAAGTGACATTATCAAGTTAACAAATTAACATTAATTTACCAGCCATTTAGATGGCCTGAAATCATTAATTAAGGTTGACATTCATATTTGTACCATTCCAGTTGACTATTATTATTGACTATTGAACAATTAAAGAATCGCTATTATCAGGGTTATCATTAAAATCAATTTAATGACAATCATTTTACACCTTATCACGTACGTATCCCTTAATGGTAATAATAATGAGAGGCATCAACACACACTCAGAATGATATTGGAAAAAACACTTTTCTTTGACAGAAAACCAGATTTTGTTCACAGTTTGGGTTCATTTCAACGAAGGTGGTTGTTGGTGTTTTGCGCTGTTGATATATACATATGTAAATTATCATTATATTTAGTTCCTGGTTTCTATATCTTCAACAAGTTGAGCATATTTTTTTCAGTTCAGTTGAAGATGAATGAAGAGAAAGAGAAATGACTTGAGGGAAGAGAAGAGCTTCTTCATCTTGTTGAGCGTTCACTTGGCGACCTCATTTTTATCATGTTAACCAAAGCTTGAATGTCACATGGGTTATCAGCCTGAGGCTGAACGAGAATCCAAAAGGAAGCAAAACATGACGCTCTTCAAGAGCATGAAAACTGGTAAGATGAAGATGAGCTGAAGCAGCAAGAAAAGCAACAAAAAATGAGTTTTGATGAAGAGCAAAGCTGAAAGAAAATTGAATCCATTTAAAGCTCAAGGCACAGATGGAATCATCATTTTTGCTTGTTTCATTTTCATTTGTTTTACTCTTTTCATTTGGTTGATTGATTTGCATGAATTGGCCAAAATTGATTGCTAATGTTAACCGCAAAGTGTCTCCGGTTAGGTTCAAACAACTAACACTATTTGGGTTGACAATGGGTAACATTGAAATGAAATGAGCTACGTGATTGTCTTCAGCCTTTCAATGCGGAGGAAAACATTTCACTCTCGAAATATGATTAACGTATTAATTGTTATTATTACTTTGGCCTTAACAAATTGAGAAACATTTTAACAGTTTAACTGGAAAGATAGTTATCAAGAAAAATTTAGTTAATTTGCCTCAATCAATGAAAAATTATCAACAACAGCAAAATGGATTTGCCTTTTGAACCATTTTGTTAGCGTTTAACTTTAAGACAAAACTATCACTCATTATTATTAATACAAGTATCATTATTAATGAAAATGTAAACAGTCTTTTTGGTTGAGTAAAGGCAAAAATACAGTTAATAGTTAAGATTAACCAACTAACCTCTAAAAATATCACATCTACCTTCAATTGATATTAACATACATTGACCTGGCATCGTCAAATCAACTGCAAATTATCCGTAAAAAAAACGTTAATCTTTTTGGTACTCCTTTTTGATCTGGCTTACTTCGCATCAATTTAGTTAAATTATGATTATCTCTTGCGCTTTGGATGGCAGCAAATTATACTGATCAAATGATAAACCAATTGATTCCTCATCACCCCATTAAAATTAATCTTATTGATCAACGAATCACTTGACATCTTCTGGTAGAAGCAACCATTTCTAACAACATTTTCACAAATTAAAATCAACTGGTAATAACATAACATGAAAGGGTAATGGAGATAATCATGGATTTGAGGATTGCCGGCCAATTGGTTATCTAATAAACTTGATGCGGAAATTGATTGGACAGATAAAAATGAATAACATAACATGTAACATGTTAAAATTGATATCAATAGCTGCTGGTCAACATGGCTACAAACCTTTGGATGGTAAATTAGTCTGATCAAATGAAAAACCAATTCTTTCGGTGATGTTGCTACAGAATAACTTTATTTTTCCAAATTTTCAACAGATCAAGTCCAGAAGGAACTTTTTTTCAATACTTTGGCGAAATTTTTCAAATTGAAATTCGAAGCGTAATTTTTCCTTTGTATATTCAGCTTTAGATATTACCTAGAACTTTTCAAAAGAACGAGATTGCAGCAAATTTGAACAGTTTTGTGCAGTTGTGTGATCAGATATTTTCATAAAAATCATTTTATTGATGTGAAATATTATAAAGTTTTTGTTTTCTGTACAAGAGATCAGTTTGATTCTCAGTTAAACAATGCTAATTCTGTGACCGTAAAGGTTAGAGATCTGAAACTTATTATTTGTCGATAAAAACTGTTAATACACATCAATCAATCAATAGATTACATTATGGGCTATAATATGGTCAAATATTAAATCATTCAAGATCCTAAAAAAAGTTTAGCATTGAATCACTTTTGTTGTCTGATCTGATTCTTGATTTATAAAGGTATAATAAATGTTTACTCAAATACAAATCTTGATGCGTTAGCAGAATATTCATTATCAAATGAAGCAGCTTAGATTTTCTCCGGTATTCAGTCATATTAAAGCCCACTATCATCTGGTCATCAAAGCCTTCAATATTGTATCTCACAAACAATAACAAACGATTCTCAGATCTCGTGGGCTTCCACAACCTGAGCAACTTCAATTTCGGTTTTTTTATGGTTACTCAAGTTCATTCTCTAAAACTTGAATCTTTTCTTGCATTGATTTGTGTTTATTACAAAGGGCAAGAGTTGAATGATGATAGCCATTATCAACAATCGCAAGCAATAGTCAACTTTGGAGTTTATTTATTAAAGTGTTTTATAATCACTATAAATGCCAATCAATTGTGTCGATGAATTTAATGTCTTCAGACTAACCATAATGAACCCGTATTTTTAAGAGGTTCAAATATAAATAAAAAACGGACATCAGCAGACAATATACGATTGGAAAGTTGTTTCAGACAACAATAGATGGTAGACTTGTTGAGCAATTGAATAGACAGTTGAACAGTTGAATGTTTCATTCATTTTGTTAATCGGTTATCATCTTAATCTGATTCTCATCATTATCTTTGGGTCACTTAAAGATGACAATCATGTTGTTGATGATGGTTGTGATGCCTTGATTGTTACAAGTTAATAGGCACAAATTACAATACAATTACCCAACACAACAAGCAAAAATCAAAAGGTATGTAAACACATCTTTTTATAGTAAACAAAATGTTTTAACGTTGGTCCATTTTTTCATTAACTCTTTCAATTTACTGTTGAACCCTTTTGCCAAATAAATTGTTGAATTAAATTGATCAATTGATCAACAATTTAATGGCTTTTTAGATGGTCAAAGTAATATAATAAAGAAAAAGGTTAATATTTTCAACCGTTTAACTGGTTGAAGAAATAGGAAAGAGTTGAACAAAATTGGTCCAAGTAATCATCTCAACTGTAATCACATTTTGATTCCTATTTGATTCACATTTAACAATATTATATCTCACTGACTGTTACATAGTTGAGTTGATGAAAAAAGGTTGAAATTCAAATGTTTTACCTTTGATTGGTACCAATCAAACCTGGAAAGTGCGTGTCAAGTCTAACCAGTAAACCCATTATAAAGTGATTACATATAATGTATTTTTGTCCCATCTCTCAATACAAGCCACCTTTTGATATAATTTGATATAATAGTGAAAATTGCTTTTAATATCATTATTAATTGTTGCTAATTTATTACTCAATTACTTCATGATTATTAGACAACTTATCATTGTTACATCAACTTGCTACCGTTGATTTAACCCTTGATTTATGTTAAGTCGTTGTTTAGTTTTTCATCAACATTAATCAACTACTCACGAGTCTTCAATAATTGCATTGTTATTATCAATATCAAACAATTTATTACTTTCTCAAGTTTCATTCTGATTAACTTTAAATCAAATTTAGCCTTTGATCACCAATTTACTCTGCAGTTGAGCTCATCATTGTGGGCTTACCTTTGTTTTAATTAAACTTTGGCTGTAAAATTTAGATGATAAACAATTATCTATTAACCCACTCCTTACTTGGCTTTTAATTGAATCCATTTATTTTGTGCTTTCATTTGATTCAATGAATCAAATTGTTCCCCTGTTATTGTAATTGCAGATGGGAAAAGATGATCAACTTGTAACATGAAACTGATTTTGAACAAAATGCGTTTCAATTGGGTTTCAATTTTGAATTATTGAAGACTCTATTGCTATTTGGAAAAATTAATTTTTGTCAATTTTAATAATTTTAATCTAAAAAAACTAAATACACTGTTGGTTAACAAATTGTGTTGCTTTTTTGCTATGATTCAAAATGACTTAGTTTGATAGGGAAAATAGTTGAGTGTAAAGGTTGAATCCAACAATTTAAGTTGATTGTTGTGAGAGGAAAAAAAGTATTTTGACGACAAAAAAACAATGAGTATATTACTGTTGATGATAATGAGGATGGTAATTATTAAGCTGCAGATATTTTGAGCCATAAGATGACGATTGATTTATACTTGTTGGTGTGTGTTTAACGATAAAAAACATGACTTTGTTTTATGCTCAGTGAATCTGGAAGAGCTTGACAAAAATATACATTTATAATTGTAGGAATCCAGATTGGAACCTTGAATTTTTTACTTTTCCCTTTTTTTTGGTGCAAACAGCTTTTGTTATGTTGATGGGAAAATGAGGAGAAGAGGCAAATTAATGGGTTTTAATGGACAAAAGATGTTGCAAGTCAAGAACGATTTTATCAACACTAACAAAATGTTTTGAATATTAAAGTTACTGCCATGATGATGATGATGATGAGCTATCTTACAAGTGTTAAAATCCTAATTGTTGGCAAATTTTAAAGGTGGGTACTGGGAAGTGCGTTTGTTTTTGTACAATTTCGTGACTTCGATGCTGATAATTGTTGCTGTCGAGCAGTAAATCGTCCAAAATTACCTAAAGACACCGCTCTTTTACCATGCACAAGTTCAGTGCTAATCTCATTTGGATCAGTGGAACCAGGATTTGAAGATGATCCTGGTGTAGATGAAGTTGAAGATGATGATGATGTTGGATGAAGATTATTATTCTTTTTAAGCTTCTTTTCATCGGCAACTTTTTTATCCTCATCATCGAAAGCTTCATTATCTTGTCCTTGTTTCTCGATAATTGCTCGCGTTGTAACTAAACTGTTACCGTTAGTATGGCCAATATTGCACTTTGTAACTGGAAAAGATTCAGTTGTACAAACAGAAGCATCACTTTTTTGCTTTGAGACGGAAGGTTTGCATGAAGATGAAGTTGATTCAGATGATGTTTTGATAACACTATTACGAAGGGTATTATTACCGCAACAGGTTGATTCGGTTGATGCACTATTGGTTATTGATGCGACTTGATGGTGATTATGATGATGATTGGAATGAGTGTGAGTTTGAAAATTACCATTATTAGCAAGACCACCAAATAGATGGGCATCATTGCCAACAAAATATCTATAAGGTGTATCATAATCAACCTCCAAGATTGTTGAAAATTTATTTGGGAAAAAATAGTCAAAAATAACAATGATTGATCCAACTGAGAGTGCAATTATACCAGCAATTAAAACAAGCCAAAAGGACCAACCATAGGAAAAACTGAGAACACCTCCGGGAAAGGGAATCCTCAATGGATTGGCAGGTAGAGAAAGGCTGTAACAGCCATTAATAAATAACATGAAACCTCCGATAATGGTTAGAGTATAGATTCCATACTTGGGAACAGCACACAACATGATCAACATGAAAAGCCAAGCACAGAATGCCATGACCAACAGATTGGAGGCTAAACTGCCTGCACCACGATACTTTTCACCCCAACTGAATCCTTCATCGGCTTTACTTAAATACTCTAAGATGGTTAAAATAGGGAAAGGAAGTCCTTTGGCAAGTGCACTTCGATATTCTTGTTTCATTCCTGTGGCCTCAATCCAGTAGAAACGTTCATTGTAATCAATTTCCTCGGCTCTTTTATGATGAGTCGCTTTAGCTTTTAATGTAATATTAACACTCTGTAATCCAATATAAACACCAACATCAGCAAATATCTTTTGCTTTGAAAATGCTCGATAAGGACTAGATATTGAAGCTTCAGCTATATGCCAACTGGAACCACAATGAGCAACTGTAATTGTACATCCAATAAACAATGATAGACTAACTATTATAAAGGTTGATATTTTCTGTAAAAATGGAAGAAAATAAGAAAATAATTAGTAAATTAGAAAATTAAATTCAATACAAACATGGAAATATATTAACATTAAAAGTGACCAACAATCTTGCTTTTAAACAACTTTTACCATCTTAGTTTATACACAATGAAAGTATGAAATTAGGTAAAATTGTTTCCCTCTTTTCAGGTTTAATTTTTGTCTCAAAAGCTGTTCTCATCAACCTTGTTATCAAGTTAATTCATGACATTTCTTGGTATTAATGATTCAATGAATATTTTTTTTGAAAACAATACAATCTTGATAGAGAAATATCTTAATATTTTGCTTGTTGATTTGGTTGAATTGAGGTGAGTACAACAATTGAAGCTACAAAATGCTATTTTATGATATTGTTAGCAACTTGTTAGCTAATTTGGTTAGCTTGAGAATGAGAATAAGCATGATTATGATGATGATGATTAGCTTGCATTCATATGAAAATTATCAAGGTTAGGTTAGGTAAAGGAAGGAATGAAACATTTTTTTTCATTAAAATGGCTTAATTAAGAGAGGAGATGTTTCAAGAAATTAATGAAATAGACTTTAAGATTACTCTTGATTTTTTTACGGGTCAAGGTTTGGATGATTTGGTAATTGTTTATCCAGTTTAATATTAAATTATAATAAGGTTTGCTTTTCTTTGTCTAACATCACTTGATTTGAAAAGTTTCAACTGAAGAGAAACAAAATTGTTGCAAGGAAAAATCATTTTCATCACAGAACGATGTTGGTCTACATTTTGAACATTCATTGTTCAAGCAATGATTTATTCATGATTTTACACTACGTTTGATGAAATTATGGATGAGGAATAAATTAAACTATGAAAAATAATAACTATTTGATTGTTGTGTGAGATTGTAAATTGAATAAAACTATTTTGTATGTTTCATGTTTGATCAAGATTAAATAATGTAAGAATTGATGATTATGATGATGATGGTGATGAACTTGATTGATGCGTTTAAAGTTTAGTTAACCTTTATATAATTTTAAAAGTGATTAGCTTAACGTAGCTTCTCAGTCAGCTGAATTCAGATGGCTTTGAACACTAATTATTATTTAGTAAAAAAATATATAATGAAAGAAAAAAAAACATAAGCTTTGTGTAGGCTTATTATTGTATTCATTTTTTTGTTCAAAAATGAGAGGAAAAGTTTCATTGAGGAAGAGGCGAAAATGAAATGAAGTGTGTTAATTATGTTGATGGTGCTAGAGTTGTTGTTGATGATGTTGATGATCAAGTCGAAGAGGGAAATAAACTCAACTTTAATAAATAAATTTCTTCTCAAAAGCCTAATATGTTCCTTGTCGAGATTGCCTTTATTGTATAAACATGCACTTCTTGGGTATATAAATCACGAGTTGATCATCTTTTAATGTTAAATGATGGTAACAGTTGATTAAATGTTTAATTTTTTTACCTCTTTTCGTATTCCAGGTAAAACTAGAAGGAATGCAATCTCTGCTGTGGCAAATGTTAACAGAATGAAAAAAATTCTTGAATCAATCAAGGAAGAAGTTCGATTGGGATCAAGATACAATGGTGGACCTCCATTGGGTCGAAAGGCATCAAACCAACCCGATTCAGATGACATATCATTAAATATGGTTAAATAAATCAGGCTTAGCAACTAATCCAGATTCAATCCTGTAATGGTTTCTTATTGAATTGATGCATGAAATCTTATGGACACAATAATCACATTGAAGTTGAGATGAGATGAAAATGGAGTAAAGAGTAAACCCAAAAAATGGTAAAAATGGCAATGGAAGTATTAACTAATACAATTTAAAGTTGGTTAAGTTGACTTTTTTAATATTGATGGCAAGAATGATGATGGCGAGAGGGGTAAAGATGACGATGACTTAAATAAAGAACCGGTCAGAATGTTGTTTACGAGCTGAATTACGGTTAAAAGTTGATAAATGTCCATTTTGGTAACACATAAATTGATCGGCTGATTCCTTAGATTGTCAGAAGGTTACGTAAAACAATTGTTTGCTGTTGTAAATTTCCATTCTGAGTCTATAAATATAATTTACAATGACTCAGTATCCAAAAATTGGCGATAATTTGTAACAATTAACAATATAAAGATGAGATCAAATGACTTCTTTTGTCCAGTCCTTTTTTATTTTTGGCTCAATTTCACACAGAAGCCAACAATGGAGTCACTGGTTTCAACACTTATATGGCAGAGTAACACAGATTGGTAGACTTAGATTAATTTGGTCAACACTTATCAAACAGTAATAATATACACAACAATTATTAAATTAGTGAATTATTAATAACAGTCTGTTAACCAGTTTCAAGTTTCAACGTCAACAACAAGTTAAAAGCTAACTTAAACGAAAAAATTACGCTATGATGAAGAAGCAAGAAAAATGTGTGAGCAAGAGTGAGATTAAAAATCAACTTTTTTCTCGCTCCTAAGTAATAATTAGGTTAATATTAATAGATGGCACCACGTAATCAGAAACTTGAAAAAATAAATTTCAATAAACAGCTGATGATAATTGATCAGAAAGTTCAACTTTTTTTATGTTAATAATTTGTTTTGTTAAAATTATATTTATTAGTTCTGACTGTATTTTCATGAATGATAACAATAATAGAACAATTTGTTTCATTAATCTTTATTTGTAAAGATACATCTTAACATTTCGACTTTGATTGTTTTGTCAATGAATAGAGATTATTGTTGCTCTTTATAAACCTCAATTTTTCTTGCTTTACCTTTCAACCGCAATTGTTAAAATCGACTCAATCGGATCAATTTAATCTTGTAGACTTTTTTGTTGACATTTCACTTGCTAACATGTTAATCTATTCACCTTGAACTCTTGAAATTTCAGTATCATTTCGAGATTGTTTCACAACTTTACTGGTCTTCTTCCATTCCTTCCTGGTCCATTGTTGGTTCAACAGGTTTCTGGGAAACTCATGTTTTTCACCTTTTCCATTAAGCTAGAGATGCTTGTTTTGACAGGATTACAACTCAATCATTCACTTTAATTCAACGTTTCTCTAATTTATTCAAAAATTTGATGGATTTTGGATGAAAAATCGGATCATCGTTTTAAAAAGACTGCAATTTTTTAATCGATTGCTCTCCAGTTATCCTGATTTTTAGGCAAAATGATGAAACATCAATTTTCCTTTTCAATTTTCACTTTATTTTTAGACCAAAAACAGTTACATAAAAGTATAAATAGATGAAAATCTTCATTTTCATCTTCAATTGAAGCAATTATTACAGATTGCAGTTAAAGATTATGTGAGGTCATTTGCTGGTCCTTAAGCAATATTCATGATTACAGTTGTATCCCTGTATTGGATTTCCAGGAATTTACTTTCAATTTCTCAGCTATAACTAAAGCAATCAAAGCTAAAACCATTATTATCAATGTTCAAAGGATCATCTTCACCTTAATCCAACCGTCCTGATTTGAAAGTATCATTGAAACAAAAACTGGATTATCTCATTGAAGCCATTAAATGATGACTGAACCAAAAAGACCAGAAGTCGTTAACTAAAATAGTTAAAAGCCTGCTACTTCTCAACCAGATTTACTCAACTTCTTGATTTTAATGGACCAACAAATCATTGGTAACAATCAAGATCAACCAAATCACCTTCTTTTTGCTGCTTCTCGAAATAATCAAGGTTATAACCAATAAGGATCACAATTCAAATTTTAATGGGAAACCAGAAAAAAAAGTCAACATAATATTACAACTTCCTCCATCGATGTGTACTTCAAAATCAACTTGAAAGTTAGACCAATTGGTTTTAATTGAAAACAGGAAGAAGGAAACGTTTTAAATGTGATTCAATTTAATTGTTGTAATACAATGTTAATATTATAAATGGAAAGCAATAAGCAATGGCCATAATTTAACCATAAACAATAAAAAGGTTGGACAGAAAGAAAAGGGTAAGATTTAAAACAAAAGCCTTTTCTTTACCTTTCCCTAATCAACTATTTAACTCTCTCACTAATTTACAATTTTAATTTACAATCAATTTCAACTCTTTTTATCAGTGTTGTTGTTGTTTTTTCATTTTCATCATTGTTACCTGAATAGCAATCTAACCTTGAAGCGTTGGCGTTCAGTCCAAGTGTATAAAACCAAGTGCAAACCATTCACTGCTGTTTCTGGCTCCTGCTTAACCAGATTTTTCAACCATTTTTTTTTGGGTTGCGCCAAGGTTAAACCTGATTAATAACAATAAAAACAAACCCAGGCCAATGTAATGTCACAATTAATCCAAAAATTTTCATCATCTCATCAGCATCTTACCTCCTCCTTATCATCATCATCATAATCACCATTCTTCCTGCAATGGATTTCCACTTTCTCCTTGAAACAAACCAAGAAGAAGCAAACCGTTTCTTGCATTTAAAACAACCTTGATTAAAATTCCCAATCAATCTATTTTTAACCCAAACCAAACCCTCTCTATGTGAATTAACTTAATTGTTATACAAGATACCAAATATAAACATTGACCATTCCATTTAACCAGTTTTACCAGACGTTATAACAATTGAACCTCAGATGTATTTGGTCGTTAGGCATATTACTCCTTTTACCATGTTGATTGAAAATTACAACGAGCTGACCATGAAACTAATATTATTAATAACTTGATTAACTGTAGTCTTGTCTTGTTTTTGTTTTGCTGTTAATTGAGACTTATTTACACTCTATTTGTGCTTCAGTTTTGTTCAACTATTTTTAAATTTACAGTTCAATTTTGGTGCCTTTTTTGAAAGGTTGCTTCAAGGCTGCAAGTTGTTGATCTTATATTACAATCACTTTATTTACTGTTTTACCAACAAGATTAACAACAATTAACTAATTGATAAACAAATATTGTTAACATAATTATCTTCAATCAATTTTAATGCTTAGGCTGGTTTTAACCAAATGCAACATCTTGCAACGTCTTTGTATTCACTTTTACAGAGAAATGGTTTTCAATCAAAAATTTGGACAATTTTTGCTAAGATTTTCTAATTGTTCAAACTTGCGATAGTTATGAACATGAAAAATTTAGAAGCATGAAGCATTTTCATATCAATATCTCATAACTGAATGAATTTTTCACCAAATTTACAACATCAACAGCTGCAATTACCGATTTAAATGCATGATTTTCAATCGTCTATCACTATCATCATCTAAATAGTCTTCATTTTAGCACTTGCAGGTTCAAGTAGTTTCATTTCAACAAAAAGTAGTGTGAAAGCGAAAAGAATTATCGATTTGACGAATATTTTTACACATTTTTAGGTTAAATTAGCAATAATGATGAGTAGGATTAGATTATAATGGTTTGAAATGTATTGCAAATCCATTTAAGATTGGTGAAAATGTCTTATAACGAGTCTTCAAATTTAATTTTTAATGGCATTTCTCATTATTTTGAACCACAAAAAAACAAAATATTATTCAGACCAAATTAAAATATAAAAGGCAATAAAGACTTTAAAAAAACGATGTGATGAAAATTGCGGAGTTGTTAATTTTAAACCAGCTTAACCATTCAATCATAATTATTAGAACATAATATTTTAACAAAAGCTGTTCTTACGATTATCCTTTCAACATAATAATAAATATAAAAGGATAGATAATCAGTCACCTTTCCAGGGGATCATTTTGATTTAGAAATGATTCAGAGAAAGCAATTGAAAGATTGGAAAGTTGCTGGGTAAGTGTGTATAATGCATCTATGAATGCGAAAGGGGAAAATCCAATGGACAGTGGAAACAGCAATAGCTATTATTATCACTATTATTATCATCATCGTCATTATTAAATTCATTGTTACCCACCCAAGAGTAGTATTCCTGTTGTAACTCTTGTTGATTAGCCTTGAGGGTAAGTTCACACAACTCCAAAGGCGCCATGTTATTATGAATACACTTTTTTTTCTGGAATAACCTAAAGCTATCGACCGCCCCTGTTAATAGTTACAACTATTAACATGTAAGGGTCCATTATTGGAATCAAGGTTTCGATAATTAATAGCAGCGATGGTAATTATTTTTCTTTTACATTTTAATTGCAAATATTTTTGATGATCAACAATTTCTGAACCAATTTATCAGTTTCTTTGCGCTGCTCTTTTTACGAATCCTTTTCTTGCTGTTGGGTTGTGTGTTGATGTGATTGGATCCGTGAATAGTTATTTTTGTTTCCTCATCAACGTTAATATAAAATTTGCTTTCTGGATGGAAACAGGTATTGGTCAATAATTGCCGACTTGTTGGACGGTCATGTCTGTGGATGTTGTCCAATTTGTAGTGGGAAAATCAGTTTTTTAAAAGCTGCTGTAAGATTAGCCTTGGAATCTTTTTTTATCCTTTTCATCGGGAATCGGGTAATTGTTGGCTATTGTAATTCAATTTGCTGCTGATTGTCATTATGTATCTCCGCTTGGTTATTAACCAAAATTTTTAACATTAAAGGATTTTCCAAAAGATTGAATATAATAATCATGTCCAAAGTAACAAATTTGATGAAAGGAATGAGAAATAAAATGCTGATTAAAAAAATTTCTCGTGGTCCTTTGATCAGTCAAGCATCAACAGGACATAGTTAATTTTTGCCATCATAGTAATCTTCAGGGAACTTGAAATTCTTGATTACAAATTTCGACTTTCTTTGCCAGTTTCAAGCAACAATGATGATCGAGACGTCACGGAGAGAAAGACTAATCAACTGATTGTCTCTGCTTCTCATTGTGTCCATACACATACACAACAGAACACAATAATCAACCAAATCAGGCAGCATGATTGTCTCATGATTATCTCTCTTCTTTCACCTGAAGGACTATCAGGTCTTACCTTCACAACTCAAAAGCAACAGTAAAAAGCAACAAAAGCAGCAACAGAAACAGCAGAAGCAACAGCAATGACTTGATTTTCAGAAAGATGAGCTTGTTGACGACTGTGAATACTTTTTTTCCTAAAAGAGAGAAAAGGAAGAAATAAAAAAAAATGTTAGTTAATGGTTAACAAGTCGAGAACTCATCATCTTTGATCATCATCTAGATAACTTCAGGGATTAAATTTGAAAATGAATTCATCACTTGAATTATAAATGAACAATTATGGGGTACTTTTATGACAAAATAATTCTCAACATTGAAAAAGCAAAAGCATCCTTGTTGACAGCGACAGATTAACCTTAAATTTGCATTTCCTTCGTCTTTACACAATTATAGCTGATATTATTATCGATGATGGTTGATGGTAAGATCAAGATGACTATGGTGCTGATGGTGATGATGGTTATGATGATACCAAGTGTAATTTCAATTTTTCACAGAACACAGAGACAAATAGAAAACCTTGGAAGTTATTATCTTGTCTGATTGACAATTAATTGATGTAATCCACTGTTTCAAAAATTCAACTTATTTTCGTAAGGTTGTAAGGGAACAACAGCAATCAACACACTCAATATAATTACCATCATTGTGACTAAATTAATGATAATTAACGTTGTCTTGATAATGTTTCTCTTACCTTTCATTTTTACAATTCCTTTGTTTTTATTAACTTCTCCTTTTGTTCCCATTATTGTCACTTAATTATAATTTACAGTTGATGATATTTTTCACTGTTACAAAAAAATGTGCTTCGTGAAGAAGGACAAAATGGCTGACAAAAGGAATGAAGTGACAAATAAAGTTTAACCCGATTACTAACTAGCAACTGGCTCAGCAAACTGATCCATTAGATAACATATCTATTGAATCGGATTTCTTGCGGACTCGATACTTTTATTTATGTATCAATTAACCAGAAATCATACAAAACTAAACGTGAAAATGAGATGATTGAGAAAAAGATTGACCAGCTTTAGCTGGTCTTACACATTTCGGTGAAAATTAATATGTTCAGCAAATGAAGAGCAATCTTTCAATAAATGTAACAAGTCAACAAAACTTTTTTTTGTATTCAGTTTCAACTTTGAACCCGATTTTGTCAATGATTGACCATCAGAGAAACTTTTTAATCAAATAAATGGAATAAATTTTATGCCTTTGCACCCAAAAAAGGTCCAACTCTCAACCCGAACAAAAATTTTTTAGTTGTGCTTAAAGAATGGATTTTTTCATATCAAAATGAATATCACTGAGGCAAATCTGAAAATTTCAACTTTTGAATTCATTATTCTGAAGATGGTTTTTCATTAAGAATTCGTGTTTTTTATGTCGATTTATTGTAGCCTACTCAGTGAAAAAAATTCATGATCAGTCATTTTTTGCGGCACAATGGTAACGGAATGGTTCACAAGAAACTCTACGACCAAATTATGACCATGATTTGATGATTTAACAGTAGCAAAAAATACTTGAGCGTTCTAGGAACTCAGATTCTTGAGAAAATCGTGTTCAGGTTGGTGTGAAAAACAATCCGTATTCAAAAGCGATGCAAAGTAAAGAAAATTATCTTTTCATTTAATGATGTTATCGTACATTGTTGGATGATTTATTTCGAGTTAAGAAGTGTGACTTGATGAACTTTTAGGGGCATAAATTTTATTTAGTTTAAATTGTTTAAAACATGAACGCTTCCTTTCAATTTTATGATTAACTAACTACGAAAAAATTCAAATCAAACTCAATCAAATGATAGAACTCAATTAAAACTCGGATCGTTACGAATATTCAACACTCAACACGTCTTTTTGATCCCTTATGCTGTCTAATAATATTAAAAATAATATTCAACCTTTCCCTCTGTCAACCATTTGTTAAGAAAAACTGATGCTCACATAAAATGGCAAAAGAGTTTGAGAAAAGTGAAAATTGATGAAAATATTAATGGCCAGTTAAATTTGTTATCACTTAATTTTTACAGTAATCAAAAATCAATACAGATCAAACGATCAAATAAAAATTGAATTGATTCAACATTATTGGTGCAAAGAAATAAATCATTAATATGATTTTCTGAACCTGAATTCAGAGAAAAGTCATCCTATTGATTTATCATGAAATTGATGTGGTCAAGATATCTATTATATTTCCATAGAACCCATTTCAGCCACTTTGACGCAAACATTAGGTGCATCCACTTTATAGCTTAATATTGTTAGATTTATTGATTAACCTTGTTTGATTGTTAGCATTGTTGTTTCCTTCATCCTTAACGATCATTCTTTACTTTTCCGGAAAATCATTTAATTGTAAACCCGACAGACAACAGAATCAAATCAATTTCCCTTTCATCTATTGTACTGTTTACTTTCAATTTTGTCCCTTCATTTTACCCTTCAATCTGTTGCTATTTATTGATTAAAATTCATTAATTTAACGTTTCTGTTTTGTTTCTATTATCAATTGTCTTTTGTATTTGTGTTTCCAATTAACATTGATTAGTTGATCATTGACTAGCAAAAAAGCTAACAGTAACAACAACCTTTCCAATAAAAGAGGAAACGATTGCACCTTTAAGATCTCAAAACGTAATGTTTTTGCCAAATTTTTTAAGGTAACACTAAATTTACACTCAATTGTCACCAAGTTGATTCAATTGTTACACTTTTCAAGTGTATTTACCATTTCAAGTTCAAGAAATCTCTAGTCTGGTCAACCAAAGTCAACCAAAATGACCATTTTAGGTTAAGAAGCCTTTCATTCATCTCCAGATCAATCCATTCATCTCATCATCTTTTTCATAAATATTGAACCCAAAAAACCTCAATTTTGATTACAATGAAATTATTGTTTCATTAAATTCATCTAAATGTTGGCAATTCATTTCCATCTTCAAATGATTATCTTAAGTAATTTAAAACGTGCAAAAAGGCACTTATTATTGTTACATTTCAACCAATTTTACCAGAAAATTAGCTTCTCCATTTGACCCTATTAACTTAATTCATTACTTTTGATTCACATGAAAATTGCGTTGATTTTGTTTTTAATTTGCTTTATTTGTGTTCAACACTTTTACAAGTGAACAAACCTGAACACGATTAATGTTATTGTTATCATTTGTGTTTACTTCAATATTTACAATTTACTTATTGTTACCTTTTTCATTTGATTTAATGTTCAATTCATTTGTTCACTTTCATCATCTAACAACATTAAACATCACCATAATTATAGCTATTTAATCATATTGGATTAACTTGTCAACCTTGTTTCATCGATTAAAAACCATTTTTACAGTTTACTTTAATTCCAATTGTATTCAGCAAATTGTTAATGTAATAGAAGCATGTTTTAATCAAAATAAAGTAAAATAATTGTAAATCAAATATAAAATTGAGTTGCCCGCGCTTTTCATTGCCATTTCCCTCAATCGATTAACTTGTTTCTTATTGGCTCCTTATATACTTGAACGGTTGTTTTAGTTACTCAGCAACTTTCTTACAATCAACTTTTCTTACCATTAACAACATTATTTTTTATTATAATTTTATCATTTACTTTCTCTCTCTATCTCTCTCCTTTTCATTGAAACCTGTTGTCTTCACATGATCAGCTGTGAGCATGGAGCGGGAGTCATTTATTTTAACGGATTGAACAACTTACAAGCCAAAATTTGATCAGATCAATCACAACCATCCATCAATCAACATTGAAGATTTGTACAGAAACTGCTGTTTATTATAATCAGCTTTCAACAATTCCAAACTTTCTCAATTATAATATTGAAATTAATCATCAGCATTCCTTTCAAGACATCTTCATCATTCCCAAAGCTTTAAGCTATCCAACTCATTGGTCTTTTGTGTTCTCAGTGTTGTCATCATAATTTGGGTTTCACCAGTTTCCTGTGGACTTTCAGTGTTTCATATTTATTTGCATTTTATTCATCTTTAGGTTGATTAGGCAGCCTTGTTTGCCTATGCAATTGTCGTTATCTTTGGGTTTGTAAACCCAGATGACAATGTGATGATCATTTTTGTTGAAACAAAAATTGTATTCCATTTGGATAAAACTTGTGTCCATCAACTTATCTTGTGATATGTCTCCTGAATCGGGTTGGTTTGATGCCTTTCGACCCAATGGAGGTCCACCATTGTATCTTGATCCCAATCGAACTTCTTCCTTGATTGATTCAAGAATTTTTTTCATTCTGTTAACATTTGCCACAGCAGAGATTGCATTCCTTCTAGTTTTACCTGGAATACGAAAAGAGGTAAGTTTATCAAAAATTGTATTCAATTTGTTATTACATTTCATCAATTGATTAACTTAGCCGCACGCATCTTCAATAGACTGTTATTTTCAATTTAATTTCAATTTAATTTATTCTTCTCTTCTCAATCATAATCAGCTCATTTTGATTTTTGATTTAAATTTTGGCACATTTTTATTTAAATTAACACTTAACTCATCATAACATCAGTCAGCTAACCATTTTCGTGATCAAATCGTTTCATACTCCATTTCAAATTTTATGAATTTAGATGTTTTTACGATTAATCTCCATATTTACCTGGAGTGATATAAAAATGATCATTTTTTTATCAATCCATTTGAAACCTTCAATGATTAAGTCATGAAATTTAAGCTTTCAGCCAATTGTTATTTGCTCTCAATTACTTAAGCTATCAATAAAATTTCACCAAAGTTTCAACTGTGTCGTCTTTTTGCTGTCAATTCAGCTCATTCTTGCTTCTCATTAAGCTAACTACTAATCATATCATTTATTCAAGATATTACATGTAAATGTTTTCACCAACCTTGGCCTTCAAAGTGAATCTTCATAACTAAAGCTGCCAATTTCATTCATCTTGAGAAATCGCTTTTCATTTCATTTTGTATCAATGATTAAAGTACCTTTTTCAAGTGTTAATTTGATTTAAGTTTCCACATTTTTTATGCAAATGCAATATTAGTTAATATTTCACTATCGTTAGGCTATCAATAACTTCCTTCAACCTTCTCTTAAATTGAATTAAATAAACAGATAAGTGCTTTATTCAATTACTTTCTCTACTTGTAAAATCATTGGTTCCAGTTCAATAGTCTGAATAATTTACTCTAAATTTTGTAATTTTACCGTTTTCAGTCAACCAATTATCCATGAGCATAATATGTTACAAGAAACACATCGACATTAGTACGAAGTAAAAAACCCTTCAAAAATTGTCATTATCAAAACTTGAATTACCTACAATTCAAGGTTCATTTTTCACCATTTCCAGCCAACATTATGACTAACTTTGAGTCTTTTTGTTTCTTGCTACAGAAAGTATCAACTTTTATGATATTAATATTAACCAATTTATTGTGTATCAATTAGCAATTACAGTGGTTTTTGGACGATCAAAGTGTTATAATTTTCATTTTTTTGAAGTGAAACTTGCCAAATTATCTCAATTCAACCTCGTCAATTCTGATTCGCAAAAGTTATTCATTCAATTGTTTTACCTTAAAATGTCCTAAATTAACTCAATAACAAGGTTGATGAGACTTGATAACTTTCAAGACAAAAATTTACTAATTCAGCTATTTCTTTCTGCAGTTAACGCAACAAATGGGTCAATTTTTACCATAGTCGCCATCTATTAGATCATACAATTATCTTCAAGGTCGAGCATTAATTACATATTAAAGTCTCTAAAACAATAAAATACCAAAGATGGCGACACCTAAAAATTGCGTTAAGTGAAACCCCAATTTGTTGCGTTAACTGCAGCTACCAGTGTATTTCTTTCTTCTTTCATTAGAGAAATATTTTACATTTTATTAAAAAAAATATTTCTCCATCAAGATTGTATTGTTTTCAAAAATATATTCATTGAATCATTAATACCAAGAAATGTCATAAATTAACTTGATAACAAGGTTGATGAGAGTAGCTTTTGAGACAAAAATTAAACCTGAAAAGAGGGAAATCATTTTACCTAATTTCATACTTTCATTGTGTATTAATTAAGATGGTAAAAGTTGTTTAAAAGCAGATTGGTGACTTAAATTAGATAGTATCATTGGTTATAACACAATATAAATGAATACCTAACGATCGTAAGAAAATCTGATCTAATTAGTTAAATAATAATTCCTTCTAACACATCTTAAGATTTGTGTTCGAGTAACCATTTACTTTAATCAAGAATGAATTCTGACAACATAAGTAACTCAATGCTATAACTTTTTTTGGAGGATCTCTACTGATCTGAAATTGCGATTTATTTTATTAATTTTTTATATTTATTTAATAATGGATCGAAGAACGGTGATTGTAGGGGATACCATTCTCGAAATATTGAGGATAAAAGTTTTTAGCAACGGTCAAAATCAAAAGAACTGTTGAGTAAATTGAAAAAAGTGTTCGATCGTTGATGTGTACCAACAATTTTATCGACAAATAATAAGTTTCAGATCTCTAACCTTTATGGTTACAGAGTGCGCCTGGTTTAACTGGAAATCGAAGTGATCTTTTGTACAGAAAATATTTTCTCTCACAAAATAAGTGCATTTTCTAGTTGACCATCAAAAGTTGTATCATAAATTGGATTTTGATGAAAAAATCTGGTTACAATACCGTACAAAAGCGAATGAAGTGTCAGCTTTAACCTCGATTTTTTCGAGAACTGTCGATCAGAGAAATTTTTTAATAGCACTGGACTATGGACTTTGAATGGACTTTTTATGCGTCTGCTAACCCACAAAGTTAACCCACTCTTATTAATAACTCGAAAGATAAATTTTTTGCATAAACTCATTTCATATTTTCATTGTGTATTATTAATAATTAAAATGGTAAAAGTTGTTTAAAAGCAAGATTGTTGGTGACTTTTAATGTTAATATCCTTCCATTTTTGTATTTAATTTAATTTTCTAATTTACTAATTATTTTATTATTTTCTTTCCTTTTTACAGAAAATATCAACCTTTATAATAGTTAGTTTATCATTGTTTATTGGATGTACAATTACAGTTGCTCATTGTGGTTCCAGTTGGCATATAGCTGAAGCTTCAATATCTAGTCCTTATCGAGCATTTTCAAAGCAAAAGATATTTGCTGATGTTGGTGTTTATATTGGATTACAGAGTGTTAATATTACATTAAAAGCTAAAGCGACTCATCATAAAAGAGCCGAGGAAATTGATTACAATGAACGTTTCTACTGGATTGAGGCCACAGGAATGAAACAAGAATATCAAAATGCTCTTGCCAAAGGACTTCCTTTTCCCATTTTAACTATCTTAGAGTATTTAAGTAAAGCCGATGAAGGATTTTGTTGGGGCAAAAAATATCGTTTAGCAGGTCATTACGGTTCAACTCTTTTAACTATGTCATTTTGTTTGTGGATTTTCATGATAGTCTTACTATGTGCGGTTCCTCGATACGGAATTTACGCCTTACAGTCAACTGGTGCTCTCATGTTATTAACAAACGCTCTTTACAGTGTACTATTGCCTGCCAATCCACTCAGGATTCCTTTTGAAGGAGGTGTTCTTAGTTTCAGTTATGGCTGGTCATATTGGCTGGTTCTAGGTGCAGGTTCATCGGCACTGGCAGTGGGAACAATTTTAGCCATTATTGATATACTTTTTCCAAATAAATTTTCAACAATCTTGGAGGTTGATTATGATACACCTTATAGATATTTTGTTGGCAATGATGCCCATCTATTTGGTGGTCTTGCTAACAATTGTATTAATAACGGTAATTGCCATCAATCAAATCATCACCAAGTAGCTTCCATAACCAATAGTGCATCAACCGAATCAACTTGTTATGGTAATGCAATGCGTAATGGACTACAAAAGTCACCTTCCTCAAAATTTGCCGTCTCAAAGCAAAAAAGTGATGCTTCAGTTTGCACAAATGAATCTTTTCCAGTTACAAAGTCTAATATTGGCCATACCAATGGTAACAGTTTAGTTACAACACGAGCAATTATCGAGAAACAAGGACAAGATAATGAAGCTTTCGATGACGAAGATAGACACAATATAATTGGCAAGAAACGGGATAAAAAACTGAGTCTTAAATCACAGCCTTCATCTTCTTCGGCCACTCCATCAACATCTTCAGCCTCCTTAACAGCTTCCATTTCAGCGTCATCTTCCTCCACAGGAATCAATAGTGATCCAAATGAAATTAGTACTGAACTTGTCCATGGTAAAAGAGCTGTTTCATTGAGTAATTTTGGCCTTTTCACTGCGCGACAGCAACAAAGCCAACAACAGCGAACCAGTAACCAACACCCTTTCACAAGAAATGATGCCATGCTAATTAAATCATCTCCAATCCCGGGTACTCATCTTTAACTCCAGTAAATCAACTGAAAAATAAATTTGCTCACTTTACTTTAATGGAAAAGTATAATTGAACTCTCTCTTCTTGAAATCATTTTTATACACTCATGGGATGATCACGAAGTTACATGAAAAAGTACATCTATGCTGTTAATATTGTGTGGCGTTTTGTGTTGATAACAAGTTTTGGCCTATTGTGTTAAACGACTTTGCTAATGAGTATCAGTAAGCTCATCAGTTTCGTGTGAAAAAGTTCAATACAAACATCTAACACCATTTTCACATTATGGGCACCTTTTGGTCAACCTTTTCTCATTCATACTCTTTTATCTAAGTCATTTCCATTGTCTTCCAATCTTACTCATCGCTCATTTTTTTTTATTTTCACACAATCATCTGAATAAATTAACGATTTTTCTGCAACAAAACTCTCTCCTTTAGTATGGTTTATCTTGACCAAGAATAATTTCAATTGCATTCAAGTTTTTCGTGGTCAATTTGTGTTGATTAAAGAAGGAAAAGATGAAAGAAACAAGGTTAATCCAGGATAACATAATGAAGAATAATTAATGCCTAATCGTGCTCAGCTGTTGACATACAAGTCCACCTAATATAAGATTAATGATCCACCAAAAGGAAACATTTGAGACCACAATTTATGCCTAATGACAAACTAAGCTTAAATTATAATAATATTTACAGTTGAGCTTCGGAATCGTTTGAATAGGATAAGTTTATAATAAGTGAATAAATGCAGGTAAAGATGGCCAAGTCGGGCTTATTCAACCAACCCATTAGATGAATAAACTGAATCTTTAACACTAATAGATTTCATAGTTTATAAACTTGAAACTGAAAAGGATGATTCATTGATCTGATTTTTAATTAGCTCAACCCAAGAAATTAAAAACCAATCATCATAATTTTACCAGTAATTACTAAATTTATTTCATTTCCATACCACCGGTCACAGTGAGCCTGTAAAAAAAATAAAACAAAATAAACAAGAGAAGAAATTATTGATTAATTACTACAAGCAATTGATTGGTCTTTAAAAGACCATAATTAAAATATATACTAATGAAAATTAAGCTTAACACTAACCGCCCAGCTTGATTACAACTTGAAGCATCATCTCAATACCCAACTCAACCCAATGCACATAAGAAAAAGACAATTTTCAGATAAACGTTTCAGTTTCACTCACAGTTGATTGGACAAATAGATACCAACAATTTAAACCAATTATAAGTCAGGTTAATTCACAGTGGAAAGAAAATTAGTTGATTTTGATTCAAACGATAAGTAAATAACAGTTGAAACTCGCAAGTGAAAAAGCTGTTGCTATTGAAATTTGAAATGAATTGCAATAAATTTATTAATTAATGTCGCCATCTATTGTCGTCTTTTTCAACAACAGCCAACTGATCAAAATTGTTTGTTAATCAAGACTATTTAAAGCTTTAATTTCTTTATTCTTATTGTTGTATGTTAAAGTCGGGGTAAATATTAAATTATAATTTGCACTGAAATCTTGTTTATTTCATTAGAAATAACTAACGCATTAAAACGCTGGCAACTCAATCCATGTAGGGTTGATAAAATTTTATTTGCTCATGATAATTATGATAAGTTCACTCACAAGGGAAGTGAACGTCTGACGCCAATTTGAATGAGAGAGGTGTCATTGGATAGAGTATGTTGAGTTATGTCATTAAAGTGGTGTTAAATGTTTAATATAAAATATGAAGATATTTTTTAACTTGTAAAATTGAATTAAATGCAATTTTTCAAGCCAAACTCAGCCAAATCAGCCTTTTAATTAGCTGAGTAGCTCAAGCCGGCTGAGCCAAGCCAAGCTTGATTTTATCAGAATTAAGCCAGCCAGTTAGCATCTCGCTAGCTTCGGTATCTAACTCGCAAGTGAAAAAGCTGTTGCTATTGAAATTTGAATTGAAATAAATTTCTTAATGGATGTCGCCATCTATTGTCGTCTTTTTCAACAAAAACCATTTGATCAAAATTGTTTGTTAATCAAGATTATTTAAAGCTTTAATTTCTCTATTCTTATTGTTGTATGTTAAAGTCGGGGTAAATATTAAATTAGATCTCCCAATATGTTCATCAGAAATGTTAATAGTTTAAGCTAAGGGCAACGATAAAAAAGCAAATTAGCATAGAGTCTTAATGTGGTTAGAAATTAAAATACACATTGATTTATTGCCTCTATGAACTGTTACTGAGTCCATGTTAATGATGTTTAAGTTATCAATTTGTTAAGCAAAGGGCAACCAAATTATCATTAAAGTAAAAGGACAAAATTAATTTGATTGAAACAATTTTTGCTCGCGGATCAGTTGAAAGAGGCCATCATTGAAGAGCTTTCATTTTGTATCAATTGCTAATTGTTATTGGTAAAATAACGAGATGGAAATGAGCAAAAATTTAAATCTCAGTTGTTAATATGCAGCCAAGGGACCATCCAAAAGTCAATCTGGATAAATCAGCTTCTAATATTTAATGGATAAAATAATTTAATTTGATTGGTGCACTTTGTGAGTGAAAATTTGCTAGTTTAGTTTATTTCAGAAACCTTTCTTAACCTTCAAATTTCAATTCATTTTTTTACTCGTTTCATGAAAATTCACAACCAGTTGGGAAACATTTTGACACAATCAACTCATCTCAATCATTTAATAGCAATAATAGTTAATCAGATTGGCATTAAGTGTTGAGAAAAGCCAAAAATCAAGTTTAACTCTTGCTTTTGGTTAACCAGAAATTTATTGATTTAAATGAAACTTTAGTTATTTTGATTGACAATCAAGGTTTTCTTTACTTGTTCATCAACTGATCTTCATCATGATAATCATCATCAACATTTCCATTCAATTTGTTTCAAGACAGAAAATGTTTCAATCTGTTTTCATCTTTTGAAAATTATGCTCGGCCATCTTAATTAGTAAACTTAATCTCAATCATCTTTGCTAATTATTATCGTGATTAGGTTGACATTTACTTTGATATTCAAATTCATGGAACGGCTATCGAACAGTTAAACAAAAAGAAAACAATTAACGAAAAAAGCCTCTTGAAAAGTTGAAAGCAATTTGGTATTAGGAATATCATTATGAAAGATTAATGGTTTATAATGATTATAATAGGGTATTGAGTTGATGGTTAATTGTTTGCTAATTGTTAGTTAATTGGTTTTCATTTGGTTTGACCAGAAATGAAGAAACAAAATTTTAATTGAATACAATTTAGACTTAATGATTTTTGGCAATTTTTGCTGCACTTTTATTTACATAAATTTTTGGTTGAAGCGTTTTCTTTTGCTTACTCTTCGCGAATGTTGTTGTTGTAATCACAAAGTATAATTATGATTATTTTCATCAATCAGATTGATTGATTTAGGATTCATCAATTTAACGGGAGTGAACAATTGTTGCGTTAATTAATAAAGATATGAAACAGGTACAGAGATGAATATGTTAATGGTAAGACATGGTAAGTGAATTGAAGGTAAGCTTTGAGGGGAACACAGGTTTTGTTTTGTACAACGTTGAAGATGACGATGATGATGATAATGAACATGTTGATTATGCGAGTCTCATAAATAGAAGGATAAATTTAACTAAAATTTTGATTGTGAACAAAATTAAATTAAATGAAAAAATGGTTAGTTAATACAAAATTTGATTCATCATTTTCCCTCATTTCAATTAAACCTGGATGTAATATCGATGGATACCCTTGGTTAGAGTTAGTTAACATTGAAATTAAAACATCTTCATCATGTTAATGATGATGTTAAAGAGTAATTGTTCAAAATATGAATATGCATTAACAGAAGAAAAACAAATTAAATTAGAACTAATTTTCAATAAAAATCTATTAAGCTTTAAATAAATGAAAATAAAAACAACAGATTCAATAGTCTGAAAGGATACTTAATTCTGGCTTTCTGATATTTTTGCCTTCAATGTGAGTCAAATTAGATAATTTTTAACCAGGATTGTGCCACATTCAGGTTACATTGAAATTGTGATGAAAATAGATTCATTTTACAATTTCAGTCAACTTTATGAGGTTCATCGCAACGATAGTTAAGAGTTTGAAATAAATTGCACAAATCAATTAGAATTAGTGGCTTGGTTTTTTATGCTGTTATGATCGTCGACACTAACCAAATTATTACTATTGCAATCACCATTCTGGATTTCACATTTAATTTACACTGATTCATGATCAATGTAGACTAGTCGAGATTAGGTGAAAGAGGAGATAATAGAAATGAATAAATTGTGATAGCAATAAGAATAATAATGTAGTCAGACGATAATAATAGAAAAGAAACCAATACAACTGAAGTACGGAAATAGATGGTTTAGATGATGCTGGCGATGAGGATGGTTAAGATGATCAGGATGGTGATGAGGGTAGTGATGATGACGGTTCATATTTGGCTCTTTACTTTCCATCCATTTTGATTATTTTTTCAATTAATGGATTAGTAATGTTGATCTGAGATTAATGAATCTTCGTCTTCACTTGAATCCATGATTGGATCTTCAAACCACGATGAACAAGAGGTTGAAGTTTCATTGGCAAGAAGGGTTGATGATGCATTACTTGGTGGCGTCGTGTCAGTAGTCGGTGTAGATGGGTTTTGATTGTTGGGCCAAACATTACGATTAGATGCCGATAAAGGTCTTTGATTGCCTATAAATTGTAAAAGAGAAACAAAATTGATTAGAAACAAGTAAATTAAATAAACAACCTCAGTAGTCAAACTTAATCACAATGACAATGGGATTAACAACCGCTAACCACTCATTTTACATATGATCATCTTTTGCATAATATTAACCATAGATGGTGGTAGGAGACAATGTAAAGCTAATTTCAATTTCTTGTAAATTGATAATATTGTAATGATTGTTACCATTAGTTGAACACTGATCAAGGTAGATTGGTCATTAATTCAGATAGCCAATTGATTTAAACCCGTATCAAGTTGTCTAATGTTGATGGACCATTAAAACGTCATGTTTATTCAACTAATTTGGTCAAGGATGGTTCGTAATTCATTGTTTGATTTTTACATGAAAATGTTATCGTTTGATTATTCCACTATTAAACACTTTCTCGTTTCATGAAAATTGTGAGTTTGATTATGATAATTTTATTTAACAAGTTGGTTAGATAAAAAAAAGTTAATTGTTTTTGGCTAACTGTCAACTCGTCAAAATGTAAAGAGTTTAAAGGATTTAAGGAGGATTTCAAAGTTCCCAAATGATTAGTGTTACTTTTGAATAATGCAAAGGTATAAACTTGTTATCAGATGATTGTCATTCAAATGATGAACGGTTCTGTTGATTTACCCTTTAGGCAAATGATAATCATGATAATCATAATAGCTTGGTTAATCTTGATTATCTTGTTACAAGACTTAAACGGTGAACAACAAGAAAAGGTCACAAACAAAATATCAAAACTATAAAATAACAATCAGCAAAAGTCAAAGTTGCCTGTTGACTGATAATTTTATCCTGTTTAAATCCTTTGAAACTGGTGAAAGATGAAAGTAATCATTTTCATCATCTGTCTAGATGAGAGATTAAGATGTTGTTCAATTCATCAACGAAAAGCAAGAATGTCAAATCAAATGAAAATCAAATGTAATAAGAGTAAATCCAATCTGGATTTAACATTCAGGGACAAGGATAAAACAGATCAATGCGAAGACAAAATGACAAATAAAAAGATAAATGAAAGAGGGACAAAAAAAGAAATGACTTATGGCTATTGAAACTGGACAACGTCAAATTGTGACCAATTAACCATACTGTTGAATGTTAGCAATGCTAATTGATAAAGTCGATTAAGTTGTAACCTTGTAACATTACAAAGTGTTTTTACAATTGATTTAGTCTCAAGTGTGATCAGAGGAAATGGGAAAAGCTTAAACTAACCAAGTGTTTACAGTCAAAGATTAAGATCTACTTGTACTGTTAATAAATGAAATTGATGCTTTTTTCACCCTTCACTATCCACCTTCATCATCATTTTCATCATCATTGTAAAGTGACTATTTAGGCAAAATGAGATGCTTTGTATAGAAGTAGTTTTTTTACATTCATCCATCATGGGATTCATGTCATTTTGTCAGAAGAAACAAGAGAAAGAGAAGATGAAAAGATGAGGATCAAGAGAGAGGGAAAGAAAAGTAACAAAAGCGAAGGATAAAAGGGCATAAAAGTAAAAAGTTTGATGGCTCTAAAGATGCGTTAAGATGTTATGCAACAAAAACAACATGAGAAGCAAGAGGATGATGAAGATGAGGATGAGAAGAGAGAGTCTGTCAGAGTGAAGCCTATAAATTCCCTGAGGTTTTTTTTGTTCAACACGAATAAGAAATAAGAAAGATTCAAGATGTCGATGGTGGCAGGAGAAAAAAAACTCAGTTTTCAAGAATGTACAGGAAAAAGGAGGAAAACATGGAAGATGAACGAGAAAGAAAAATGTGAAATGAAGACGAAGGAGAAGAAAAAAGTAAACCAAAGAAACGAGTAAAGCAAGAGGTGAGAATGATGAGTTAATTCTGAGCGTAAAGTGAGATGAAGTAGTAGATGAAAAAGGATGGATTCACTTGACTTGATGATGATGATGATGATGGTAAATGATCGGTCATTTTTTTCCTCTTTTCCTTTCTTCTGTTTTTATCATCCTCATGGGCGGATCATTTACTGGTGACCTGAACTTTTTTTGCTGGTCTACACAAATAATTTACGCTTCGTTTTACTTGATCATATTATTTTATTGATGTGCGTGTTTTGTAGGCTAAGTCAAACTCACTAGACAATGTTAAAAAGTATAAAAAGGTTTAGTTGACTGCAAAACCCAAAAGGCATTTGCAGTTGACTTGTGGAGAGAGAAAGAGAGAGAAAAAGAGAGTTATTATTTGAATCTGTATCAAACTAGATGGAGAAGATGAGATGAGATGAGATGGATGAAAGGAGAGGAAAAAAAGTTACCCACTAGTCTCGATTAACCTTACAAAATACAGTTCAAAGGCAGCTAATGTAAAGAAAGTTGAGGATGAAGAAGATGAAAAGTAGAGAGAAGAGAGAAGCAAAAAACTTGAATCCATTAACTTATATGCACAAGATGCAAAGCAATTTAACTAGACTGATGATAATGATGATAACAGTAATAATCATAATAATAATGATAAGTGAAAGTGAAGCTTGAAAAATATTACTGGAAATATCTTATTCCCTTTTTATGGCTCAACTCCCTCACCACTGAATGATAAATATCAACTGTATCCATAGTGATCAAGCCATAAGGACAATTTGTCCTTCGTCTATCCAAGTCCAATGGTCCATCAAGCCATGTATCTATTCACCACTCCACCCTTGTTGATTTGTTTTTTTATACCACACTTCAATCTCCCCGGTGTGTATACATGTGAGAGAGAGATGTGGGGTGGTTAAAGATGAATAGGACGAGATAAAAGAGAGAGACAGAGAGGTAGATAAGTGAAGATGCTCCTTTGCGTGCGTGTATCATCAGCTTTTCACAATGTACATATCATTAAAAGAGACAGACGGAATTGAAAGTATTGTTATTACTTTCGATGTTGATGTTGTTTGTTGATCACCAATATGATGAAATGATTATATCACGCAATAATCACTATTTTCAACATTTAACACTGTCATAACAAAAGCCGGAAAAAAAGCTTCATTTCAACCTCTTGCATAATCCTCACCACTACCAGAAAAACAATGGCGGTTAAAGATTAAGCTTAACCCCTTGGACGCGCCATTTACAAATTTTCCAGACAAAACAGTTTACATCTCCAACCCTTGTTAATCTATTACAATAATTTGCGATATTATTCAACTTTAACCATAGAGATATCATAAAATAAAAACAATGTATCCCAGTAACAACAGCATGGCAAATAAGTAGATTAAGGTTGACCACAGAAGGTTAAAATGTACCCAGCAAACCAGCTTACCCAATTGACCACTATTTGCATCCTTTTTTAATCTCTTCTCTTTAGCTCTTCTATTTTGAAACCAGACCTAAAAATTGTTGCGAAACATATAAACACAATTAATATTAATATATCAACAATGATTAAAAACATTACCATAATCCTTACCTGAACAACTCTCATATCCAATCCAGTATCATGGCTTAACTGTTCACGAACATGCCTTGCTGGCTTGGGCGAATTATTATATGCACTTTTTAATACATCCAACTGTTTGGCTGTAATTGTAGTTCGAGGTCTTTTAGATGAGGCTTCTGTTGATTAGAAAACAAATTACTAGAATCAATTAAGTGTAATAAAAACATGACCAATTAATAATTAAACACAAAATAAAACTACAGTCAAAAGAAGAGACAAGAAAGGCTGAAGCAAGACACAAGATTTTAATAAAATAAAAGAGGCGCAAAAATAGAAACGCGCAAATTTTAAAAATTGTAACAAACCATTAAATTAATAAAAAAATTACAATTAATAACAAGATTAATGCCCAATGAACACTGTAACAATCGAAATAATTACCTCTTTGTTTAGCTGCTTCATAATCAGGTTTACAAACCAATTTATTGTCTTCCATTAAATAAAATTCATCGCCTAATAAACAAGATAAATAGGAAAAACATTCCCGATTAGTTGATTGTTGGACGAAATAAAAAAAGGTAACAAGTGATATCAACCCTTTACTTTTGTATAAATAATTGGACCAAGTCTTAGCATTCAATACATTGATCATTATTAAATCTAATTGGGTGTGAAACTAAAGTAAAAGCTAAAAAAAGCTAAAGCTAAGCTGATCAATTTAATTTTTGTAACTAAATGAAAAAGCAAAGAAGCATTTGAGAATCGGATTATCAAGAGGATTTAATAGACGGATTTCAACGCTTTTATCTTCATGCTTACACCTAAATACATACACTTATTGCATCTTTAATCGTCTTTGAGTAAAGCACAAAAAAGAAGAAGAAAAAAACACTCCAAAAATAATAGCAATTGAATCGGATATAAAAAGCTATTGATGAAAATAACCATTAAATTGGTAAAAGAATAGCAAGATTTAAAAGAATCTAATTGTAACAATCAACTAATTAATTTGAAGCTAAAAACTGAAGCAAAAAAAACAAGAGACTAAAGTTAATATCAATAACAGTTATCGATATTAATTTCACTCCAAGTCATTTTCACTCCCAATGATTCCAAAAAAGATGTCAATAGTGTTTTCAAAGGTAATGAAGATAAAGCTTGTAATGAATAAGTTGAATGAAGGCAAAGTTTTGAATAGGAAAATAGAAGAATGAAAAAAAAGTAAAATCTTCTCCTTATGTCCTATTCAATGTCCTTTTGTCTCGAGTTATTCATTGATAGATGGAAATATAGAGAGAACTGATAAAGATGAGAATTGTGTGACTTGAATCCTATTCATTCAGTTGACTAGCTTTGGATTTAAAGCGATAGAGAAGAAAAGAAGATAAAAGAAGATAAAGAATAACGATAAACCCATGGAAACCCTGTTTACCTAGTTTATCAGAATGCACGCAATGATGAGGAAACCTCAACATGTACCAAGGCTAAATGTTACAGGGAAGATGAATGTTTCAAGAAAATTTTCTCTTCTCTTTTAGCTTTTCTCTTCTTCTTTCATCATTTTCACTCCAAGATGATATTCAACTTGAAAGATAAACGATGAATAACGTTCACTGGGAGGCAAAGAGGAGAAGAAGAAGAATAAAGAATCTCAATGAGCGTTTCCATTGAGATTCTTGTTCAATGAATGTATGAATTTTATAGGTTCAAATATTGTTCTATATCAAATCTTTCTCTCTCTCTTTTCATCCTCATCTTCATCTTTATCTTCATCATCTTAACCATTCTTTTCGCCTTTTCTCTCAGTTTGACTTCTTTCTTCTTCTCTGTCTCTCTCTATATTTGTTTGATATATATTTATGTTGATATATTTATGTATTAGCAAGTTGCATACCGCTGGCTTAAAGTATTATCACAATACCTTTTATCCTTTCTTTTGCCTTTGTTACCTACAACTTTTATCCTTGATAACTTTTTCACTCCCTGTTAACATCAATGCATAATAATGGACAGCAAAATATTATTAATCTCATGTAATCCACTCTAATCTACACCTAAACCAAAAAATTTTACCAAAGCAAATGATGTTTATTAACATTTTTCAAGGTTGAAAGTTCTTGCAAATATTATTCTCATTTCATGATTTTTTACTGAAACGAAAAAGTCGAAACTTTGGAAGCGCTCAATTGAACGCTTTTATAACTTTTAGCCAAACCATTCATTTCAATGGAAATGACTGTTTAGTTACGATTTCCGCACAAATCATATTGATTCGACTTTTAGCTTCTCGAAGATGAAAACTGACGATTTTGTAGAAAATGAAATTGGATTTAAAGGATTTGGAAATTTCTTGAAATGAAATAATCTGTAAAATTTACTCTTTGAAAATTTGCTTTAAAATAAAAAATCAACAAAGATTTTAATCGAAAAAGTTGATTTTTTGACTTGAGTTTCGGCGCAAAAAAGGCTAAACTTCATCGAGTTTCTCCTGCAAAGGTGAATTCAAGTTTTAATTGTTGGGGGAAAAATGATGATCATTAAAGATTCTTTCGAGTCTAGAAAGCTGATTAATATTTGAGCATTTTGACTACTTGACTAGCCAAGTCCTATCGATTGACACCTAGCTTCATTTTGTCGTTTAGTTCCCTTGTGAGTTTGAAAAGAAAGTCGTAAATTGATTTCCTCGAACACTTTAAACATAAAAGCATTCATTTGTTTACAAAATGTCCAAATTTGAATCTTTTCCTTATCCAGACAAACGTCAAGTTGATTGAAGTCAACTGACTGTCGCTTTTAAAGCATTAAAACTAAATGTTGACCAGTCACGAGTGAAATCGATAGTAAAGTCAACAGTAAATGCTCATTTTCACTGTAACCATTGAAACAAATGTTTGATGTTGATAGATTTAAAAGGTAATAACAGCGATTTTTGAGAAGCGTAAAATGCTTTAAAGGCTAATGTGATTAAATTTGCTCTTTTCTGGCGTCTTTTTAGTCTATTGTTTGAAAATTCATTTCAACTGTACAATGTTTTTGTTTTTGCACGCGCTTTGAATCATGGTTGAAGGTGAAAGGCAGACTTGGAGCAGCAAAAAAAAGTAGTTTAACGCAAAGGCAAAGAATGAGGTAAATATTGAATGATCCCAAAGGTAAATACTGGGTGAAAAAAAAGACTGAGGTTGAAGGAAAGAGCAACAGAAATGGGAGAAACAGAGTTCGAAGGAACAAAAAAAACGAAAAGCAAATTGAAAGATAAATTATTGAAAAAGCAAAGTGGATTATAATGAATGAACAGAACCATGCAAATGATGATCGAAGAGGAAGGCTCACGTGGCTGTTTATTGACTATTTTTTGTGTTTTTGTGGGAGTCGCAATCAAGTTGATATTATAAACAATTAGGGAAGGAAAAGGCGAACAGTTTTCTGTGTTCAAATTGATTTCAGTCGCTGATAACATGAGTGTTCAAATGTACACCAACACACACTGCACACTTATGGACACACTTGTTGGCCTTTTTTTATTCACTCACTTGAGGATACAAATGGCAGTTGTGCAAAGTTAAAAAAATATGATATAAAAATGTTCAGTGAATCTTGGAGTTAGTTTTCCTTCGCTTTTTGCACAGCACTTTAAGGCACGTGAACCTTTTCAAAGATAAGTTAATTTAAATGGCAACAATGAACCTTAAAATTGTTTCAAGGCTTGATAAATGGTTCATGGTAATGTCTTTCTTGGTGTAAATTGTCACTTTCAATGGATTCCGTTTTGTGTCCAAATTTTCACGACAAAAGTCAACTTGATTTGCTTTCAACATTTTGTCACCTTCCAGGATTATTATTGTCCTGTTAGCGTATAATTTATTGGATTATTAGCAGGAACTATTGATATTCATTGGTAAACTTTTTGCTTCGAAAGAGACTAAATCTTTAAAACATTTCGATTATTCGAAAAGTTTTCGGTTAAAATAGAATATCGATTGTTAAAGAGGTTTTGATTGAAGCGTTTATTATCGAAGTAACGCTGACTAATGAACAAAGCTAGACAGAAACACTTATTATTCAAACTGTTAAACATATTCAATTCGGTTTTTAGCATTTGAAGACCTTTCGTGTATACGAAGAGCTTTAAGACTTTGTACAGTTTTAACACTCTTTTGATCATTTGGAGTGTTTCAGTTTTGAAAGTTGTGCCTCAATCTTTTTTGCTTTTTCAAGTTACTACACTTTAATGTCAACTCATCTAACGATTCTGAAATTTAAATTCTAGAAATTCAATTCTTCGAAGTGACTGAGATATTGAGCAAGAAATTGGAAATAAACTTTTTATTTAGAAAAGACATTTTCACATCCAAAAATGACGGTTTCCAGATCAATCTTTGTTGAGTTAGTGAGAAATTGAGATTCATTTGGAGTATAAAGGTTTCAGAAATTCAGAGTTTATTTCGAATGTCGATTGAGCTTTACTCAGAACTGCATTATCTATCCAAAACTCTCTTAACAAAAATAAGTCATATTTGCAATGATAAAATTGTCTCAACAAAAGTCGCTAAAATATCGAAATTTGAAAGTCTTACTAAATTATGAAGTTACGAGTTTTGCACCAATTCAACATCTTTTATCTCAATATCGTTGAAAATGCATAAAGAAATGACAGTTACTCATTGAAACATCAATAAACCACAAAAAAATTAAAAATTGGATTAAATCAATTTCAATTCCCTGCACAAATGTAACATAAAATTGGTGTTAAACTCAATTTGTGTGGTTACATTATTTAACATGAAATGGCCTTTAAGATGAAAAAACTACTAAAAACGGACAAAAAACGGTAAAGCGAAATGTTAGCAAATGAAAGACGCATAACCATGTAAATAACCTGAAGCACTTGACTCATAATGAGATTATCATTATTTTGTAGTCTTTAATGAAAATAGATTAACTATAATTGAAAATATAACCCAAGGCTATTAACTAAACACACTAACTGTTAGACAATTGAATAAGCCAAACATGAAGATTAACATTTGCAAACAAAGGTCAACAAAATTAGTTTAAATCTTGATCAGTTGAACGCAAACACAAAAAATGGAAACTCAAGTTCGAAAAAAGACATTTTCCAATTTCGTTCAGTCCCATTGTTAAATATTCATCATGAGCCTCTCTGAATTTAAGTTTTTGCCCGGAAAATGAACAATTTTTCAAAAGCCAAATAATCATGAATTGTGGTGAAATGTTGAGACAAAACAAAATTCCTATCATCATATAGGACTGAATATCTTGAAATATTTTCTCGTTCCCTTCATGAGTCTAGAGCATGCTCATAGATTCATGATAACTGCTTGTTGGCCAACAGTCAAATATGGATAAAAAACGTTCTGTTATTCATTAATAATGAACCTTATTTAGGAATTATCTTGTTGAAATGTTGATGTAAACAAATTCAGGTGAATCTGTTTTCAAGATGATTATAATAATGATGTTAATAATGATGATAATGGTAACATTGTTAGCCATGTTAATGATATTATTGAAATGCTTTTTGGTAATGACAATGAATGTTAAATTGTTATTTGTTTTTTTCCCCATTTCTGGACAATTTTTCATTCTATTAATAAATCGTTTTAAGATGCAATTTGAAAGTTGCTTAAAGTCACATTTTCATGAAATGAAAAGGTTTATAATTACCTGTGTTAAGAGGCCTTTTACATAAGATACAATTGAAACATTCCAGGTGATATACATTTTCTTGAGCTCGACGTACCAAGGCTGTTGGTGAGATTCCTGTGAAAGAAGCGAGCAAAATAATCATGATTAGAATGGAAAATTGAAGCTAATTGTTGAGCCATTTAGCGTTATGAGTAATGAGTTAATGAATGAGTTAACATGGTTAATGGTTGCTAATTGTTGCCTGTTAACATTATTAGCTAAGAGTTGATCTGAGCTTTTCAAGATTCACAGCTCTTGTAATCAAATTTAACGATCGTTTAACTTTTTTCATTTTTTCAACTTTACCTGTTTCATGAATGATCAAAGCTAAAGTTAATGTTAATTGTAACACAATAATTGACGGTTCGTTTTGCATTGAAACACTGTTACTGAATTACTGTTAATGATCTGATTAATATCTGATCAAGTGTATGGCTTAATTTAATATTGCCAGCTTCATTGAATAGCTTTTCACCAATAACTAATGTCACATCGACAATAGTTGCGTTTAGAAGAATGGTTTTTAATACATAAATGTGTTAGAAGAATATTCAGCATTTAATGAATTAATAGCTGAAATTTCTTCGGTTTTTAGTCATATTATCTTATAGTCCATAATAAAATCTAACGTTTGGTCAAAGAATGCTGGTTTTAGGTTTTGTCATTCTTGAAATATTGAAGCTCGGAGTTGAATCTTCAATCGTCTTTTGTGCAGTTTTGTGGCCAGATTTATTCATGAAACTCATCTTGCATATGTAATTTATGATTGTTAACCAGGAAATGTACTTAACTCGACCAATAAAATTTTATGTTTGCGTACAATTAGTATTTTGTATAAGTCTCAATGATAAATCATGTTAAAACATTTAGATTTTTGCTAAAAAGACTCAAATAGCAACAATTGATGCATTTATGCACAAATTGACAAAACACTGAAAGAGAAATGGCCAAAAACGGGTGAAAATTAACTTCTCACAATTTTAGATTCCGTCATTTTGTAGGGAATTGAAAACTGAGTCCCATGGTGTGATTGAAAAGTTTCTATTATACACAGTTCACGAAATATTGAGGCTCGAAGTTGAAACTTCGATAGCCTTTTGTACAGTTTTGTGGCCAGATTTTTTCATGAAACTCATTTCGTAGAGGTAACTTTTGATGGAGAAGTTGAAAATGTACTTATTTTGCTCAATAAAATTTTCTATTTCCGTGCAACTTCGATTCTTCGATTTTCACTAAAACCGACTGCTTTTTGTGACCGTGAAGTTTAGCAAGCTGAAAATTATAATCCTTCAATAAAAATTGTCTGTAAACATCATGGCAGAAATATTTTCTTCAATCAACCAACAGTTCTCTTGATTTTGGACATTAACCAGAAAACTTTGAGGGTCAATATTTCGAGGATGACATAGCCTGCAATCATCATTCTTCGACCAAACATTTTATTTCATTATCAGCTATAACATGATATTACTGAAAACCGGAAAATCTAGTCTAATTTATTCAATAATGCATTTTATTCTAACACATCATAAGTAACCATTTACCTTTGTTAATCTGGTATCAAATCTGACAACCCGAGTAATACAATGTTATAACTTTTTAGTTTAGTTTCTTGAATAATCTAAAATTTGTATATCTCGTAGGTCAAATAAAATCTGATGTTGAATCAAAGAATGATGGTTTTAGAGCTTACCGTTCTCGAAATATTGAACCTCGAAGTTTTCTGGTCAATGTCCGAAATCAAGAGAACTGTTGCTGAATCGAAAAAACTATTGAACTCAGGATGTGTACAAACAATTTTTATTGACGGATGATAAGTTTCAGCCCTCTAACCTTTACGGTTGCAGAATGGGCCTTGTTTAACTAAAAATCGAAGAATCGAAAATGTACGAAAATAGAGAATTTTATTAGGCGAAATAAGTTCATTTTCTGATTCTCCATCAAAAATTATATCAACGAAATGAGTATCATGAAAAAATCTGGTCACAGAACTGTACAAAAAGTGATTTAAGTTTCAACTTTTAATTCGATTTTTTCGAGAACTGTGTATAATAGAAACTTTTCAATCACACCATGGGACTCAGTTTTCAATTCCCTACAAAATGACAGAATCTAAAATTGCGAGAAGTTAATTTTCACCCGTTTTTAATCATTTCTCTTTCAGTGTTTTGTCAATTTTTGCTTAATGCATCAATTGATGCTGCTTGTCTTTTTAGTAACAAACTGAATGTATTAACATAACATATCATTGAGACTTATATAAAATTATTAATTGTACGGAAACAAAAGTAAATAATACAAAGGTAGATCAAATGGTCATTCTTATATTAAGCTAACTAGTAGAACTATTAATTTCAATATTTAAAGTTTTAGCTTTATTAAAATCAAATACACTTAATTGTACAACAAAAATCAGTTTATGAAACAGATCAATTGAGTTATTTGGCACATAACTTCGTGCAATCGTCGAGACAAGAGTAAACTGACGAGTCCATTAAGATCGTTGCTCGTCTCAAGTCAAAGATGTTGATCATCAGATTTGCTCGATGAAAAGGAATAAGAGTAAACTATCGGATAGAATGGTGAAAAACTTGGAAATTTTGTGCATTTGAAAGCTTTCTCTTCATTTTGTGGTCAATATTATGTTCATTGGCAACAATTAATCAATCAAAAACAATTATTATTTGCTTTTTATTGAGCACAACAAACTATTGATTGAATAAAAGCTATTGATTTTGACCCATTCAAACCTTTTTGCACTCTTTAATGTTTGCTTTTTATTTGTTTTGTTTTCGTGTTTTTGGTCAACTTTAAGACTAAAAAATTTGTGCCGATTTTGCAAGTTAAATTGTAATTGATGAGATTCAGAGAAACATGAAAATGGATTATATTGATTACATGGAAATGGTTCTTTTTAAAGAAGCCAATTTTGTTGGTGAAAACACTTAACAGAGCGAAGTAAAGGGACAGAATGATGATCATGAAGAAAAGTGAGATTAAATTGTTGAAAGACTTTCTCAATGGATGTTAATGTAAATCAATTGACAAAGACAAAGGGTAACCTTCCTCTTCACTAGATCCATAAACGTTGACCATTAGGTTAATAAAGAGAAACGTTTAACATGATAAACTTATTATGTTTCAGAAGTGATTTGTAACAATTAAAGAAGATTTTGATTACATTTTTAGGGTTAAATGTTTCACTTTGTCCCATTGAAATGGCTTCAAATTGTCTTGGGTGAGATAAAATTGAATGGAGTTCACTTTAAATTGTTGTTGTTCGCGACTGATTGGGATGTTGATGATACAGTTAATGTTGTTTGACTGACATAATACCAGCTTTTCATGCAACTAACCCATCAATGAGGGATAAATAGACGGACAGATCGAGATGGAAACACGCAATCATTGTGACAACATTGAAAGCAAAGAGAAATCGTAAAAATAGAAAAGCAAAATTCAAGTGTTTACATTGGCTTGGTTCATGTAAGTGACAATTATATCTTATTATTACATTTTCTTGATCAACAATCAACAACAATATGTAAAGTGGACTCTTCATCTTAACGATAAGGTAAAAAAAGTGAAAAGAAGAACAAAAGTTTTCGATGAAATTGATGTTGATCAACAATGTTCAACTAATTGAATAATATCAATTGAATGATGAATGAATGAGTTAAAATGATAGAGCCTTTTATTGGTCATTGAAATGGTCAGGGCAAAAGTTAATGACTTTTCCTGTTTTCACCAAGATTTCCTTTCTTCTTCTTTTTTCTGTGGCTTTTGGCAAGATAATCTAATGGACAGTTGATGTGATATTGAAACATTTTTCCCATAAAATAATGCTTTGAGTGTCAAATTCAATTAGATCTCAATAGATTGACCAGAAAATGTATTTTCACTGAAACAAGGGAACAAACGACAAACTCAATTGAACCAAAGGTTGTTACAAGTTGAAGGGAAAACAAAAAATATTTCAAACAAAAAAATCGAAAAAAAACGAATTCTTTTTTTGTTGTTTCTTTCGCCCTTTTAAGGTGTCCTTTCAGGTTGACCTTATTCAACTGATGTAAAGGAAGGAAGGAAATTGAGATGAAGTTTCCTATTTCCGAAGTTAAACGTCCATCAATTTGTTTGTTGGAGTTACAACTCCCAGTCGATGTAAGTTTTCACTTTTGGTTAACTTGCATAAATTATCAAACTTTCATGACCTTTCCAACCTTAATGGTTGCTATCAGCAAATTAAATTTAACCTCTTCTGGGACCTTTTGGGGAGTTAATGTGATGACATTGCACCCACAGTGCCAATGGATTCAACCTGCCATTTGGATTAATCTCATTTTCCCTTATGAATATATTTGGATGAATGTCAAAGTGGCCGGAAAGTGGATTGTATTATGACGAGTATTAGCAACAGTTAAGCTGTTAACTTGTTTTCAGCTTATATCAACCAATCCATTGAGACCTTTACATCCATTAGAAACATTTTTGTATCAATTTTTCTTCTTCTTGTCGCCCGATTTTCTCGACCTTTTTTCATTATCACATTTTGACAATTAAATTGATGGTTAAACAGTTTCATTTGCTATTCAAATATTGCACTTTTTGTCTTCTCAATATTTTTGTCCAATTTTTGAGAAAATTTTTTTTTCTCTTTACTCTTTTTACAGTTTTGGCTTTATTCTTGTTGCTTAATTTAATAATCATAATGATCGCTCTGTAATATGATTAAGATAATTGTGATGCTTGGTTGATTGTTTGTTTGACCTGAAAGAGGTTTTATCAAGTTGAAAGTTGAACATGTTTTTGTTATTCTTTTGCTTCTCGTCTTGTTATTGTTGTTATATCATTTACTGTATTATGTTAATCAGGTTAGGATGGGCTTAGTAAGATAATGGAGGATGAGAGTGAAAGAGTGAGGTGATGAGGTGAAACAGAGACTGGAGTGGATGATGATCCAGGATGAGGAAAGTTTAATGTTATTGCTAGTCTTTTCAGCCATTTTTACATAATCACTAATAGTCGTGATGGAAGCAAAGGGCCACCAAAAAGATCTGTCCTGATAGAGAGTTGATAAAGTCAATTGACAGGCCAAATTTAACCTTCATTCCGTTCAATTGAACGCGATCTCTTTTGGTTAAATCACTTTTTTTCACCATTCAAAATGCATAAAATTTATTAAATTTATGATTATCATAAGTTGTAAGAATCAGTTTGATTTACACGGCTTTTAAGGTTAACTATTTTGCATTACAATTGAATTGTGACTTTTCAATTTACAAATCATTCATTCACTTATAAAAGGGTCATCACTCTATCCATTAATTTTCACTCAAAGTGACTTTTTTCAAATAAATTCAACTCGCAGTTATTGCCGAATCATCGGGTTACTTTGAAATGGTTTCATGTTGACTGTTAGGTTGACTCGGTGGTTAAAAGGATAAAATGAAGTCTCATTTTAATGTATTGTCTTCAATGGTTTCAATCATTTTGTCCAGCTATTTGGTCTAAAAGGCTGGCTTAAGTCTGAATGAAAGTCCATTAAAGTTATCTGAATATTGCAAGGCATTTTCGAGATAACAGTTGGTGATGAGATGAGCATCGAAATAATTTTTATTATTCTTCAAGTTTGACCTTATGATTTTTAATCTGATCAAGTCGTGACACTGACTAACGAAGTTGCTTTCTTAAGTCATCTAAAGCTTGGAAATGTGTCGAGTCTAGTTGATCCAAGCGATTGGCACAAGTTTATCTAAGGATGATTTTGAATTAATATTGTAAATCGATTGTTGTATTTTCATGAGAAACTCAAATTAACTCAAACATTTGAAATGGCGTTACTGTTTAAATAATGAATGATGGACACTTACCTTGTTCACAGTTAGCACATCTTGTTTTGGCAAAATTTTTATAAAAATGTTCTTTACAATAAGGTAATCCATTACGAAGGTAACATTTAATTGATAGCATTGTTTTACATTCACGGCAAAAGAGACAGCCTAATGGGACAATAGACAATGATTAGAGGACAATTTTGAGGACACTTTCACAGTCACAGAGAGAGGACAAAATGAAATAACAATCATAAAACATAAACGCATTTTTTCAAAAAAAGTAAACCAAAAATAAAGCGAAATGAAAACATAAACATTGAAGATGGACAAGGTAATAATACGATGCAAAAAAGGTAACCACATACGGGAATGCCAACAGGTATGCCTTTCATTATTGTATCCTAATTTAAGTATAATCCTATCTTGTATTACATCTGAGCATCCATGGCATTTGGGTAAACTTGCTGGATTAAAGTTGAGTAAAGAGTTAGACATTTTTGTCAACAAATGAAATTGCGTCAATGTTGTATCAATAATCCGTTGTTGTTACAATTTCATAAACACATGTTTGACATGTTTGTTGACAATCATTTAAACATAACAATTAGGAAACTGTTAAAGAGCAGAATATGAACAGAAAATGTAAATAATTGAAAGACACAAAAGTAAAGGTAACTTGTTATTGTTGTTTGGTGTTGATGTGCATCTCCTTTTAGCACAAGCACAAAGTATAGGTACAAGAGTCACTGAGTAGTGATGAAAAGGAAATGACTTTTTTCTGTCTTCTTCTTCTTCTTTTTCTTTCTCTTCCTTATCTTCTTCCTTTTCACTTTCCCATCAGATTGTGTTTGCACGCGCATTCACATATAACTTCATAGCATCACTATCAGAATGATGATCAGAACTGGATGAGATTGATGACGATGTTGGGAATGACGAATATGTGTTCACCAAAAAAAAACAAGTTACAATATTGAAGCAAAAAACACTCAAAGTTGCGATAATGATGACTGGGAGTTTTTCATGTTGTACATTTTATAGTGGATAAAAGGTAGGAGTGAAAGTTGAATGAGTTTGTTACCAGGAAAGTAAATGATAGTAAATGCAAGATATTATATATTTACCAGGAAAAGCTTATAGAATCATGAGTTGAAAAGAGTTTCAAGTTTTGTCTGTCATGTAAACCATGAAAGGTAGAGACAACAAATGGACACAAAAGTATCAAATTAAAGTCATTATTATAATCAATTTTTGATACCAAGGGATGGGTCAAGATGAAAGCTGTTTGACTATCAAACCTCAACAAGTCTCAACATCTTGAATCAGCATTTCAACAAATCTTTTGTACTTTATTTTTTAAACTGGACTTTGTTGCTGCTTCAATCGGTTTGACCAGTCAAACTGCATTGTCAACCTTTAAATGCTCCCTGGCAACCTCAAAATCATCTGTACTTGAGTCAGTTTTTTGTTTCTCTCTTTTTCCTCATTTCACCGAGTTCTTTGCATGTTTCTCACTCCCAGTTTAGGATGATGATAAAAGGGAGTTGTTTGACTTTGTCTGTTATTGTATTGATAATACTTTGTGTGTCTACTTTGGGCTCAAATGGATCCATCAATAGTAATGTTAACATTTTCATGTATTAATTTTTTCCTCCTCTTTTTGTGCCTTTGCCTATGGATGAGTTACTGACTGGACAGAATGATAATGTTCATAAAACCATGAAACAAAAAAAAAGTGTTGCTCATTCAACCTTACACTTAACATTTTGGGATGTGTTATTGTCTTACCAACAATGAATAAATACATAAAAAAAAGTTATTCCCGTTTTGGTCCATTTTTCAGGTTCTTTTATTTTTACTTCTTTCTGCTTGCCTTTCAGTCAATTTCAACTCATTTTAATGGCTCAATTGTTTGCCAAATTAATTATTGATTTGATTAATAAAAATGATAACTTTGAAAATGTCTGACAGGCAAAAATTTATACAAAACTGGTTCAAATGTTAAGTCTCGAGTCGAGTCTTTACGTTTGTTGCTTCATTTTGTGCTTTTTAATTGTTTTTCAATTTGGTTTTTACCTTTGATCACAATTTACATTTTCAAGATTAATTGTTGATTGAAGTTGGTTAAATTTGATGTAAAACATGGTTAAGGTTTAAGATGATCTAAATTGTACAAGAAAACATTGTTTGCTTGTTGGTTTACATGAATTTTTTAATATCTTTTCTTTAGAAGCGATTTTATTCTTCGTCTTCTTCCTTCTTATCTTCATTCATCTTCTTGGGTGGAGACTGGGTGAGAGTGAGATCAAGTAAAGTATACAAAAGGGTGTAACTTGACTGACTCAGGGGGAGGATGAACTCTTATATATGGATCTGAGTTCATCTACTCTCTGTGAGTACAAAAGTGATTTGAGTAAAAGCATTTTAACGTGATTAGTTTTATCCCTTTTTTTTGCTGCCTTTTTTCCTCTCTTTTCAGTCTCTCTATTGATTTTTATAGTAACAAATGTCTCTCTTCATCTCTCTTCCTTCATCTTCCTATCTTCATTCATCTTCACTTTTAGTTTTCATCTTAATTCACTTGCTTTTGTTTCTCCTAATTTCATATTTTCCTATTTCATGCTCATTTGTTCAGTTTTTGTTTTTCCTTCTTACTCTTGTTTTACTCAATATTTCGTTCTTATATTGTCATTTCATCTTTCAGTGTTAAATTATTCATTTGAATCAATTCTTGTTTTATAATTAAACTGTTATTTCTAACATTTTGTCTGTTTTTGGCTTCGAATTGAATAAAATATTGAAATTGAACAAGAATAATATTGAATCGAATTTGTATTTGTATTTTGCGCTAAAATTTATCTTAGTTTTGATTGAGTGTAGGAGATGGCGCTAGGCTCGTTTATTACAATTTGTTCGATTTTTAAGTTTTCTCTCGTTGAGATTTTTAGATTCAATTGTTGATCAAATTTTCTTAATTTTTTGCTGTTTTTTTGACAATAATTTTCACAGTATTTAGCTTTAATTTTGACAGTTTATCAGTGTACTTCTGTTGAAAGCAGATTTGTATCAGTATCAATTGTGCTTCTTTTTTTGCAGTTTTAATTCCGTTCTGGTCATCGTTTTAAATTTTTTCATCATGGATCTTTTGGGTAAAGTTTATGAATTCGCTGTTAAAAACAACGGAGAAAGAAAAGATTTGGAGGAAATTACTCATTCAAGTGCCATGGATTTTTTCCAGGCGCAGTGTTTACGAAAAAATGTTGAAAGCGATGTTTCGTGTTTATTGTCAGAGAGAGAAAGCTTTTCCATGGAAAATTTTGAAGAACTTCTGACTCGTGTTAATTTTCTTTTTAAAGAGGTTGAAAAATTACTTAAAACGCATTCCATGTGCATTCTTTTAAAGCCTGTGGTGACCAAGGAAAAGAAAAATTTAGACGAACAAATGAAAAAGATGAAAAATGAATTAGCTCATCAACTTCAAAATCATGATTTTTTTAATGGCAAAGGTGATCGACATGCAACGGCAGCAAAACTTCAAGATCTTGAAAATCGTGTTGCAGCTGCAAAGCAGCTTATTGAAACGCTGGAGAAAGAATTTTTCAACCGAGCTGTTTCGAATGAATCAAAGAGACGAACCATTCAAAGATTGAAAAAACAAGCTGAGAGTTTGAAAAAGATCCAGAAAAAATACTTCGCTAAAGATTATAAAGAGGAAATGGATGCAGCTGAACTCAACAGTAAACAACTGGATGAAGTAATTTTTGCAAGAAAATATGAACATGACGCTGTCTATCAAAATTTCGAACGAATTCTGCAGCTCAAATTCAACATTGACGAGATCAGAATCAAAATTGAAGGTATGGTAGAGCAAATTCAACAAAAGGAGCATATTTTGAAACAAGAAAGAGCCGAAGAAAATCGCTTAACAAATCAAGAAAGATTGGCTGAAGAAAATTCAAAGCAAATAGCAGGTGCTTTAGATTCTGATATGTCACAATTAAGGAATCACAATCAAGCCTTAAATGACTCCATCAAACAATATGTTCATCAAATAGAGCTTACAGCCCAAGAGAATAAGCAGCTTAAATTTTCATCAGAATCTATCGGTTCGCAAATTCGACTTGTTGAACGAGAATTCGCTGCTTGGAAAGCTAGTCTTGATAATCAATCTGACGAAAGTGACGATGAAATGAAAGATCTAGAAAGTGAAATTCATGAACTTCAAACTAAACTAGCAGAAATGAAAAAAGCCATGTCCAAATCAAAGTAATTTTTTTCCAAATTTTCAATTATTTTTCTTTAAAGAAAACACTTTATCAAATTGTTAATTGTTTATTTTGTCAATCTAATCAAATTTTTTCTCTACTATGATTTTATTTCAATCAATTATTAAATCGAACTTAACTACAAAATTTTACAAATTGTGTTGAATTTCCATTCAAATAGGCGCCTTCTGGTGTCACCTTGGTTACTCAGATTACCAGTTGTTTAGGAAAAGCTTGACCAATGCAATGAATCAATTACATTTCTGTTTCAATTCGATTAATTTATATAATTTAAAGTTTATTTGCTGTTAATTATTTATCCCGAAACTGATGTTTTAGTGCCACTCTCTATTTGAATCTGAGTTCTCTTATTATCATCTGACTTCACTTGGAAATCTTGCTTTGACTCGCAATCTTGGAATGCATCTTTTCCATTCTATTCTCGTTTTTTTTCTAACTTGTTATTAAGTGATCATTTCGTTCTTATTCTTAATCAATTCACTTCTAAATTAATACCACTTTCTTTGAGTTTTCACTTATTTTAAAGTATGAAAGTTTGTGAAAAGTGTCTTAAGGAATTCTCAGCTCAATCCAACTTGAGTCGTCATCTTAGGCAGATTCATGGGGAACCTCCAAAACATTCACACTCTCTTATATGTCCGCTTTGTGATGACTCATTAACACGCGAGAAATATTTTCTAGCTCATTTAAGACACAATCATGATTTGACCATTGATGAGAGGCAGTTATATTTCAACACAGAAGATGGTAAGTCTAATCTGTCTAGGCTAATAGCTATCTGTTTTTAGCTTAGCTAAGCTTCAGCTCTTGTCAAATATATTATACATTCTTACATTTAATTTCTTTTGCTAAATTGTTTGTGTTTTATACTTTTTTGTTCTTAGAATTTTATAAATGGAAAATTTTGATGGAAAAATCAACCGCAAGTTACTATCGGAAAGATCGATCTAAGAAGGACAGCAAACAAAAGACCATGTATTTTACTTGTAATCGATCTGGAAGCTATTCTCCCAAACAAGAAAGAAAAAGACGTTTAAGGGCTCAAGGCAGTCGTAAAATCAACCGTACATGTCCAGCAAAATTAATTGTTACTAAAAATAATGCATCAGGCCAATTATCGGTATATTTTATTCCTACACATGTTGGACATGAAACTGATTTAAAACATCTAAACCTTCATAAAGAAGACAGACTGAAGATTGCCAAAAAGCTTGAAATGGGAGTCGATAGAAATCAACTTTTATCTAAGATCCGTGAATCACTTTCTTCCACGAGCCCTCAGCGTTTGCATATGATTACAGTTAAAGATTTAAGGAACATTAAAGACAAGTGTACCAAGACCCGGGAAGAAATTCAGGCAGAAAGTCAACAAGAAAGACATTTACTTTTAACCCCAGCTATGGTTACAACTGGAGAAATGGAATCATCTAATGTTGAAGTTGTAACAGCTGATAATGTAACTGATTTTGATGTCCAAATTGACGGTGAAATTCAAATGGAAGAAGACGGTTCTATTTTGTTCGAACAAAATGGTAATGAACAACCTGAAGATCGTGCTCGTCTTGTTGAAAATATTATGAAAAATTTAGACAATGAGATTCCAATCGAAACATTAAATAATATAAAAGAGCTTATAGAAACTGCCAAACAAAAAAGTAAATGCGTTGTTGACATGGGAGTACCGATTACTCGATGTGGCAGGCGAATGGTACCAACTCAAGCCAAATCTAAAACTGCAATGACAATAGTTCCATCCACTTCACCAGCTTCTAGATTAAGAAAAATTCTTCCTAAACCATCTTTAGATCAAACAGACTCTTCAAAAGTAAATTCATCTCATCCGATTGAAACAAACCTCAATGAAACCTCAAATGAAGCAACTCTCGCCTCAACAATTTTAAACCATGAAGCAAATAACCATAACAATGAGAATCCATCTTCTTTGCAATTAATTGATGTTCCAGCAGATTCTCAGATCCGAAGGATCAATCAATCCTGTTTCATTATAATACCAGCAACAAAATGAGACAACATAATTATATTGTAAATCTATTTCTTGTATCAAGATATAATAAGTTTAAGCGATATAACCCCAAAGAATAGATCACTATCGTGCTGATCGAATAAAACGAATCTGGATAAAGTTATATTTTTAGAAGATTGAAAACAAATCAATCTTGACTATGTGCTTGTACCTATTTTGGACCTTTGAACATATATACATATATACATACAACTTCATAAATAATTATATCACTTTGTTGTTAATGAATCAAACTGTTTTTATTAAATATGAAAAAAAAGATCATAAGGTGTTACAAAATTTTGTACGAGTGAAGGTCAATTTTAAGAGTTAACTGTCTCACAGGCGTCGATCCATTCAGAATACACATCAATGGCTTCAGAAAGGTAATTGATAGTCGTTTGAAAGTCTTCAGAACAAATTCGGCAGACAATTTTGCCTATATTCCTGTTGCGGTCCATCTTTACTTCACAGCTTTTCTCGTGGTTACAAAAGGGACAGTTGAATTGTACGTCCAATGGTTCAATAGCTTTTCTTGCTGTTGGAGCTTTCCTTTTACTCTTTCTCTTGGCCATGTTTGTAGAGACACAGAAACAAAACAAGGATCAAAAAATAACAAGTGTTAAATTAATGAAAAAACGTAGATTGATAGGTCAGTGGACACTAAACACGAACGTTAATTTGAAATGACACTTCCAGAAGTGGGAAAAAATATGAATACAAGAATGAAAACAGGCGATAAAAGCCAAAGTTTGTTTACAGCATGAGATCTTCAAAAATACTGCTAACGGGTAGGTAAACCAGTAGAGGGCGAGTCTCTTTTTTAAGAAGCTTTGCTTTTAAGCTTCTTTCTTTTTCAAATAAGAGGTTTAGGCTTCCAAGACTGGAGGCTTTAAGGGATCGTTAAATAACATTTTTCTGTAAGAGTTTTGTCTTCAGGCCATCCATAGATTTTGCTTTAGATCACTTTTATCCAATTTCACATAAAGTCATGGAGTATACGCTTGTTCGTGATATGAAGCCTGGTCTTAAAAATATTAATCTTCAATTTGTCGTTTTAGATGTTGGTGAGTAATTTAATTCAAACCTATTAGATCTTACTCTTTACTCGTCTTGTAATTATTTTGTATTTTTTTGTCAACCAGGTCAAGGAAGCATAACCAAAGATGGACATAAAGTTCGAACATGTAAGATAGCTGACAAAACAGGATCCATTAATCTCTCTGTCTGGGATGAACCTGGCAATTATCTTAATCCTGGAGATATTTGTAAATTGAGCAAAGGGTATTTTTACTTGATTGATCTCTTAAATTTATTTGCCTTCATTTGGACACAGTGTCTTTAATTACTCTTTTTTCTTGGTAATTCTGGTTCTTGATTTCATTCAAAATTTAGATATGCTTCCGTGTGGAAAGGATGCTTAACTCTCTATACGGGAAAAGGTGGAGAAATTCAGAAAATAGGTGAATTTTGTATGAGCTTCTCAGAAATACCAAACTTAAGTGATCCTAACCCTGAGTATGCACCGCAGATGGCCAAAAGAAGTTGACTTGTAATTGATCGCTCAATCGATATTTATGTACTTAAACAATTTTATTGTCTTGTTACAATTAAAATTTAAACTCATCTAAATTGAATTTTTCATTTTTCCTTCGATTTGGAACAAATTTGAATTTGATTTACCCGCAGCTTTATAGCTTTGATGGATACTGCCATCTCTTATTCCTTTTATCCAAACCCAGTTGTAAACATTTTTCATCCAATTTTCAAAGTCAAATTGTGTTTTGTGCAAATTAAATTTTAGTGAACTGTGTTTGATTCGTAAGGTAATTATCGATTTTCATCTTGTTTAATTTTTCATTATTCACCCCTAATTCTTTCGAATCGCTCTTTTGTCTTTTTAGTTTAGTAATCAAATCCAAAATGTTACCAAGATTGGTCAATATGCGATACTTGGCTAAGGGTCTTCCTAAACGATCCATTTCAACAAGCACAGTCAATTACCGTAGGAATTCAGACTTCAGATTCGTTGGAACCTCTCAAGAGAACATTGAAGAAATTGAAGCAATTTGGTTTCCTTACTATTTCACCATTGCAATGGGAGTTTTTTCATTAAGTTCATACGCTTATTACATGTACTACCAGTCTCGGGCTGGTGAGAGATTTGCTGCTATTGAGCTGGAAGCCAAGACTCCGAAAAAAGAGTAATATTGTTATAGTCAAATCTTTTTATTTGTATAAATTAACATTATCAAGGAATTTAGAAAAAGTGAGACTTCGTTTTATTGGAAATAATTAAAAGAAACATGCTTAAAAGTTGATTTTGTGACTTCAAATCATGTTCTAGATTCTTTAATCAATAAAGGCATCTGAAAAAGCCAGAGCGGTGATTGGTCCTTGGTGTCCAACATATTCTTTTTTAACTTTACCGGTATTAATACTCCAAAGTCTAGCATTATTATCAGAGGAAGCAGTAATTATATACTGAGAGTCAGCAGAGAAAGCTAAATCCCATACCCATCGCTGATTCTCAGTTTGTAGTTCAGCTGTGGGCGACATATTGTCCAAAGTATCCCATATTGAGCAATTAGAATGGCTACTGCTACTTTCGGAATTATGCGTTGATAATGGCAATAAATCGGCAGTTCTCCAAACTTTGCAGGTTTGATCGGCACTCGTGGTTGCTAATAAAGTTGAATCAGGACTAAATTTACAATTCAATCCATATCTTTTGTGAGCAAAAAATTTTAATCGAGGTTGCAATGGGGCACATTGTAGTCGAACATAGTTCAAAGTAAACGTAAACATGTAACAGTTTCCCTTATTATCGACAGCTGCCAAACAAGTTCCTTCTTGATCAATATCAATATGTTGAATGGAAACATCATCATCAACAGTGAATGTTTGCTTTAGAGGACCGCGTAAGTCCCAAACATAGATTTTACCTTCTTGATCAGCTATACAAACTTCGGTTTGATTAGGATGCAATTTACATGTATTGATTGGATTACCCACTTGGTGGGTTCTTTGTACCTGGAGGTTGCGAGCTCGAAAATCCCATATCCTACAGAAGCCATCCTCTCCTCCAGAGTACATCCACTTTGAATCTTCTTGGAAACCGATTGCTGTTATACTTTTAGTTACACTATCACAGGTGATTACAGGATTAGGGTTGGTAAAGTCTCTAATATCATACAAACGAATGTGCTGAAAACCAGCGGCAGCCAAATATTCCCGATCTGGGGAAATCTCCATTGCATTAACCTGGGAATCAGTGTGTTGAACAACCCGTAAACACTGTCCATTGTGAGGTGACCAGAAGCGTATAGTTTGGTCATAACTACCCGTCGCCAATAGCACTTGGTCACTAGATTCATTAGATTTCATAGTTTAATAAAACCAGCAATGGACCTAAACTAAAGAAGGAAGAAAATACGATGAAAAATGCTGGAATGTTTTTTTCCAACTAAATATCGCACTTTTCACTTTACCCTAGTTATAATGGGTAAGTAATGACACTAAATTCCAGATCATTAATTAAACTATAAAGCTGTCGCCAAAATATAAACTACATAAGTTATTAAATTAGAAAAAGGATTGTAATTTCTCAATTTTGTTTATATTGTAGTAGACACAATTTATTGATTGAATAACAATAAACATTGCAAAAAAAATATTTTAACTTACAAATAGTGCAGTAGATGGCAGATGTCATGGCAAAGGCAAAAGACAATTTTTTCTTGATTTCATCCAGTTTCTACTATTAATTTTAAATCATTGAATACACTTTCTCGAACTCTTTTAAGCCTTTATTGAGTTGAATCTTCCCTGAATCATTTATTTCGAAGATCAAATTTCTCAATTATAAATGAACTAATATCTAGTGAGCAGAAAAAGTCAATCAAGAGAAACGAAGACACGTCAAACGGTATAAGAAGACAAATGACTTCAAGATTCTCATAACCAGAACAATCAACTTTACTTAATATTAGTAGCTGAAAAGCAGCAGCAAAAGTTCAAGACAAATACAGTCGAGACAACATTGGTAGCATGGTTTACTTAAAACATATAATAACTAAGCTAAAAAAATCAGAAACACGTGAATAGTCTGTGAATGACTCTCAGAATTACATGAATCTTGAAGATTAAACATCGCGTAATTTATGTGCATTACCCACTCTTATACTAATCGATATCTTATTCCCAATCCGTCGAAATTGGTAAATTCAAGAATTCATGTTTTGGTTCTGTTGAAATTAATCTTTATCAATCCCAAAATAATCAATGATTATCTTGAATAATTTTAAATCTCCCAATCTCGTAAGATTTAGGTTATCTTAGGCCAGACCAGCAGTAACTTTGAATCTTCAGCTATTATTATAATGCTAATTCTATTAGCAGTAGACAATATGTTACTCCTTATTACATTTTTATATTTCAGTGATCATTAATGATCGAGTAAACTGGATCGAGCACATTGTAATAGTAAAAAATGAATTGTATTTTTTCCCTGTGCTTTTATCATTCTCCATTAGGAAATGATTAACCAAGCATTATGAACTTTCGGTGCTTAAAAAATCATGTAAGAGCAAGTATATATTAGACAAAAGGTTAGAGAAAGAAGTTGATTGATTGTTTGGTTCGTCCATGAGAGCTTATGAATTGTAAATGATGGATGTACCAATAAAATATCAATAATTGTTTAGTTATCCAGGGCATAATCAACATATCATTGGATGAATAGACTATTTTAAACAATGAACATTCATCAAGAAAATCAATTTAAGTAAATTAAAAATCCAATAACCAGAATGAAGGGGGTCAGAGGGTAAACTGGAGTTGATGGGTGTTAAAAGTTGAAAACAGTCTAATGGTCATTTACAGGTTTTCCCTTTCAAGAAAGTTGCCTTTTATGCTGTCCAGTAACTGTGTTGAAATGATGATGAAGGTAGACCCATAAAAGTGTTAAACAATTTGACTAAAGCAGCATTTTTTAACAATGAGATTTATTGTTTGACAGTTCACAATTTACGAGATCATTAATTGGTTAAAAAGGCTCTCTTCTCAGGCAAAGAGGGTAAAAGAAGGCAAAAGAAGTGCAAGAAAAAGATGAAAAGTCAAAACATGTACTAATGTAAATTATGGCAAAATAATACAAAACAAGTCTGAGTTTTGTTTTCTTCCAGTCTTCCTTGGTTTAAATCTTTATCCATGTAGAGTTTAATTTTTTTTGCATCCCCTAATGATTCTGTTTATTACCATCCATGTTATCCATAAAATTATATTTATATCTCTTGCTCGTACATTTACATCTCAGTCTGATTCCAAAAATATAAACCTCGTAAGAAGGATCAAGTAAAAATGTAGGAGAAAAAATCGATCAGGTTGTCCTTGAAGGTCTTTATGGGTAAGTAACACATCTTATAACATGAGGAACGAACAATTCAACTCCTCTTTTTATAAGGCCAAGGTCACCATCAGGATCAATATTTTTGGAAGTTTCAGTAGTAATCTGTGAGGAGTAGAGAAAGAGAAGCAAAAAGTGAGTTACAATGAGAAACAAATGAGTTTATGCTCCTTGACCGAGATCAGATAATCATAGGAACAAAATTTGAAGGGAAAAATTAATGACATACACCATGTTATTATGTTCATTTCTGATAGTTTAACATAATTTTGTACATTTTCATCTGTTCATCTTTTTCAAGTTTTAATAAAGTCTTTCTTTATCCTTTGGTAAGTTGTGACTTGGCTATTGATGATGATAGTTTTTTCACTTTAAATTTACCCGCTTTTCACTTTGGCAGTTGTATTCACTTGATTGTGAACAATCAGATTATTTTAAAGCTCTGATATGTAAGAGGATTAAACAACAAAACCAGAATCACAATATAAAATATACTATAAAATAAAAATGGGAATTAAATCTGTTTAACAGGAACATGAAGTAATGAGGCAAGGATTTCTTTTTACGTTTTGGCTGTGGTTAATTAAGCCTTACTCATCCAAAAATGTTATTATATTAAAGATTAATTGTAAAAAAGCCAATGGTGATGGAATACACTTTCACTCTTTACCAGGCTCTTGAAGTATTAAATAAAAAGTCAGGCTCATATTTATCGTCATAGACATCTGATGAGGAAAAGGTTGAAGGTGTTGGAGATGATGATAAAGTTGAGCTTTGATAGCTTTTGAGTTTAGAACCATGTTTCCGTTCCCAGCGAGATAGAAAATTGTTTGTCTTCATTGTGATATTGGAATAGGTAGCAATTAATTTTATAGTTTTCTTTTTCATCCCTTCAATGTTTTCACGGTCATCTAAGTTTAATTTATGAAGGTGCTGCAATTTATCCAGAATCTCATCCAATTGCCTTTTCCTAGCGGAATACCATTCTTGATCCAATCCTTTGACTTTTGAATAACGGTTATCTAGTGATCTTCGCAACTCGTTGGTCATACCATGGTGTAAGGACGGAGAAGTAGAAGACGATGAGGATGGAGATGTTGATTCGGATAAACAATGTTTAGCCATTAAATTTTTATCCAAACATTCTTGCTGATCATTATGTTGATAATTCTTGTTATTATCTTGACTGTTGACAGACAAGGATGAAGATGAAGCAGAGTTAGATGGAAAAGCAATTAACTTGTAAAATGTAGACGATTCTGTTGAAGATGATGGTACGATTGAGGCTGATGGCGAAGATGATGAGTTAACCAGGCATGTTCGTATGTTTGAACTAACTGGATCAAAATTGACTGACATTCCTTGATTATTTTGATGAAAGAATACAACATGGACTCTTTAAAATTGAGCCTGATGATGATTATGATGATGATTGAGTAGCATATCAAAAGAAAATGAGGACTAGAGTAGCATTATTGTTGAAATGTTGGAAAAACGGTTAACAAGCCACATAATGTTAACAATTGATTAACCATTGATTATCAAGCTACCGGTTCCTGGGGCAACCTGAATAAACAACAAAGATAGCTCATGCTTAGAATCGGCATGATTATTATGAAGAAAACTTATCCTTTTTCTGATGATTCACCAAAATTTCAGATAAAAACAAATGATGAGTTAAACGGACAATTACTGCAATTTAATAAATATTGGTAGCCTAATAAAAATGATAAAGAAAAAAAGAAACATAAGCAATCAAGAAACAAAAAAATTAACGGCGAGAAATCACAAGATCCAAAGAGCACAGAAGGGTTACAGAAAAGGAAAGGAGTTGGGGTAAAAGTATAATGTCGCTTAATCAATTACCTTATTTTGATACCATGAAGATTGATTCAATTGCTTTAAGAAGAGTTAATGAGCAGGAAACATCACAACATAACAGCAATATCTTAAAAAACCACACCAAAACAAGCAACGAGATTTATTGTGGTAAAACAATAAAAGGTGAGAGTGAGATAAGCCAAACTTACCAGTTTATTAATTAAATTACTACAAGCTGGTTGGATTGAGGATTACCTTGAATGATCAGTTCGTGTAAAGAATAAACAATAACAATTAATCCACCATCAGCACCATGAACATCATTGAATTAACATGTAAAAAGAAGAAGAAGAAAAGCTCTCAAAAATCAGATGATCGGATGACTAAAAGAGGCGTCTGATGGTGTAAATTTGAAAAAAAATAAAACAAAACTTACCAACCCAACGGTTTTTAGTTGATTCACGGTTTAATGTAAATTCAAATTGGATGACTTCCATGATGACGATGAACAAACTGAGAAAGAGTTGAACTGATGGTGAAACAAATAACCAAAATTCAAGGTAAAATGATGGCAAAAAAAGGTCGATCAATAAAGGACCAAAAATGAAAATTACTGAAGACATGCAATCATTACTCACAGAGGTTGATTTGCTGTTGAATTAGCCAATTACATTATCTTTTTACTCTCTTTTTCCCTTTCTTTCTGTTTCTCATGTGACAATGGCTAAACTTACACTAAAATCAATCTCAATAATTTACTTAAAATAGACGTTAAAGCAAACATCGTTCTGGCTTGTAATCGTAATTTAAATAGATCACAATTCAGTAAAAGCCAATCACTGTTACTAACAAACCAACACACCTAAATAATGAAGTAAAGCCAACAAGAAAACCTTCATTGTTATTCAACTGGATAAACACATTCTCTTCATCACCAACTTTCATCTTGTAATGTCATTCAGTCAGTTATTGTTGTACATATTAACAAAGTTGAATTGTTGGTAACAGTATTTGTTTTGCGTTAATTGTGCCGATTGAATAATCAACAGTAAAAAAGAGCAAAAAATAAGTGCAAACAAACATGAACAAGAAGCTGAAATGTATGCAAGCACAAGCAAAAGTGATAGACAGTTTATTGGAAATCAATGAGTACAGATATTTATGATTAACAATCAGTAAATCATGTCTAACCCAGTCACTAATAATCAGCTTATTGATACAGAAATGAAGTGAAAATTGGTTGAAAAATGAACAAGATTTCAGGCAAAAATCACAATCAAATGAAACTCTACCAGGAAATTGTAATTGTTGGTTCAAGAAAAAAAATGTCTAAACCAGAATAGTTGAAATGTACATAATAATGGTTGTAGATTAATTGGTAATATCTAATTTGATTTGTTAATTTGCTCTCTAAACCTTTCAGATCTATCGTTCAATGAGATTCCAAGCAATTTCAAGCCAATATCGCCTTCAAACTGATAACTTCCTTGATTCAACCAACAATTAACTGCCAATTAAATGGTAACTTTCATTATTTTTAATTAAATAGTAAATATAAAATCAACTTTCAAATATAAATAGCAGTTGAATTGTTTACCAAGCTTGACATAATTACTATTGAACAAAATCAATGGCCATTGAAATACAAAATTAGTCAATGAAAAACAGCAAAAATTGGTTTTCCTTTTTTTCTGCCAAAAATTTCAAGTTGAAATCCTTTCTAGATGGTCATTTAGAGTTGAAATGTTTGAAAAATCAAACATTGACAGTAAATTGTTTCACGCTGAGATGTTGATGATCAAGTTGATTGACCATTTTTCAGTCTTGTCTAAATATTGACCAGACAGAGATGAACCATTTTACAGTTGAATTGAAAAAAGGAAAGATTTACCTAAAAGTGAACAAAAAAAGCATAAAAAATGAATAAATGTAAAGTTAATTTAATCAGCAGACAAATTGACGATTTAACTTGAGTTCAATTCAGCAATTACATTTGATTAAAATTTCTCCTCTCTTCAATTACCAGTTAAATGTAACTCTTAACCAGAAATTAGCTGTTTAATCCAATGTAATAACCCAAAAGTAACCTTTATCAACTCACTTTGCACTCCATTTGGGTTCATCTTTAATCGCATTGGAACATTGTATTAATAAATAATCCCATTTAAGTTGACATTTAAGGTTATTAAGTCACTCCTATTTAATCCACTTTCCACCCACTTTGATCATGTCATATACTTGAATCTTTTCCGGTTGATTAATAGAAGAAAATAAACCCAAAAAAAAGACAAAAAAAGGAACAAAAAAGGAGCAAAAAGGTTGAGAAAAAAGGTGATCAGGTTTCGAAATTTTCATGTTAACTTGTCTTTTACCTTTTTTCACCAATTTCAAGAATCGACTATTTAATGAAATTTAAATTTCATCAATTTAAATTGTTTCTAATTTCTGTTGATTCTACTGTTAATCTAAATGAAGTAAACCTTTCAATTGTAAACAGAGATTCAACTTTGATGGTAAACAGTTGACAAATGTAAAGATTGATTGAAAACAAACAATACCAAGCATTCAGTGTGAAATAAAACCATCGACATGATTAATGTTTAAACAGTTAACAAGATTTTACTAATTTAGGTTTGATTGATTAACAAATCAACGGAGTTACCAGTTTTATGTTGAATCAAGTGACAAAAGCGAAGGTGCAATTGTAACAATCATTTTCAGGGTTAAATTTTTGTCTCAATTTCTTTTTTTTAAATTTCTTTTTGTTTCATGGTAAATTGCTTACAATTGAAGGTACAACAATCTGGTGACAATCAACAAAAGGTATCAAGTCTAGGATAAGTTTAACCCTTTTATTTTCACTGTGAGTTGAGAGGCGAAACGCGTTAATAATGAACAAAAAGTGAAACTCTTTACATCATCATGATTCTTTGAATTCATTGAAACGATTGACTGAGTTCAAGGTAATTGACAGTTGAATGATTATTAAACTCTCAATGTCAATTTATCATTATTGTTGTCTTGGATGGTTAATATGCTTAGTAATCAGTTGTCAGTAAATTGTTAAGAAATTTCAGTTTCCATCTTTTCTCTGTATTTCATTTGTTCATTTAACTAATGTTGTTTCATTGATTGATGAACAGTTTTTAAACTTGAACCAATTTGGGTTCAATTGGGTTTTTTGTCATTAATTGTTAATTCGTTGGTTAATCATTTGTAATAACAGTTTATTTTGTTTGCAGGGTTAACAACAAATGAACAACAAGGAAATGGGTAAAGAGAGGTTAAAATATATTGCTTATAATTGTGTTATTTTACAGATTTTTTTGTCTTCTTTTTGCTTAAATTACAATTAATTTTTACTTCAATTTACGGTTTGAAAATTAGAGTTGCTCTTATTGTAAATTAATGCCATTTGACTTTAAATATTCCAATAGAGTTTTGATTGTTTCTCCTCGTCCATCATGAGAAATGCTAGAGTTTGATAAATGTTTAGTTTCTGTTAGATGATTAACTGTAAAATGAAATTAACAAGTTAACAATAACCTGATTGTTCAAACAGTTTACAGCAATGTTACAATGACAAACCAGAAAAAAGAGAAACATTGTCACATTTTCTGGTTTTTGCTGGTTTACAATTTGCTTATTGATTGTTTTAGATTGTAGCGTTAATTTGAGGCAATTAATGAGAGAGAGAAAGATAAAGAGTGAAAGAAGAGATCAACAGATGATGATGATGATGACAAGGATGAGTTATTAGAAACAGACTGTTAAATCTCAATGATAATTTGATTTTGGATTGAAGATGATTTATGCTAATGAAATGCTTGCTGGTTACGTTTCTCAAAGAGCTTTTCAATTTTTGCTTTTCATAATCTAAAAAAGAAATGCACTCTTTTTTCATTGCATGGAATCAGATTCATTTTACATGATGGTTGAACTATTTTTGCTTCTTGCTTTGTGTCCATCAATTCCAAGGTTAACTGTTTGGTTCATTGTGAATCTTGCTCAACATGTTCAATTGATCTGCGTTTGTAATGTCTGCACTTTGCTCACCAATCATCATAACAGCATAAACCAACACACACCAAAATCAACAACAAAGCTGTTAATTGGTTTCAATGATTGTTTTTTTTCACAACTTGAATTGTAAATTGAAATAAATAGGCCAAGAGTGAGATGATGAAGCAGTAAAAGGAGAGAGTGAAAGGAAGATAAATTCAACAATTTTGGACAATTGGTTTTGTTGAAAACCACAAAAACCAATCAACAAGGGTAACATGCGCATATAATAATATTGTATAATCTGAACATTAAAAGTGTATATTATTCATCAGTAAAGATATTGTTGAGTCGCAATAAATAAATAATAATATCTTGTAAATTTGATGATATCAGGATGATGTTGATGATGTCGATGATTATCGTCTGTTGAACTAGGTGAAATTGAGAAGTCAGAATAAATGTGATACCAGGCGAAATGGTTTCGATTGCATTACATTTCAAATTGAAAACCAATGACAACATGATTTGCCAATAAGATGATGACCTTTTCCAAAAGATGAAAAGTAATTTGAGTCAAGTTGATCTACTTTTCAATGTCTACATATTGATTGCATATGCGGCCAGTACACATTGGTGTTCATCTTGTGCCTCCTCTTGTGGGTTTACTTGTGCCGATCATCACGGTTGACAGACAGGATAACTTTATTAGCAAAGTTGACTATCGCCGAGGCTGCCTGGTCTTCATCAAACTCGACAAATAAATGGCACTCGTTGTTACTGGGTTTGTTGATGCCTCTAGCTCGAGCCACAAAACCAAACAATTGACTGAAATAAGAAGAAGAAAAGAAGAAGAAGACAAATGTAATATGAGTAAAAGAGAAAGAATAAGATGAGAATGATGATGAAAAGGCAAGGACAAGGGAAAACAAAAGGCAAAAAAGAGATTATGTCAACATTAGCTTTTAAGGCGACTACGAATCACGCTTGATTATTAACAATTGAACAGCATAAAAAAAAGTATTACAATGTTGTTAAACAGACAGACAAACAAAATGTTAATTTGTATTCAGAAATAGGTATAAAGCATGTTGATTGTTCACTAAAAGTGCCTTTTTGGTCTCTTTATTTTCCACTCATGACAATAAAAGTCACACTAATGTAAAATGATAGCAATTTTTCAGGTTTCAACTTGAAATATGAAAAATGATATTCACTAAAAGTAATGAAATCAACTTGATAACATTAAATGACTATTATTGCCATTGTTGTAATGGTTGGAGAGTAAAAAATACTAACCTGGTTCGAGTGTTGGGTGTTTTGGGTTTATAACAGCGTCCTTCAGGGTCTAAGCCAAAGTGGCTTACAGTTGATAATGGATAATGTCGGCGGAAAAAGTTTCTGAAAAAAAGATTGAAAAGAAGTTAATTTACGTTGATTGGAAATTTGATTTGTTCTATGAAGCAAATGTGCTTTCAATTTAGATGAAAATCAAAAAGTAATTCAATTACTTGAATGGTACATTAAAAGTCAAAATTGATTAGCTTGTTGAAAGTTTATACGAGCAAATTAATGTGGATTTAGTAGATTCACAAGAGTCAGTTTAACATGAAAATGAACCTGAATTTAGTGTTGATTTGTCGGAAGATCAAGTTTGGTTCATCATTAAATTCATTGAAACTGCAATGGTAAATGTCAGTTCAATATCATAGTTAAGGTAATAAATCAATTGTAACTGAGCTTGTTACAAGTGATTGAATGAATATCAAAATGAAAGTTATAACAGGATAACATTCACCAAGAAAGTGTCGTTTATCACTCAAATTACATCAATGTTTACAGTTACTTTTGTGCTGTTTGACATTCAAAGTTTCAGATTATAATAAATAAATCAAATAATCAAAAGGAAAATTCAACATCAAGATTTGTTATTATACAGTGAGCTCACGTCAAATTGATTTGTCAATATTAATAAGATTAGACCAAAATTTACGTAAATTTTCATAATAGGTAAACAATTTAATTTCAAGGTGCATCATAAATGTAATTTGATACAAAAAGAGTCTCAACTATTATTGAGAAACAACAAATGTTAACAGCAATAGAATCATATTTTTGTTTGAAATACAAAAATGGATAACATTTTCTTGAAATGTGAAACTATTGACGAAAATGATAGTCAATTGGCAAAGAAGCGATTAAATTTTGTTTAATAATCATTTGGATTAGTAATTAATTTATTTAAATTTGATTTCAAAGTTTACACGAGACCGAGAAACAAAATGTTGAAAAGTTAGTGATATTTGAGTGATTTAAATTTACCATCATTTGTTAAACACTAATTTGCTTCATGATAAAAAAGATGAAACAATTGGTTTTAAATGAATGAAGGATGATTCTGATTAGGATAGATAGTCATAAAACTGATTGATTCTTTGCTTTTTCTTGTTATGATTTAATCGACATTGTTTTAACCAACTAAACGAGCTGACCAAATTTACAAGTCGAGTAGCTTAGCCAGTAGTAGCTGTAGCTTTTGCTTGCGAAGCTGTTTTTATTTGCTCAAATGCAGCCAATAATGGACTCGACAGTATTGGATTCTTTACCCCACCAGATTTAGAAAAACCGCCCAATAAAATTGAAGCAAGCTTTCCAATATCACTTAATGGTTCATCAAGTCCACCTAAATTATCTCCTAATTCGCCTAACGTCTTGTCCAATGTACCGCCAAGACCGCCAACGGTTCCGCCAACAGTTCCAAAGATTGGATTAAGAAGAAACAATAGGTTTTTCGGAAGGCCTTTGAGAATGCCAGCAAGACCATTAGAACCACCTAGACCACCTAAACCACCTAAACCACCTAAACCATACACAGGAGGATATTGAAATTTAGCCAAAATTGGAAGTATAGAATTCACAACTTCAGTACTAGAGGACGCAGAGGACGTAGCAGTAGTCGCTGGCCCAGGCAAGTTACGTTTAGAACGGGTCTCCGCGAGATTGGTTTCTTTCTGTTCATTTTCACCGATTGGTGAACAGCTTGTTGGGACAATTAAAGCGGCACTAAAAGATAGGATGACACATCCAATGATGAGAGCAACGTGTTTAACCATTTCTTTTTCAATCTTGTTTAAGTGGACAAAAGTCAAAGATTTTGGCTATGGTATTGGTTCAAACTTTACGATTTTATACTTATAAAGGGAATGGTTGAAAGTCAAATTAACATTGTTGGACTAAAATATTCATTATCACTCAGCTTCCGTGTAATCTCACTTTTATACCTGAAAAGCGAGTGTACATCAGGGGATCCATTGATGATCAATTGATTGTAAATCAAATTTCAAATTGACAACATTGATAGCGGTGATACATTTATACATTTTATACATTTGTACCTTTTTCCCTTTCAAAATCATCAACCATTCCCATCAATTTCATTGGACATTTCAAGTTGCACACTTTAACCTTTAATCAACTTAGCGTTGACAAGTTTTGAAGGAAGTACGGTTCGACCGTGCAATGGGAAATACATTGGTAAGAAGTGATGTCGTGAAAAATATAGTCGAGTTTAATCAAAGATCAACAGCTAATTTATCTAGCCAAAGAAAAAATGAAAGCAACTTGAATTGATAAACCAGAAGCGAAAATTCATTTTCTAGTTTCAACAAGGAGAAGAAAAATGCCCTTTTTCAGCAAAATCCTGATACTCATTAAATATGTAATTGATCAAGAAATCCTTCGACAGATTCAAGTTTATCAAAGCATAAGAAAATCTTTCACAATACGATTGATATCAATGAGCAACTGAAATGAATTTCTCCAGACTTTCCATCAGCCTCTAAATAACACGAGTTGAATTAGCTGAAGCTGAAAATTTGTAAATCAATCAATTTCACTTTAAAAATTAAACACAATCTGGTTCAAGTTGCTAGAAAATCGAGAAAATTATCGAAGTAATTTATGAGTTGATCTCTTAAGCCCTGAAAGGGTTAAAGTAGATAAAATCTCGAACTAAAACGACAGATTTTGCCATAGTTAAAAAGGGAAATCTTGTAATCAAATGAATGATAAACATTATTAAGGTTTAGATAAATAGGTTGATAAATTGATTTTCACTATTTTTGTAAGTCAAATGGCAACAGTAAACAGCAACCAGATAGTGTATATCTAACCCAACATTATACAAACACAGAGCTAGGAAATGAAAACAATCCTGGGACAAGAAAAGAAAGATTGTGAATCTTTTCAATGAGAAATTGTTACAGATTAAGTGATTGTCGGTTGTTTATAAAACTTGTAAATCAATCACGTTTGTTTCAGGGCGAAGCATTCATGATTTTGTAAAATCTGCAGCTAATCTGTGGCGCGAATCACATTTACATTATCAGTAAACGTTGAAAGAAAACAAATTGTAAAGAAATGAAAGAGAGCAAATCGCATTTGATTGGCAACATGATGAATATGGTGAATAGAAGCAGGAAAAAGAGATGAAGGCGTACGAACGATGATTAAGAAAAAGATGTTTTTCCTTTTCATCAATATTTGGTTAAACTAGTGAATTTAAGGCATAATGCGAATCAAATTTCAAGCCTTTACTTGAAAATGATTCTCTTTGTTGCCACATTTTATGGACTAAAAACAAGATCAACATTAAAACCTCCTCACTTTTGTGACTATATTTATGCATGGCAGTTGCAAGTTTTCAATAACATTTTTTTTTCTTCTTCTTCTTCATGATAGGTTTCAAGTTTCAGTAACTGGCCTGGTTTTAGGTTGGTTTGGGTTGTTTGTTATTGTTCATTTGCTAAGCATACGGTCAATGTATTTATAAGGAAAGAGAGTCTTAACGTTATGGAAGGTTTAAAAGATTCAGATTAAGGCGCAAGTTGAATGAGCTCAAATGATTAATTTATGTGATTTTTGGGAAACCAAGTAAAATGAGAGAAAGAAAACATTGAAGAAAATAGGGAAAAGTTCAGCAAAAAGTGCAACGATTTTGATGCTCCAGAAAAAACAAACTTGTTGAACATTACAATTCTAGAATCAATTTAAATTGAAACGTCTAAAGTATTTTCAAACGCAATTTAGAAACTAATGTTTTCTTTTCAATTGGAAATGAAAAGAAAATATTTACAAAAAAAAGAGTTGAATGAATTTTCAAAGATTTATACTCTTTTCTAGACTCGAGATGATTTTCAATGCAAAAATACATGAGATAAATAATGATTAAACAAGTGATAATTAACTGATGTTTGATTCTGTAAATTTATTGATTCTCTAGGATTTATATCTTCTTCCTCATCTTTATTCATAAAGTTGGCCTTAAAATGAAATTTGAGGCCAAAAGCGTTTCTTCAATAGACTCATCTTCATCTTTTGTTTTGCACGTTTAATAGGTTTATCCTAGAAACTTTAGCCAATTTTAAAGGTAAAAATGTTGACTTAGATCCGTTTTAGAGTCTTTTGTCTTGAAAATTTAAAGGAGGAACCAAAATGTTGGGCTATTGATGATAATGTAAATGGCCTTTTATGAGTTTCTAGAGGATGAAAATGCCTTAAGTAAGATTGTGTCAACTCCTTGTTTACACTCAAATTAACAGGCCTCTCACTTGGTTGTTTATTAGTCTCTCTAAATAGTTTCAAGTTGGGAAAGGTAAAGGCAGCAAGGTAAAGAATCTAGTTTTGGGTAAATTCATGAACCATAGCGTTTAGTTGAAAGTTGTTGAAAAGCAATCAAAAACTGAAGCCTCTTCTCATTTGCTGCATTTTTTATACTTTGTTGAGTAACTTTTGTGTTTCCATTTTTTTTCTCTGTTTCATGAAAAAATTCAGGAAAATAGACAGCAATAGAAACTAATTAAAGCTAACAAGAAATGATTAGCTTAAGCTTTTTTTATTGCACAAATGCTAATATGAACCAGTATAAAACAGTTAATAACTGAACAAAATAGTAAACAATTCAACAAGTCATTCAATTAAAGTTTAACAAGCTAATTGGTTTGAATGAGTTTAACTTCAATTTGATGTTCAAGTATTTTGTTTTCAATTTGTTTTTCCTTTAAAACGTTGAATGTTGAAATGAATTTTTTATTATCAATAAAGTGACAATCTTACCTGTGGCTATTGTCAGTCAATGTAATGCCAGAATTGGAAACCTTGAAATTAACAATAATTTCATTGAGATTTGTGCGAGATATCAATTCGGTAACTGCATTACGAACTGCCAAGGGTCCAGTTAATGATTCAGTTTCAACGGTCAATAAATATAAAACATTACAAGCCGCTCCTTGGGCAAGTATATCAGCAGCTTCAGTGACTCCAGAGATACGGGAAAGTGTCCCAATCATGCCACCAGAGGTTAACAGGGATTCAGAAGGTCCTCTGGACAGGGTAAGATCAGAGTCTGGGATAATTAGTTTGCAGGAAAGGGCCAAAGGAGTGATTGAATGTTGATAGACGAGAGCAGAGAGACTGGCAAAAACGGGTTCATTTGGGCAACCCTTGATTCGAACTCCTTTAGATGTTGGTTCAATGAGGAAATGTCGGACAAGCTCATGTGATGTATCACCTGTTGCAAGATAAAAATGGATGAGAAAAAAAATGAATCAATAAGAAATGCAATTACAATTAGAAGCAATCATCATTAACGGATTCCCATCAACACTTCTTTTTGTCAGTTACAATGAGAGTCTACTTATTACGGTGAGAACAAACAGAAACACTTATGACGTTAATCATCATATCCTAATCACGCAAATTATTAATCAACATCATCATTCATATTTCTTTTCATGCATTCATTTTTAATCCATTAATCTGTTTTCATGGACATTAAATATCTTTAATTATGATATCATTATTTCAATGTAACTTTGAAATTGAAATGAAACTTGCGACTTAAGATAATGATTGCTTAAAACTATCAATGTCTGAATATCAACTATTAATGATATTGAAATGACCCTGATTTTGGAGACTGAAAAATAACTCAACACTTTCTTATTGATATTTATATTGAAATATCATTGTCCAAGTTGGGTCAACAAATAAGAACCATCAATTTGATATTATCAATGAAATATCAGAGTGGGAATAAAATGAATTGAATCTTTTTGTGTTTGATTTCATGAAATAATGAAGGAAAACACAATTTACTGTTTACAATAAAACCTAAACTTATTGACAAATGAAGCATCTTGAGGTAAATATTGCATTAACATTGGTTCAAGGTAATTAAAGGATTACAATCAAGATTAAACGAAATGTAATATTTGTTGAAACGGTGAATTGTGATTAAGTGTGATTCCAGTTGTCCTCATTTGTTCAGTATTTTGGGCTTTTTATTTGAAGCAAAAAATTTACTCGGATGCTGCCAATGTTTACACGCCAACGTGAGAAGGAGCTAAAAGGAGATTTTTTTTACTTCTCCTTTTCATGTGAATAACAGAGGTTGAGTAGGTGAAAGGAGATGGAGATGAGGATGAACAAAGAGGAAGTGTAAACAGCAAGAAAGTGTAAAGATAGAGGAAATACTCAAGAGATATTGGCTGAGTAAGTTTCAGATTGCGGGATAATATCGTTACAACGAAAGAAACAGTGAATTGCCCACATGGATTGACTTGTTAGAGAAGGAGGAAGAGAGAGAGAGAAGGAGAGAGAACTAGATGATGAAGATAAGGATGCTGAGGAGGATGAGAAAGTTACAAGTAAACTTGGAATCAAGCCATTTTCAAGTCTAAAGGAAAAGATGGATTGAGAAGAGAAACTTAAAGAAGGAAGAAGACCTAGAAATATTGTGAGTTTAGAAGCCAAATTTTAGGCCAAAATTTGAACATATGTCAGTTCGATAGTTGGATCAAGAAGAGGCTGGAAACAAACAAAAAATGGCAGATAAGGAAGATAAAAGTGAGTGAGCATCAATTCTCATATGGATGTTGATAAACTAAACAGAGCTTTTAAATTTAGATCTTTTTTTCTTCTTCTTCAAAGAGAGATGATTATAACGATCGAGATGAAGTTTTGTGGATGAAAAGGATGCAAAGGCGTTTTATGAGCCACACCTTTTGACTTAAGTAAGATAAATCAGTTGGATGATTAAATTGAAGTAAAAAATAGTGAACATGAATTGAGGGTGAAAGTGGGTGATGGATAAGATGATAAGTTCAACATTGGAAAGGTGGAAATTGTCTTGGCAGTTAAACAAGATTATTGTTTTTTTTCAGTTTCGCACTTTTCAATTTATATCACATTAGCTTTAACCTTTTTTGTTGGTTTTTTTGGACAGACAGACCAAACATATTTATAATTTTGATATTTTTAAATTATAAATTATGACTTATTTTGAGATTAACTGAAGTTCATTTTTCTCGGCAAAAAAAATGCTGAAGGTTGAAAGATAAAGCAAAGTGATAAAAATCACCTTAATAATGAGTTCAGTATGCATGTGTAGATATTTGAAGACTTGATCGTAGTTGATATTTTTTTATGGATCCTCGATTAAGATAATTTAGATTGTCAGAAAAGTTGGTTCATTTTAATTTGGTTAAATTCATTTGTTTACCTGATTTAGTTTGAACATCAGGAGGTGGTTGAGCGACTTTAAGGGCAAGACCAAATGCGCCAGGGAACGAATTACTGTCTCGAATGATGAAAGTACCTGGAGGCTTATCCAATAAGATTTTGATTGCTGTAATAATGATGAAGAAATATGAAAAGGGAGAAAAAAAACGCTGATTACTGATTAATGGCTTAAGTTTTATGTGTCACCAATAAAGTATCAGATTTGCTAGTAAAAAGGTTACTCAAGTGTATTTAGCTGGTTACATTTATATCATTCAAGATAAGATTAGCTTTGCGCTAATAGTTACTTAGTATTTTTACCTCCTTTGCACTGTCACTTAATGATCTATCCCGTATGATTAGCATTAATTTTGAAAGTAAATTAAATAATTAATTGATTAATGGCTTCTTTTGAGATGTGTAAATCATTTCTGGATAAAACATACGGCAAGACTTAGGCAAGTAATCTTGGATAGACTTGGACAGAAACGGACAAAGTATTAAGAAATTGAAAAGGGTTCAACTTACCGTCTTCCCTGGGTATCTTTGGTTTGTACCAAAATCTAGAGGTATCTTTAATAAATGTTGGATGTTGTGAGATGATATCCGATTCATTTAATGATAGCATGCTAGATCTTTGAGATTGGCCGAAATAAACAGAAGGCGAATCACGGCCTGGTTCTGGTGAGCTAGGTGTTCGTCCATAACTGTCTCTGATCTGTGAATAGGTTAAAGGTGAAACTGATCCACTGGCACTAACATAACGATGAGGTGGAGTGGAAGGAATGCTGTTTTGACGAGTCATAGCATTTAAAGGTGGTTTACCACCGGCACTCAAATTGGGTGTAGAAGGTGAATCGATGTTGCTTGGCGTCCCAATATTAGACCCGATTGATGTGCGTGGTTCAAAAGTACTGACGTGTAAAGGTCGTGAATAAGTCACAGATGTTGGACTTGAAGCTAGGGATGGAGATTGGCGTGATTTATCATTTAAATTGAGACTGGACATCATCGTTGTCGCTTGATTGGATACTATTGACTGGGTTAAGGGTGGCTCTGATGGGGCCGGTGTTGGTGGGGTTGATGGAGTTGGTGGGGAAGAATGATAATTAGTAGATGATTGTACGGGCTGTGGTGATCTGGGAATTGGAGATGCAGTTAGATTGGGTAACACCAAAGGTGATCGTGATATTGGTGAGGATGAAGTAACTGTGTTGAATCGATGTTGAGGTGATGATGATCTAGAGTCGGGTGTGCGATCTACCATGGAAGAGACATTTTCATGTCGAGCAATGGTCCCTTTGAGTTCAGCTAAAACTAAATCTTTACCCCTTAAATCTTTACTTTCATGTTTATTCTTCAACTTCAATTGTTGTTTCTGAAGCCAAGTAAGACCCGAAGTATCTTCATCGTCAATCAAGTGGTATTTATGGTGTCCATTAGAGATAACTTGTTCCTCAATTGACACAGAACTTTCATCCAGACTATTTATAGTTGAATCTGGAGTTGTTTCTGGCAAAGGAGAGACTGGCTGTGTGGTATCGTTAGATGCAGGGACAGAGGTGGATACAATTGTATCTGGCTTGGGACGACTTTCACATATGTAGGCAGTTGTTTCGGAAACTACTCTTCGCCTCTGTAGGGCTGGTGAAGTTGCTGTTACACCATAGGAGAATGGCTGACTTCCGGGTCTGGCATGGTAGGGTCGACCTCTCTCATCTTCACCACTGGTTGGTGGAGCTTTGGTTAAAAACCGAGCTGGTAAAGGTTCAATTTTACCAAAATGATCGGTCAACGGTGGTAATTGGGGTGAAGCAACACGAACCGGCTCATCGGTTCCAGTTTCATCTGAATTAGTAAATGAGTCGACAGCATCAATGGAAGGTGATTCTGGTTTTCCCGTACTTTTAACGTATTCATTATTTTCCAAACTAATGTTTTTATTGTAATTATTAGCGATTGAAGAGTTGACTTTATTATTGTAATCATGGATTGGTTGATTATCTGTTGATCGTTTTAAGCTTGGTGAATGCATAGGATAATCTGGGAAATTTTCAACTTCCTTCAACATACCAGATAATAATTCATCTAAGGCTGCTTGTTCTGCTTCACTTATACCGGAAATAGTGTTACTGGTAAAAGATGAAAAATTACCATTAGATGATTTCCCATTACAATAATTTTCGGACGGATTGGCTGGACGATGCTTTTCGACTATCGATTCTGGCTTATGGTGAATGATAGCTTCAACATTAACAACGGAATCTGATTTGTATCCGTTTGGCATAACTGTGTTGTTATTTGTTTCACTTGATTGTCGTAAAATACTTGTTTTGCCGTTCATGTTTGTTGATGGTGATAAAAATGTACTAACAGATGTCATTGGTCGAGAGTTGCCGATTGAATTGACCGATGAAATTCCAGAATCAATGCTGGATCTAATATGAGATTCGTTGTAACTCATATCACCAGTTTGTTGACTACTTGACGGTGGTAATTGTTCATTAGATGAATTTAGATGATATTGGTGGGTTTGTGTAGGTTTATTAGGAGAAACACTTGATTTATTAGGCTTTGAAACTGTTGCATAGAGGTTACCATCAATGGGTCCGTAAGTGTAAACAGTAGAGAAAGAATCGTTCCCGTTAGATGATGTTTTTGCTGTTAAATTTGATTGATTGTCACTATTGTAAAGATTATTTCTATTATTAAAGTTGTGATTATTATTTTGGAAAGTTGTAAACGTTTTCCATGAATCAGAATCATGTTGGTGAGATGAACGATGATTGGAAGTGGTATCCCATGATAAAGTTGAATAAGCTGGTGAATTGGATGTCATTGGAGGGAAAACAAATAACAAGAAAGAAAAAGATCACCTTTATGGACGACCTTAGCCTTTGCCTTTCTTTTCTTAAGGTCACTTTTTTTCAGGTTTATTTCCTAATAAGATACTACTTTTACCACACACAGCTAAGAGAAGTAAAATATCACTGATAACACTTGGAATAAACTCCGGTTTGGACCACCAAGGTTGTCTCTTGTTTGTTATTTTTTGACTGTCAAGATGTTCAAAATCGAGATCACGATTGCAATTGAAACAAGATTAAAATTAAAGAACGATATGGCGATCTAAATGGCAAAAAGAGATTCAGAAACAGTTGAATTTTTTTTACACGAACGAAAACATTTTGCCGATTGATTGATAGTAAAATGTAAACATGAGAAGAGAGAGAGGGAAGAGGAATAAGGAAAGAAGACAATCTTAAACTAAAAGGATAGATAACTGAATACCAACTACACTATACAAGACTAACTTTCTTTGCTATTAACGTTTCTCACTTATTCCAAGGTTGCTCTTCAACAGAGTAGAAGAGACAGAGAAGATTACATATATTTATCAGTATTGCCATCTGGTGATTTCTTTAACTCTTATACCAATTATCGATTTTAGCAATTTAGATTGTCTTACGGTCATTTATTAAGAAAAATGAATGATGGAAGGATTAGCGATTTTTTAATGTCAGATTGAATAAATGAAAATATAGCGTGGAATAGTGTCTAAGATTGATTCTGAGACATTGATTGACTGCTAAAACTCTTACGATGTGCAATGAGTGTGAAGGTACATTGTACGTCCTTTCATCGGTGATCAAACTTTTAATTTTTAAAATTTTTATTTTCTGAGATGAGCATTTTCTTGCAGAGAACAGTCACTTAACTAAATTATTCTTAGAGAAAAATTTAGATTTTAACTTGAACAGTTCAATCAAGGAAATTCAATTTTACCTTCGATCCTTCTAAACTATTTTTGTAAGTTAAACAAGTATTCAGCAATTTTGGCTATTGATAAGTCAATTGGTCAATCCCAAACAGACTTGGTTTTGTTAAATCTGGAAATTCTTTCATTATTGCGAGGAAATATTTTGAATTGTAAAAAATGTCTTTATGTCCGATGATTTATAACTTAAGAAAAATTATAATCAAAGTTTAAAAAAATAAACATCAAAAAGCGCGGGTCAAAAGAAACCAATCGCAGTAAGGATTGTTTTAAGCTCTAGTCTAGACTCATGCTGCTTTTAGTTGTTTACCTTAGAAATGTAACCAAAGAGTAAACTTCTAACATCAACAAATCTTATAAACAAAGCTCAAATTGCGTTCTTATCTTTACAGTTCTTGTTTTAAACATAATCATTAATTTTAATCCTAAATATATGTGTAACAATGTCTCAAATCAAAGAATTAGTGTCAATAGAATATCCAGGAATAGTCAAAAATCTGGATAAAATGATGGAAACAATTGGCGGAACCGAACAGCTGATCAAAACATTCAAAAAATCAGGCTCCAGGCTCGAATTGTCTCCTCGACCTGACTTGTTCAGCCATCCCATTTTGGGTGACAAAGTTCCTACTAATAATCTGTTGGTTAAATGTATTGAAACAACTGTAACTGACGAACAGGGGAATGTCAAGAAAATTTATGAGACTCAGATTGTTGGTTTTATTAGCGTTTCTTACAAATTCAAAGCTTTAGCCGATTTCCAGTATTTACCCATGGAAAAGGTTTCATCTGGTAAGAAATTTTCTATTTGTCCATCTTATTCTGATTTCTGACATCTATTTTCTTTTTCTTTACTAGATTCTGATAGACCGAAATACAAATCTCGTTATGCTGATATTGTACCTCAGGATCCATTCTCATCTCTATCAAGTTTTAATCCAGAAGCACCTTTACTAATTTTACCAACTATTTTTAGTAGGTTTGATTTACCTACAGAATATTACTTTAAAGACGATCCTGTGCATCGGAACGAGCTTATGAACAAAGTTGGTGAAACACATCAAGCTCGGTCAATCATCGGTCTAACTCGTAAACCTAGATCTATTCTTGCCATGTTGATTAATTGGGATGAAGAGATTCCAATGGAACCAAATCCTGTGCTTATCAAGAATGCTGGATCCATAAAAAATGCAAATTTACTTGAGGATCTTAAAAAGTTATTTGAAAACCGTCCAATTTGGTCAAGAAATGCTCTATTGTACAAACTAAAATGTGGTCGTGATGAGTTGAAGATCTTACTACCATGTGTTGCCTTTTATTATCCAAATGGTCCCTTTAGATGTCAGTGGGTCAGGTATGGTTTTGACCCTCGTAAAAACAAGTCTTGTAAAATTTATCAAACTCTTGATTTTCGTGTTAAACAAGCCTATATAAAAAAGGATAGTTCCGATAAAATAATGCCAAAAAGAAGTATCTACGAATATGCTATGCCATTATTGAAAAGAGAACCTTTTAAAAAAGCTCAAGAATCTCAAGGATCTGTTATTCAGTCAACAATATTTTTACCAGCACCAGGACCATCTACATACATCGTTTGTGGCTCAATATCTTCTTCAACGTTTACTGGCCACTTTTACCTTTCGACCCGGTATCTTACCTTCCTGTAGACAGTGTCACTATCAATTACGTGAGATTCACGTCCCTGCTGTACAAAAGTTAGTTCATGCTAACGATGGAACAGAGCCTGATGTTTGCCATGACAAAGATGGATGGTGTTCTGAAGGAGTCATTGATCAGATTAGAGGTATTCTCTCTCAAATGACCGATGAAATGCTGAAAGAATCCCAAGTTGAAGAGCAAGATATTTTGAATAACTACAGTGCTGATGATTATTCCGATCCAGGTTTGTCTGACGAAGATGAATACTTATCTTATCAAGGATAGATTTGGATTATACTGACCAGACTTTTCATAAACTATCATGGTTTATCAATATTCAAAAATATTGACAATTTTGTTCATTATGTATAAAGAACGCATTTATTTACAAAATAAATATATTGTATCAAGTTTGAATTGTCTAAATAAAGCAACGGCAAATGTGCAAAAATAAATTTAAAGACACTGATTTAAAATTAGTTGCAAAAAATACAATTTATTTGTTATTTAATGTAACATGCAAAGTACCCAACTTGTATACACTTTCAGAATACATTAAATATAAAATTTCTAATGATTTAGTTCATAATACTTTTGAACAAAAAAAAGAAGACTAATTGTTTTATTATATTATCTTTTTTAAGATATAATATAGTTACACAAAATTACGAAGCGCAGTTTAAGTCATGATCTTGTCCATTCTCCAAAGATTTTTCCAGGTTTTGCGAACCAGAATGATCGGATAATTTTTTTAAAACATGATTTGGTGAAGATCATTCGCTACGTTTTGAGCATCAACTTGAATTGTATTATTGAATAGTGTAAATTTGCATAATAGTGTAAATATCACGGGTTTAAACAATAAGACAAGATGAATATGCCATTATTTGATTCTATTTAGCTGCTGTAAAAGACCAGCTGTTAATTTACTGTTTGATCTGAGATTTTCTCGTTCAATCAACAAGTGTTCGGCCAGTTTTCGATGTTGCTCGCATTTAGATTTAATGGCTGCTATTATAAGAAGTTGACTGAAAAGATCACGCTGAGCTTCACTTCCACCAATTTTCGAAATATCGTATTTAATTGGTAAGAGAAGTTCAACAGCTTCGCTGTATTTTTCTCTTTTGTAGGCAATTATGGCTTCAAGAAGTGATTTCACGATTTTTTTATCGATAGTGAAGAAATAATCTTGCTCCTGAAGTGAAGTAAGAATTGATTCACCAACTGAATCATTCCCACTTTCAATACAAGCAAGCAAATAATGTGCATCTTGGAAACTGCTAATTCGAGTTCCAAGATAAGGGGATGAAGCTTTATAAGTCGATTTCCAATGAGCTGTAAAATCTTTTTCTTGAGGACAAGTGAAGCCTAAGCGAGTCAACAATGAAATTGCATCAGCTAAATCCAATCCATGAGGTGTAGTATCGATCTGAGGAATCAAAATATTATCCAAGATACTAATCGCCTCATCGTAGCTATTGTTTTCAATGTGGAACACAGCTTTATGCCAGTAGTTGTGTCTTGCAAGAATATTACATTTCTTCCAATCGTCTTCAGTTGTTTGAAGAAATTTGATACCTTCATCAACTCGAACTGTCATTTCAAATACATGAGCTAAAGAATGAGATGCCCAACCATCGCATGGATTCCATTCTAAAGCCTGAAAGTTGAGAAGATTGGAAAATTAGCCTTCTTTAATTAATTCCAACATGTGCATATTAAAGTTAATATAATGGACTGTTGACTTACCCTACGAGCTTGAGCCTCAGCTTTGTCGAAAATATTTGTTTCACAAAATCCAAAAGCGAGTAATCCATGGAGATAACTATATTTGAAAAATTCGATTAGATGAGAAATTAACCTTGGACAAGATCGATGTGAATCAATTAATTGAGCAACTGTACCCCTTTAATGGAATGTCTGATGACTGCCAAAAGGGAAGAACTCGCGCAACTGTGTCTCTCAATTGTCTGAACTGTCCACGATTGAAGTAAATATCATAGCACGTTTTCAAGGCATGCAAATCAGTTGGGTAGGTTAACAGAATCTTTTCCCATATTTGACAAGCGCCATCAAGATCTCCTCGAGCTAATCGAAGTGTAGCATCAACATGAGCCTTTTCACGATCAGTCAAGGGTTTATCTGATTTAGACAATTTTATAAGATTATCAATGGAGGTAGTTAACTCTGTTTTAGTTGTAGTTGAAGCCAAAGCTGCCAGCATCAAATCAATCTTTAGACAATGACCTAAAACTGTGTAAACAAGAAACAAATAGATTAAACATATGTTAAGATAAAAATTGAGTATTGGGCGATCACAAATTGCAAGGTATGAATCAACATTGCTGTCGATATAGACTAAAATTATCTTCTGAGATATTGTGGAGTATTACAAAAGAATTAAAAACAAGTCTGGAATCTAGATTACCGAAATCAGGATCGGCGAGAAACATTGAGTCAAAAGTTCCTCCAATTCCACCGAGAAGTGGATCATCGTAAAAGCCAACGACCTAATTAAAAAGATGAGACAGTTTAATTTAATTGATTTCAATTAAAAAAGAGACAAAACAAATATGCTTACTTGTGATAAAGCTGCATCATACATCTTACAAGACTGATTAGATGGAGTGGATAGAGCTAAGCCTTCAAAGCTCCATTCCTGTTGTTTTGAGATAAAATATGTCAAACAAGCGAATAGTTGGGTGACAGTGCAAATCGAAGGCAAAACTGGTCCAACTTACCATGATTCCTCTCCAATGTTCACGTTGAGTCATCTTGAAGCAATTTATTTCACGCCTTTATGGCACAAGAAGATCAATTGAGAGCTCGTTTCTTCACTTTGATACTACTTTGAGTTACTTGCAACTGGTATTGTCAACTTCTATGCTAGTCTAGAAACAGCAAAATATTAAATCACAAAATAATAAAATATTAAACACACAATAAATCAAAAGGATGGAATAACATGATAAGTAAAGTTTTGATCAATAATAATTAGCTAACTTTAACATTAATCTATCTAGTCACAGTTGTTTTGCAAAAGTAATTTTTTTCAAGATTATCGATATATTTTTGAATACTTATCGATACTAAGCATATCTGTATCGATACTGAAACATTTTACACAGAGACGATCAACAGTAAATCAATTGTCGATTCAAGCGAAAAATTTTCATCAATTATCGCAAAATTCATTTTCATTCATGTTCAAATATCTATAAAATTATATTTATTTGAGCTTGAAAGGCTGACTGAATTAAAAATATACAGGTTTATGTAATTTTGAACTCGATGAATATAGCAAGAGAATATACGAGAGAAGTGAGAATACAAATATAATTGACAAAATCGACAGACCAGGAATGAAAAATAAAGATTGACTAGAAGCGTCAATATATTGAGCCGATTGAGTATAATCGATGCATTTCTAAAAGTCACAACATTTTTTGATTCCATCTAATAGTTAAGATTATTTTTTAAATATTCTCACTGATGAAAGGAATGGACAATGCAGAGAGACATACACAAAATTAATTTATCGTTAATCAACCACCACAAATCATGTTTTTCGGTACAGCAACATCTGAAATAGAGAGGTAAAATAATTAATTTGTTGTAAAAACATCGAGGATGCCTAAAAAAAGCTTAAAATTATGGAGAATGTGCTGTTTTAGAAAATATCACAATTACAATAAAAACGGTTTATTTTATAATAGCTGGAATAACTTACCCATCATTTTAGGATAATCAAGGTTCAAATTTTCCATAATTTTGATGAACTCTTCTTTTGATTTTGTTAGCCTTGGATTGAATTTCTTTTCTTCCCCAACAGTCGACACCGATTGACCTAAAGAGACCAACAAATCAGTTTATACAAAAAAACATGATGATATTAAATTTATGATGTGAAAATAGTTTTTAGTAAGTTATTTACCATTATAATCATGGGCTGGGAAAACATTATATTCATCAGGCAACGTAAACAACTGCGAATGAACTGAATCATAAAGTTTAGATGCCGAGCCTTGATCCAGATGAAATAAAAAAGCAAGATCAATTAAAATCTGGTGATAGCATATTTTAAAATGTATAAAACAAAATAATTCATTGAAATTTACCATTCTGAAAATCGGTTCTACCACAGCCTCTGATGAATAGGGTATCACCAGTGAATACTCGTCTATTCAAGTGGTCAATCAAACTCATACAACCATTGGTATGACCTGGAGTATATGCTACCGTCAGCTTGATCGACCCACAATCAATGACTTCACCATCACTAACACATATATCTGCCTGAGCACGACTTGATTCAGATATTATGCTCATCACTTTTAAATTTTCTTTAGTATTTAATCGGTTTTTAATCATCCCAGATCCAGTAATGTGATCAGCATGAACATGAGTATTCAAAACATATTTGAGCTGTAGGAAGAAAAGCGAGAAACTTAAACCTTAGCCCAAGAATCGAAACAAAAAGTTAGATATTTTTACAATAATAGACAGTGAGTTGTATGTAGACATTGTATAATAATGGTAGTGAGTTTTTGATGTGTAGATATTTATGTATTTATTGATAGATAATATCATATCCATAAATCTGTAATATGAGGATAAACTATAAGTAAATTATCACGTCCAAAATCTAGTTTATCCAATCACTCACGATATGGAAAGAATAAGAGGATCACTCTTTTGTATCGACAGTTATAATTTTCCTGAAAGCTTACCTCAAGTCCTAACTCATTAGTTAATTTGAGATCTCGATCAACGCATTCCAACACAGGATCAATTAGCAACGCGATATTTTGAGACCGATCACCAATTAGATAAGAATAACCACAACAAGACCTGTCGAATAGCTGAAATTGGTTGTAAAAATCAGAAATAGTGATTGAAAAAATAAATAAACATAGGATAAGATTGAAGAAGATTATATCAGTTTATCTATAGATACCTGGCGGAAAATAATAGCGCCGCGAGAAATCATAGTGATTTAAAATTGGATTAAAAAGTTAAAACAGGACAAAAGGTTGAGCTTGACACTTAAATTTGAGGCAAAAAGTAATGATTCAATTGGCAATTGAGCTCGTATAAGCTATAGATTCAAAATTGAGGAATCGATTAAATCGTTCAGTAATTTCCAAAATCGATTAGAGAATTATTTTCAACCAATAAACGTTGATCCAATGTGCATTCATAGTCAGTATTACTACAACAACGAGACGTACCAATGCAGTTAATTAAGAATGGTATAAGCTGGATACGTTCATAGACGTAATTTGTAATCATCAACTGTCCGGAAATGAACAATTTATTGGTACATCGGGCATTGTTTACAAAATTCATTTTTTATTCGATAGTTAAGCAGTAAATTACAATTATTATTCACAATCTATGCGAATTATTATGCAAATATTTCAAGTCTTGATTTAGCACAATTTCTCTAACCATTGCCCCCTCAGACTCAGTACCAGTAGTTACTTCATTGTTCGTAGCTCTTAGTATGTTGGCAACGGCATCTGTTAATTCTTCAAAGTCACTTTGGCATAAGTTTTTTCTGAACAAAAGTATCAATGGTAATTCATTTGCAATTTTGTGATCGAACGAAAGATAATTCCTCAAATAATGCAAAAAGCGCTCAGCTGGTGAGAAACCGAAAGTCGGATATAATGGTTCTCCTAAAAACTTGTATTGACCATAGATGATGACTGGTGCTAATGAATCAAAAAACCGCTCTTGCAGAGGTCGTTGTAAGTTCCCCATAATTGAACCCGATTCCTCAATCGAGGGAGTTTAACTCGACCATTTCTTGGACACTTGCATCGGCTCAGGATGATGTTCCACAGTATGTGCCTTTTTCCAAACCAAACATGTTCGTCAACAATTACAGGAATCTCATGCTTGAGGTGAGAGAATCGCTTGCTGATTGCTATGGTCAGGACTTTTAATTTAGAAAAACGCGTGGCTAGGGCATGTTTATCCGCTAATATGCGTTTATCGAAATCTGGATCACCATTCCTTTGTACTTCTAAACGGAGGATCAATTTCTTCGTTTTGCCAATGCAAACAGGTCTTAGAGTACCAGCACCATGTTTCTGATGTGGTGAAATGGGGAAAATCGATACGTCACCTAAGTATTCAACAGAGTCAGCATCGACAGGAAAAAAGGGATACCAACAAGCTGGCCGAAATATTCAAAGATTATTTTGAACGCGTCCGGGTCATGCTTAAAAACATGGTTGAAAGACGCATTGCACATCGGGTCCAAATGTTCTCCAAGTTTCTGAAAATAATTTGATAATAAGTTTTTAAAAATAAGTTTATTACTAAATGCAATGATTTACTTACATCTTTTGAAGGTTGAGCTAGCGAGCAGGTGACCTTTCGCTTACTAACACTCCGTAATAGGCGATCACTGGTATTAGCCATCAGGAATCAAAGTTTCACATAGCTTGAATTTACTAAACTTTACCTAAGATAATGTACCGGTGACTTACTAGTGATAGACGGTTTCTGTTTAGGTTTCGGTATTTCTGAGATAGTATCTTTTGCTACGGTCTTGACATTGAATTAATCTAGAAAAACAAAGCTGCAGGTGAGATTAGAATTTTCTAGTCCAAGTTATTCATACATTCTAGACCATGGACTGTATGAGGATGACGAAAATTGAGACATATAAGTTTTACAAACCTTTTCAGAATCTTTTGAATGTTGATCCACAAATCTTTTGGTTGATAGTTGGTCAAAAAAATGTAATATAAGCAAATGCTTTAACCACCAGACTTGAGACCTTTTATCTTGGGTAACTAATGGCAATACACTGCATAAACAATTAATACGTAGCACCGCACGAACTATTAAATTTAAATCAATCACGTACCAAATTAGAGAAGCAAAGATAGCCCCAGAGTCTGGATCATCTGAAGAGGTGAAAGGCTAGCAACTCTGTTGCTATAGACCGAAGGCGGTGTAATCAAATTTCATAACAATGGATTCACTCAATCGTCAATGTAATTTAATTCATTCTATTGGAATCAAAAATTTTTCATTTCAAGACAGTTATTAGACTCAATCGCCGGTGAAACTCACCTCAACCTATTGCTACAAGAGATCGTTCATTTAAAGACAGTTGTTGTGCATTTCAATGTTCGCGCTTTGTAATTACTGTTACTAGCAACCGGGTTGCTAAAGAGAGCTGTTGCTCTGGAAATACAGTATTTCCTTTTCTTTTCTATTTTTTGTTTAATATCCTTTACTTTTGATTTCCGTATTTAATTGTATAAATAGCTCTAAATTGATCAATTGTTTTAAGTGACCTTTGATAGATTAAACCTTTGTAATCAAGAATCAACGTGTGTCCTTCAAGTTTATTAGATTCTAGGAATCTGTGCTTTGGTGAATATTCCAGGAATATTCAGCCTTACCAACTAGGTTGGTTAAACTCATCGTAATACTCGGTATTACATTTGATCTGTGATTAGTCTTGGACTATTACTGGTTTAGAAGTACTGACTACCCGGTCAATTCTTAGTTTCAACCCTGTTGAAGTTTTGTGAATTACTCAACCCGGTTGAGCCATACTGGTGAAATTAAGCTTCTAGGAAGCTTCTGTGATTCAAAGTGTGTTAGAAGAACTTGGAACCGGACGTCATACAACATTTGGTGGAGATGCCCTTCGATTTGTGAGAATCTCGTGTTAAGCTGTGCTCTTTTGTTGGTGGTTTTTGTTTTTTGGTGGTTCTTTTGTCTCTGTGTGGGGGCAGAATTGGTGTTTTGGATTCGGAATCCTATGCTGTTAGAACTCGCGCTTGTCGAATTCGTTATTGGTTTGCTGATATTGTTTGCTGAATTCTATTGTTCTGTTCTAAGTTTGTTCTGGCTACAGTGCGATTACCAATAAGAATTCCCGGAATTCAAAATGAATGATAAAGATCCGCTCGTTCCTCAACAACAAAGACAACAATCATCTAAGATAACCATGTCACCTGAATTAGCTGAGCAGATTAATGCTTTGAAGCATAACAATAATATATTCCAGAAATCGTTAGCTACGATGGAAAAGACTCAGCAGGAGACACAAAAGACTATGGGAGAAGTCTTGACAGCTCTGCAAGCTCAAGGTACGAATTTAGAAATTCTAATGAAGGATCTAGCTGATGTTAGAAAGACTCAGAATGATCATGTGAATATGATTCACGCTTTGAGAGTTGCTGAAAAGACGAGAAGTGATAAAGAGAAATTGCTTGAGAGCAATAAGTTGCGTGTTCAGGGAACACCAACATCGTCAAAAGAAACGACAGGTTTAGAGGATTCCCTGAATCCTACTGGAGAATCCGATTCTCAATTGCCAGGTAACAGAAGATTGCATTCCTTTCTGGATGAATTTTCGACAACTGAGAACGGTGAGAGAACTAGAGGTGCTCTAATGAAGGCAATGCCTTTGCCTCATTTTCATGGTGAACATGAGAAAGCTGCTAGTTGGTTAAGGAGATACGAGGAAGTTGCTGCTCTGAATTATTGGAATGAAGCAGAACTTATTCGAGGAGTTGGAGCTTCAATGAAAGAGGAAGCCTCAACTTGGTATTGGTACATTTACCTGCCTAAGATGGCTGGGAAAGGTCAAACATGGCCACAGTTTCGGAAACTGTTCTTGGATACCTATGTGAAGGATGAGGACAGACATGTAATCTTTCAAAAATTGATGAACCGGGTTCATCTTAAAACAGAGAGATTGTCAACGTATTGGCATTCTATTTTGTCGTTATGCATGGACTTTAATCCTGATATGCCGGAGAGTGAAATTATTTCTTATACTTTGAGAGGTTTGGAACCTAACTTAAGAAGTACTTTTGCTACGGGACTGCATGGGAAAAGAACTTTGGAAGTTCTCGAGCAGTTGATTTCAGTCAATGATGCTATTATTGAAAAAGGTCGAAAGGTTGACTCAAAGTCGAATGAGTCAAAGCCTAGCCAAAAGAGTAAAGAAGAGAAGCAAGACAAGCCGCACGATAAAGTGAACAAAGTGTTCAAGAGAAAAGATCCTTCTACAGTTATTTGTTATAACTGTATGAAATCTGGACATTTCATGAAACATTGTCCTGAAGTTTATGATGCTGCTAAGGTAAAGGCTAACTCTTTACAATTGAAGAACCAACGAAGTGCAGTTGTTAATTCAGCTATTGTTGGAGATGTTCGAGGAACATCAGATGCTCAGGGAGCGTCAAACGCTAATGTTCAGGGAACATTAGAAAATGGAAGAGATGTTCCAGGAACATCAGGTACTCAGGGAGTACGGAATGAGGATGAAGCATTAAGGAGTTTCAGAGATGATTGGCAGATGATAACCAGTGAGATTGGTATTCATTCATCAGATTTACCCTTGACGTTGGCTTCATTTCTCGAAAATGTGTCATTGCCGACATTGCCAATTGAAATAAATGGAGTTAGAAGCAGAGCATTAGTGGACACAGGAGCTCGAGTGTCACTAATCAGCGACTCATTTAGGATTCGATGTGGTTTGGATTTGAAGGCATGGAGTTTTGGTCCATTGACTATGGCAAATACGAACGTGGACGTTCCGCATGGATGGACTGAATGTAAATTGGTTGCAGATTTTCATGTTATACCAATTCGATTGATAGTACTGAAAAAGTTAACCCAAGATGTGTTGTTGGGAAGCGACTTTTGTACTCGCCATAATGTTATGATAACTTATGGGAATAAAAGTGTGAGATTGATTAAGCCTCATGGAGATGTCGTGAAGACAAGGCGAACAATCAATTCTGTTGTGAGTTCCAGGAACTCAAATGCAGGGAATAACTCGGTTATTTCTGCTGCTGTTGTGGATCTAACTGAATTCAAAGATGTTTTCAGTAGATCGCCAGGAGATGTTGGTTGCATCCCGGATGCAGTACATTCGATTGATACAGGTAATCATCCGCCGATTTACCAGAAGTATTATCCGATTGCTGTATCAGAAAAGCTAGCTATTGGTAAATTGCTTAATGATATGCTGAAGGATGGAATAGCGATTCCAAGCGAAAGTTCTTGGGCAAGTCCGATTGTACTTGTTGGAAAGAAGAATGGTCAAACTCGGTTTTGCGTAGACTATCGAAAACTGAA